GAATACAAGGGCTTTGTCTCGTTTACCAATGAATTCCTGGATCAATGCCTGGCACATAGTGAGTGCTGAAGAAAGAAAAATTTATGGGATAAATGAAATGAGTCTCAAATCTCTATCTTCAGTTCAAATTTTTCTCCCGGACTCCAGATCTGAACTTTAACACACCTCCTTACCACTCTGCCCCCAGGCACCACACACCCAATTCACTAGGTCTAACCTCCTTCTTTAATTCAATTTGCTTCTTTTGGTGTTGTTAATCCTAACTCCAGGATATTTTTCCATTGGTAGAGTGGAAGAAAGAGTGACAGAGAAAGAAACAATGTGAGACACACACATTAATTGGCTGCCTCCCACATGCGCCCTGATCAGGGCTGGGGATCCTGCCTGCATACTGAGGTATGTGCCCTTGACCAGGACTTCAGTCCACAGGCTGACACTCTATTCACTAACGCAAACCAGCTAGGGCTGTCCTGCTTTTTGAATTCTCCCCCAGGAGGTGGCATCAGCACATAATCAGCTGCTAAACTGGAAGGAGCCAGCCTTGACTTCTTCTTCACCTCCCCCAGTCACAAATCCTGACAGTTCTACCACTTACATCTAAACCAGGCCTCTCCTCAATTCCCTCAGCTGGACACTACAATGGATTTCTAAATGCTTACCCACTTCTGGCCACTCTGCTCACTCAGATCAAAGCAGGCTCTTGCTCGTAGCCCTTCCATGGCTCCCATAGCCAAGGACAAGGTTCAAACCTCTAGGCTTCTCCATCCAGTTCTACTAACACCTACTGCTGCCACTGCTATGGTTACCTGTTCCATACTGGCTGCAGCTGTTCTTCCAAACACTCCAAGCCAGCTGCAGCCAACTGTTCCTTCTAACCGGCATGCCTTTTCCTCACACCTTCCTGGAGATCTGTTCATCTTTCAGATGGCAAAGAAGTTACCCTTCCTAATGACCTTATTTAACTGCTCTCTAGGGGAATGCCCACCTTGGTCTCACTTTGTGTACAACCCTATTCTAGTTTTGCCCTGGCCAGTGTGGCTTAGTTGGTCCCATGCAACAAGAGGTCTCTGGTTCAATTCCCGGACAGGACACAGGCCCAGGTTGTGGTTCCACACCCAGTAGAGTGCAGGAGGCAGCCTATTGCTGTCTCTCTCTTTCTCAAATCAATAAAAACATAACTTAAAAAAAACAACAACAACTCTATTCTAGTTTTAACACACTTTGCTGTGATTGCCAGGGTACACACCGGTCTTCCTCCCTAAGATGTAAATAGCTTGGAGATGGGGTTAGTCTCAGCCCTCTTTGTAATGCCAAATCAAGATGCATCCAACCAGTGTTGGACTGATGTGTGGATAGATAAATGAAGTCTCCAACTTCCTGCGCCTAACAGGCTGCTTTGTGAGGTGCTGAACTCCCCATAAACGCTGGGATCGTCAAAAAGCAGCTGCATGGTCCTGAATGGTAATGTCCAAGTAACTTTCCCCGGTCCTAAATCCCTGTCCTCCCATTCCACATTCCTCCGCCACTTCCCAGAGAGCCTGGGGCTGTGAGCCAGCACTTCCATGGAAGATGGTCTCTGGATATGCTTCCAAATAGCTCCACACAACCTCTGACACTTCTCCAAATTCAATTCTTACCACGCCCGCACCAGGCGGCACCTGGTTTCTAACCCAGGTCTCCGTTATCTAGGAAATTCCGCCTCCGCCCTAGGCCCAGACTCCATTGGAAGCCGCCCACCCGTCTCTAAGTTTCCCCTGCGTCCCTTTGCCCCAAGCACAGAAGTGTCCCCCCAAGAGGCCCGCCCTCAGACCTCGTCCAACCCACCTCCCTCCTCCTCAGGCTCCTTTGGGTTCTCAGGTCCCTGGCCTCCGGGCCCTCTCCCCACCCGCCTTCCCTACTCTGCAAATCCCTTCTCCACCTGCTTCCTTGACCCCGCAGCCCCCGCCCCTTTCGGTTCCTACCACCACCCCCTCTCCCTTCCAGGCCCCCCAGTGGCCCTCCCTCCGTATCGCCCAGCGGCCGCCGCTGCACCTGTACAGGGTCTTGCGCGGAGCCAGTTGGTCCGCATCCAGGCCCTGCGCGATGTAGTAATCGGCGACGAGGCCGAGGATGCGGCCCCAGAAGAGCACCCGACTGTAGCGATAGTCACGCTTCACCAGCAAAAGGGAAGTGAGCAGCGAGGCCCGGCGGTCCGGGCTGAGGCCCTGCCCGCTGCCCGACGCCAGCTCCAGGGACAGCAGGAGACTGTCCGCGTCCATCTCCGCGGCCGCTCGGCTCAACGTCCTCCAGGTTGCTAGGAGAAGCCGTCTCCATGGAGACCCCAAGCCCCGCCCTTCCCTCAGGCAGGAAGTAGGATCACACCCACTCGTGGCCCAGCCCTTCCGGGGCCTCTGGCCAGCCCGGATCCCGGATCCCCTCGGAGCGGTTCCTAAAAGCCTGGGCACACTCTAGCCCCCGCCCTCTTCCTTCCTCGGGTTGGTGACAGAATGTGTTCAGTTATCACGGGTTCGCACGGTTTCCCCTAAAATAGTGTGAGGTTAGTGGTCCCAATTCTGTAGATATATTTTTGCCTTTTCCCAAGTCCTTCCATATAAATTACATTTATTGAATCCTCACTGTATACGTAATGGGGCTTGGGGAGAAAAACACTATAGTGACACCAGCTGTATTATTAATATTTCACTTCTGCCATGTCCCTCCTTGGCCTCAGAATTATCTGTGGAGAAAATAATTTTAAATGCTCTTGGCACTAAAAGTCTAGGCATCCAAGACAAACTGCCGCCAATTACAGGTCTTACATGATGGGGTCCATCCATTTCATTCTCTTCAATCTTCAGATGTCTCTCTCTACCCCTTCCTTAGTACTATTCCGCCTAAATGGCAAATGAAGACGAGGCAATGGGGCAAGGGGGTGTGAAGAGGGGTACAAAAAGGGTGACATTTACAGACTTCACTTTGCATTCAGCTACCACCTATTTACCTCCCTGGCCCCACAGCAGTTGCTTTTAAGCCCAAATGGTGGCAACACATGAAAGGGCAGAACCCCCTGCAGCTGGGGCTCCTCACTTCCTGCGCTAACCACTGGCTACGTCTTCACACCCATCTCTGGAGGCCCCAGCCAAGGTCAAACAAGCAGGTGCCTTCGCAAGCTTGTTGTCGGGGAAGGTGGGATTTATTAATATTAACAGATCCTTGCAGGGGGGATGTAGACGAGGTGTAAAAAGGCATAGAGGGGATAAATGGTGATAGAAAAGATAAAATAAAATTGACATAACATATAAAATATATATAAATGCACACACTGATCTTTTAATTTCTGAATTCCTTTGAAGACTCATGAAATCAAAATGACCTGGGCCCCATGCCAAGCCAATAGAGAAGCAAGTGTCTAAATTACCCCGATAATTACTTTGTTTGGGTTATACAGATATTGTTTATGAAGCCTTTTAAAATCAGTACTTGAAGGGTGCTGACATGGGTTAATGTGTCTTCCACCTCAAAATAATTTGTAACTCCGTTTCATCTCTCCCTCAGTTCAGTCACATCCCTCTAGCCTGTCCTTTCCCAAGTGGGAGATAAGGCCCTCTCCTCTTCTGTAAGGTAGAAAAAACAACCAAAATTCTAGCTGGTAGAATATGCTTCAGGTGGTCAGAGCACAGAAAAGAACCCAAACCTTTTGTTTTTATTGATTCCATATTTACTCCGAACCTATTAATGTCAGGTCCCATGTAGGGAAACACAATATGAAGCCAGAAAGAGGAGTCCTGCTGCTTTCTAATACTGCCACCTTGACAGGGCAAATCCTGATTAATATTTCACAGTGAAACCACACAGATGCACAGCAGTGTAAAGCATTCAGCTGCTAGTGCCAGGTTTGAATTCAGGTTTCCACTCTTGGGCAAGTTATTCAATCTACCCAAGCCTCGTCTATAAAATGGGGTCAATGTCAAAAAACAAGGCTGTTAGATTAGATAAAAATGTATGTGAAGTGCTTAAAAGAGAGCATAAAATATAAACCATTTTCTTTTCTTGACAAAACATAAAACATTCTTCTTAGAACATAAAAAAATAGCATTTATTTATACCGTCCCTATTTATAGACACATTCCTATCTGCAATACCAGCAGGGTGAGGACTATGTATTCAGCTTCCAAGAAATAAGCAGGCACTGCCAATGGAGACAGGCAGCGCTGAACTCCAGAAGGGGCGTTTGGCCTTGGAGAGCAGATCCCAAAGGGCAATCCTGGGGCCTCAGCCTACAGTTAAATCACGTTTTGCAAAGATCCTCTCAGTTTTCTTTCCTTGGCCTATTCTTTCATCCCCATTCCCCTGTGTGACCTCTGCTCTAGGCACGCATTTTAAGGGTCAAAACCAGTATGTGACAAGGAAAGAATGTTGGGCTAGAAGTTAGCTAATGAGTACTCTAGTCCCAACTGACATCAAACTGCTCCAGATTCTTGGCCAAGTCACTTAACTTCCCAGACTGGCCTGAAGCTGATGAAGAGAAAGAACTGGTGGTGAGAAACTAAAAATAAATAAATAAGAGACTAAGTAAAAAGACAAAAGATTCTAGCCTCAAACCTGGAAAGTCTCTTTAAGCCAAGAGTTTCGGGAAAGTTTAATATAAATTCATTCATTTTATATTTAAATTCATGAGTCACACTAACATTTATATATCTCTGGTAAAAATTCTGAAAGGCCACAGAAAAAGGACCCCTCCATAATAGTGTCTATGGGCCCGCGTTTGCTTTCCAACCCCAAACAGTAAAGTCTGACCCGGTCAACCTTTGGTTCACAGAGATGTTGTTCAATGATGATGATTACAGTCCCAGTCACTCCATCAGCACACCAGGAAGTCCGAGAAGGGGAAGCAGGCAGCCAGGACAGAACCTTCCTCTCATCCGGAAGCAACTCTACTTCCAAGCAAGAGACAGGTGACTTGGTGCCAGAGAAGGAAAGATAATTTAGCCATTGTGTTCTTGATTAAGAAGCAGCGCTATTCACTCATGAAAGCCTTTCAATGTCACCGGTGCCTGGAACCAAATGTAATCCTCCCAGGATGTGACTGGGATAGAGGGTCTGCCACAGGACAGGGTCACAGTCAGTTTGTGGCCCCGTTTGGGCACTCTGTAGTTCAGCTTGGGCCGAAACCAATCTTCTCCACAGTCGCGGTGCCCCTGTGCCATGATAATGGTGCCCATGAGTGGAGGAGCCTGAAGCTCACTGAAGGCATCAGCCATAAAAATGGCTCGGAAAATAAGGCGCAAACAAGCTGCTGTGCTCACCCTCTGGTCCACGTTGTGGGGGGCCAAGCGGGACAAGTCAAGCTCGTAGAATTCTTTGGGATTTAGAACACTGCCCCCAAGGAGGATGAGCACTCGTGGTACGAGTGTCCGGGCAAAGAGACTCTCTAGGTGGCTGAGGACGCTCTCCAGTTCTTCCAGGGTTTGTTGGCATTTCCTGCTGCTTGCCTCAGTGATGGCCCAAGGTTTCTTCTTCACCGTGTCCTCTGCCTATGGAGACAAAGCCTGGTGAGAGAGAAGGCGAGGTGGAGAAAGCTAGTGACCTTTGATGAACCCTGTTGGTTGGGATACAGTAGACTATGAGTCTGGATTTCCAGTTCAATGAACGGCCACAGCTAAGACACTGGGTTTTATCAGAGGGCAATATGTCAAAAAGGAAAATACATTCTTTATACAAAACCATAACCACCCCACACTTAGAACACTGAAGAGTGTTCTGAAGTAGGAGGGCATTCAGAAATAAGCAACTAACACAGTCAAGATTTGGTGACATAGTAGGTGGCAAATTTTGCTATAATGGGAGTGATAACAGGAATGAGGATTGTGTAGTTTTATAATAAAGATGCTCAACAGCATGAGAAAAGATATAGTAACTATGAAACCAGAAATAAAGAATGACATAGAACAAATAAAGAACACATTGGAAGAAATACACAACATATTAGGGGAAGTTGAGGATCAAATCAGTGAATTAGTGGACATAGTTGAAAAAAATCAAGAGAATCAAAAAGAGAAAAATAACTAAAAAACAGGAGGGCAGCTTAAGGGAGCTGTGGAACAATGTGAAACATAGCAATATTTGAAAAGCAGGTGTGCCAAAAGAGGCAGAAAGGGACAGAGAACGGGTTTGTAGAAATAATAGCAGAAAACTTCCTGAACTTGGTAAAGAAAAAAATCACACAAGTTTAGGAGGCACAGAGAACCCCAAACAAGAGTACCCAAACAGGCCTAGGCCCAGACATTATAATAAAAATGTCAAAATTAAAGTAAAAGAGAGAATCTTAAAGGAAGCCAGAGAAAAGCAAACTGTTACCTACAAAGGAGCTCCCATAATGCCGACACCTGATTTCTCATCAGAAACTCTACAGGCCAGAAGGGAATGGCGTGAAGTACTCAAAGTAATGGAAAGCAAGGATTTGAAACCAAGATTATTATATCCAGCAAGGCTATCATTCAAAAAAGATGGTCAAATAAAGAGCTTCCCAGACCAAAAAAAAAAAAAAAAAAAAAGGCTAAAGGAGTATATCACCACCAAGTTAGCACTATAAGAAATGTAAAGGGTACAGGGAATGTCTATTTGTGAGTGAGGGACAGCTATATTCCAAGGGACTGCTGGGACTGCAGGGCTGGGCCCCCCTAACCGGGCAGCCTCCACTGCTGCTGAAATCTCAGCTCTGCCGCATAGACTGTGCCATCTTGAAGGGGAGAGTGGCTGTGATGGAAAGCCTAGCCTTACCTTCAATCGGGAAGAATCAGATACCTCCGGGACCCTACAACCACAACACCCAGGGACCAGCTGCAAACGGGTCTCAAGCAGCACAAATATGTGGACTCGGATGAGCTCTGCACCTTGTCACAGAAAGATCAGAGAAAGGTGAGGTCTGTGATCCAGGCTGAAGGGAGAAACATGCACAGCGGGACCTAGAGGTTCAGAGGAAGTCTGCGCCCCACAAAATTTGCAGACATTGGGGCCACCATAGTCTGCGAATGTGGAAGGGGGTCTACAGGGCTGCTGACAAAAGAGAACTCTAGAAATCAATCGATAGCTGGGCTGGGCACAAAAAGGCAGCCTGAAGCTTTGCCAGTAAACCAGCTGCGCTGTGCCAGGGGGAAAAGACGTGCAGAGACATAAGCAGAGTCCATGTTCGTGCACTTACTTTGGCTCTTTTTCTCTTTAAATGCTTGCTTTTCATTACTAAGCCCAGTACAAAATATCACCCAATTAAAAACACTCTCAGAGACTGCAGGGGAAAGTTGTTTTTGTGGAACCTGTCAGAATGCCTATCACTAACAAATCAACAAACAGCCGGTGCTGGAGAGGATGCGGAGAAAAGGAACCTCCTTCCTGTTGGTTGAAATGCAGACTGCTGCAGCCACTGTGGAAAACAGTATGGAGTTTCCTCAAAATTTAAAAAATGGAACTGCCATTTGACCCAGTAATACCGCTTCTAGGAATATATCCTAAGAAAACAGAAACACCAATCAGAAAGGGCATAGGCACCCCTATGCTCATAGCAGCACAATTTACAGTAGCTAAGATTTGGAAACAGCCTAAATGCCAATTAGCTGCTGAGTGGATTAGAAAACTATGGTACTTCTACACAATGGAATACTATGCTGCTATAAAAAAAAAAAGAAGGAATTCTTACCATTTACAGCAGCATGGATGGAACTAGAGAGCATTATGCTAAGTGAAATAAGCCAGTCAGTGAAATCAAAATACCACATGATCTCACTCATTTATGGATAATAAAGGTTGTAGGGTCCCGGAGGTATCTGATTATAACCTGATGAACAAGAAGACAGATACAGAGGCAGAGAAGCATCTAACAGAATGTCAAATTACAGTGGGAAGGCTGGGGAGGCGGGGGGAGGTAAGAGATCACCCGAAGGACTTGTATGCATGCATATAAGCACATCAATGGGTAAAAGACACTGAGGGGTGGGGGACTGAGGGCATGAGTGTGTGTGTGTGGGGGGGGGGGCAGTAGGAGATACTGGGGGCAGGCCAATGGGAGAAAAAAGGAGACATATGTATACTATTTGTAATACTTCAAACAGTAAAAAAAAGAAAAGAAATGCTAAAGGGATTGCTGTAATGAGAAGAAATAGAGAGAAACCTAGGCGTACAGAATTAAAATGGCAATAATAAGTACCTATTAATAACCTTAAATGTAAATGGATTAAATGTTCCCATCAAAAAAACATAGTGTAGCTGAATGGATACAAAATAACCCAACTATATGCTGTCTACAAGAGACCTACCTCAGAACAAAAGACACACATGGGATGATGGTGAAGGATGGAAAAAAACTTTCCATGCAAATGGAAAAGAAAAAAAATTTGGAATAGCAATACTCATATATGATAAAATAGACTTCAAAATGAAGCCATCACAAGAGACAATAAAGGCCACTACATAATACTAAAGGGATTGATCCAACAAGAGGATATAACCCTTCAGAGACCCAAATGTTTCGGGATCCTGGAGACAGTGTGCCTACAGGTTTGAGAATAAACCTGAAACATGTGAAGTTCGGAATAAAGTGTTTGTGTGTTATACCAAGGGAGAGGCTGAGCTATTAAATCATGTATTTGGTACATTAAAAAAAAAAAAAAAAAAAAAAAAAAAAAAAAAAAAGAGGATATATCCTTGGTAAACACATATGCACCTAATATAGGAGCACCAAATTATGTTAAAAATCTTCCAGAGAACTTTAAGGGGAGAGACTGACAACAATAGTTATATTAGGGACTTTAATACCCCCTGATTTCACTGGATAGATCTTCCAGACAAAAAATTACCAAGGAAACGGTGACTCTAAAGTACACATTGGATCAGATGGATTTAATTGACATTTATGAAACATTTTATTCCAAAGCTGCAGAATATACATTCTTCTCAAGTGCACATGGGTCATTCACAAAGACAGACCACATGTTAGGACACAAAACAAGTCTCTACACATTTAAGAAGATTGAAATCATATCAAGCATCTTCTCAGATCACAGTGTAATAAAATTAGAAATCAACTACAGTAAAAACACTCAAAAACAGCCCTAACTGGTTTGGCTCAGTGGATAGAGCGTCAGTCTGGACTGAAGGGTCCCAGGTTCGATTCCGGTCAGGGGCATGTACCTTGGTTGAAGGCACATTGAGGGTGTGCAGGAGGCAGCTGATCCTTCTCTCTATCCTTCTCCCTTTCTCTCTGTAAAAATCAATAAAATATATTATTTTTTTAAAAAAACACCCAAAAACATTCAGAAAGAAGACATTTTAATAGGGTTTAGGAGTCCTCCAAAGAAACCACTAGGCTGCCACCAATATCCTTAAAGTCTTATCAGACCCGGCCATGCATACAGAGCTTTTAGTGACTTATTCTTAAATATTCACCAGACACAGACAAAAAGCCTCTAACATGAAAGACAAAGACCAGAACAAATAGGAAAATGAATCTGAAAGAAACAGAGACACAGCAAGGCACATAGGAAAACCTCAAAAATAAAGTAATTGATATCTTCAGGTAAGAGAGGTTCATACAGACACGAAACAGGATGCTATTAGAAAGGACCATACAGGTGACAGGAGATTTGACTGTGGGCGGTGGGCACATGGTGCTACATAGATTTGTAACTTAGAATCCACACCTGAAACCCATATGTTCATGTTGCCCAATCTCACCCCCAATAAAATTTAAAAATTCATTAATTAAAAAAAGGAACATGCAGCCCGGCCAGCATGGCTCAGTAATTGAGCGTCTGTCTACCTATAAACTAGGAGATCAAGGTTTGATTCCTTGTCAGGTTACATGTCAGGGTTGCATCCTAAAACCCGAGTGCAGGAGGCAGCCAATCAATGATTCTCTCATTATGAATATTTCTATCTCTCCCATTCCCTTCTCTCTGAAATCAATAAAATATATTTTTAAATAAATTAGTCAAAGAAGTCCCCCCAGAAAGTAGAACATAAAAACAAAGAGACAAAAATATTAATTAGGAGAGAAAAGATATTAAAATCAAAGGGTCAATACATGAAGTCCAAATGTAGCACAATAAGAGTTTCAGGAAAAGGAAAAACCGAGGGGAGGATCCAAGATGGCTGCTCAGGTAGACATCTAACCGTGGCAGCACACAACAATTTCAATGGAATACAACTAAAATGTAGAGTGGACATTGCCCAGAGCTACAGGTAGTCGACTGACTGAAATTTCTACAACAAGAAGGAAAGAGAAAACCAGAAGGAAAATCAGAGGAGCTGAAAAAAAGCCTAAGGTACGGAGACATGCTGCGCGCCCGCCCGCACGCAGCCGGAGAGGTCGCAGCCGGAGAGGAGAGGGCGGGGAGCTGCCATTCCTTCCCTAGCAGGAAGGAAATAAAACCCCCAGCCTGGGCTGGACCCCCGAACTGGCAGCGCTGAGCCCCCCGAACCGGCAGCGCTGAGCCCCAGTTATGGGCCAGACCCTGGGGACCCAGGCTCCTGTGGGAGGAGACGGGACCGTGAGGCGGAAAAACGGCGAAAAGCAGGGCCCCGGGAGTCGCGCGCTGGACTGAATGTTGACTCTGATGCTGGGTTGCCCTAGCCAGAAGAAACAAGGCCTCCGGCGGTGCTGGGCCTCAGTCCGGACTGCTCCGAACCCCAGTTCTGGGCTAATCTCTGGGGACCCAGGCTCAGGCAGAGGGAGACAGGGCTGTGAGGTGGAGTCTGGGGAGAGCGGCGAAAGGCCGAGCCCCCGGGACTCGCGCAAACTGCGCGCAGAGGACAGTCTGTTGACTCTGATGTTGGACTTCTCTAGTGGAAAGGAGAAAAAAAAAACTCTAGGCTGGGGGAACGCGGAGGGGAGCAGAAGCCCCTGCCGGACTCCAGCCAACCGGGCACCAGCAAGGAGGCGGGCCACGGGGCCCCTGGGGGCGTGGGTGCCCCTGAGCCTTTGACCACTGAGCTCGGGCAATGGAGCCAAGGCCGGGGCTGCTTCCTGGGCGGCGCCGTCCCGGCAACAGGCTGAAGCAGCACAGGAGCCCGCGGAGAACAATGGGGTGCCACAGGCCAACCTGCTGAGCTCCCAGGACAAGGAGGAAGAAACCAAAGAAGTTCTCAATGTGAAGAAATCAAGTGAGAGCAAAAAATAGTAAAATTACTTAAGAAAGAATACAAAGAAGATCTTGAAAAATCAAAGACTAAGTCAGAACTCAACTCACCAGCCAACATTGCAACAGAAATGCGTTTTAAAAAGAAAAAAGAAAAAAAAAGGACAGAATGTTGGAACAGCGGCGGCCAGGCCTAGAGTGGCCAGGCACAAGACAGCGGCAGCCAGACCCGGAGCAGCAACGGCCAGGCCCCAGAGCAGCAGCAGCCAGAATCAGAGCATCAACAGCCAGCACTGGAGTAGCCAGACCTGGGGCAGTGGCAGCCAGGCATGAGGCGGAGGTGGCCAAGCCCAGGGTGGCCAGTCCAGGAACACCCAGACCCGGAGTGGCCGGGCCCGGAGAAGCCGGGCCCAGAGCAGCCGGGGTGGGAGCAGCCAGACCCAGAACAGCAGTAGCCAAGCCCAGAGCATCCTGGTCGGGAGTGGCCAGGCTCGGAGCGGCCAGACCTGGGGCAGCCGGGCCCAGAGCAGCCGGGTCAGGTGCGGCCAGGCCCAGAGCAGCGGCTGCCAGGCTGGGAGCGGCCAGGCCCGGGGAAGCAGCCGGGTCGGGTGCGGCCAGGCCCGGAGCAGCGGCTGCCAGGCTGGGAGCGGCCAGGCCCGGGGGAGCAGGCGGGTCGGGTGCGGCCAGGCCCGGAGCAGCGGCTGCCAGGCTGGGAGCGGCCAGGCCCGGGGGAGCAGGCGGGGCTGGTGCGGCCAGGCCCGGAGCAGCGGCTGCCAGGCTGGGAGCGGCCAGGCCCGGGGGAGCAGGCGGGTCGGGTGCGGCCAGGCCCGGAGCAGCGGCTGCCAGGCTGGTAGCGGCCAGGCCCGGAACAGCAGCAGCCAAGTCCAGAGCAACTAGGTTGGGAGCGGCAGTGACCAGACCCGGAGCAGCTGGTTGTGGAATGAACCAGAGCAACAGAGGCCAGGCCCTGAGCAGCCAGGCCCAGAACAGCTCGCTCCTTGCCTGTCCCTGCCCCACGGCTGCTTCTCAGACATGGCTGGAAACTTTCGTGGGAACTTGAGGGTCTGCTGAATCAAGTGATGAAGGCTTAGATCTGGATGTGTTGAGTTAGTTTAGGACTGGGGTGTTGATCTGTGAGTGCCTTGGGTGGGGCCTGGATGAGGCTGGTAGACCTATTGGGAAATGTCTTTTGTGTGAAGTGTATCATTGGGCATGTGGAGGTATTATTGATATGAGAAAATGCTAAGTAACTGATTTACTATCTGAAAAGGGATTTACTATTGGGGAAATTGAGGGAAGAAGAGACTGAACATAAACTGCACCTATGGATGAGGACAATGGGGGATGGAGAGGGGGCAGAGGATGGGGTGGGAACCTGGTGGAGGGGGGAAGAAATGAGGAACCTTTGTAATAATATGAACAATAAAGATTGATTTAAAAAAAAAAAAAAAAAGAGTTTCAGGAAAAGAAAATAAGAAAAAAAGTGGGGAGGGTTAGATTTATCAAAGTGATGGAAACCATGGAATGAAACACATTCCTTACAGCTGCTCAGGCTGACAAGTCCTGAAGATTCCTTAGACCTCCTTTTTAACCTTCCTCCCTTCCAACGGCCATAAAGTCTCCCCACCATCCTTCTCGGACAGCCTGTGCCTACCTGGGGAGAAGATTTTCGGTAGAAGTGCTTTAGCTGTTCATAAGGCAGAGGGAGCTGCTGGCGCTGGTACATGACATGCTTTAACAGTTCACAGGTAAACTGGCAGCAGCCTTCCTGGTTCACAGGCCCGGGGAACACCACGGGCACCAGGCCATCCCGGGGGCAGAAAGCCTCGGGACGGCTGGGGAGTTCTTGGGCGGTGGTGGTCTCCAGCAGTTCTATCTGGGGGGCGTGGGTTTCCTCCGACTCCTCATACCACTCCAAATCTGGTGGGCGCGCAGGGAGACAAGAAAGAGAAAAATGAGAAACTCAAAAGGCCAGAACCAGTCTTCTCATCCCCTGGGAGCACCCTAACCCCGACACAGGCACATGCCCTTCGCAAACTCCAGAGTGGGCGGAGGCGGGAAGATTCCTAATCCCCGACGCCTAAAGCGATGTAAGTGACGGCGGCGGCGAGAAAGCGGGGTGGTGGCGGTGGGGGTCCAACTCTGAGGCCGGGGACCGATGCTCGGAAAGCAGAGGCTCTGATCTGGGCTGAAAGAACGTGTGGTCCAGCGGGCTCCAGAACGCCGCCCGAGCGGGGTGAGCCAATGGGATCCTGGGCCGTGCGGCGCTGGAAGTCACTCCGGTCAAGCGGGAGCCGGGAGGGAAGCCCGGGAAGGCGGCGGGGAAGACCGGCCGGGAAAGGGGGCCCGGGGACAAAGGGCGGGAGGGCGAGGCGGCAGGGAACTAACAAGTCCCCCAAGTATCCCGGGACCCGGACCCCATGCCTTACCTGGGGCTGCGGTCAAGGACCGCAACTCCGGCTCCGGAGCTGCCATCACGCCCTCCTCTCCGCACTGCGGTTTGAATAGGCGCCCCGCGAGGTATTATGGGAAGCCTGTGCTTCCACTTCCGGCAGGTCGGACCGGAAGCCGACGCGGCGCCACCGCAGAACGGGGCCGACCGGGCTGGGGAGGGACTTAAGTCTTGCGCTCCCTCCCCGACACCCTCGTCCTGGGCTCTGCCCCGGAGCGGAGCGCTGCCTCCCCGAGGCCCCCCGCCCTCCCGCACCCCCTCTCCCCAGCGTCCGCCATTCACTGTGCGCCTCCTTGGTGCCGGGCCCTGTCCTAGGTGCTGGACGCTCTGTGGCAAGCAAGACCGAGGCGGAGGCTGTCCTCCAGCGGTTCACTCCCTATAGATACAATACAGTGCCACGAATTATAATACACAGCACCCTGGCTGTGGAGGGGAAGAACAGGGACGCCTAACCTAGATGAGGTGGGAGCAAAGGGGAAGTCCAGAGAAAATGTGCCCAAGAAACTGACCTGTAAGGAGGAGAACGTAGAGGCAAGAACATCCTCTATTCAAGCAATGAAAAGAATTAGAGCCCTGGAGGGTGTTTGCTCAGTAGTTCGAGCGCCGCTCCTGAAGGGTTGAAGGTTTAATTTCGACTGAGGGCACCTACCCGGGTTGTAGGTTCCATAAGCAGTGGGGGGAGGAGGAGGACGTGTATGAGGCAACAAATCGATGCTTTTCCCTCTCCCTTGCTTGCTCTCTCTCTCTCTCTCTCTCTCTCTCTCTCTTTCTCTCTCTCTCTCTTTGGAATCAATGGGGAGGGAGGGAAATGTCCTTGAAGGAGGAATTTTTTTTAAATCAGGTTATAAAGAGTTAAGGCTGTGGTGGACAAACAGGAGCCAGATCATGCAAGGCTTTATAACCCATGTTTGAACTTGATCCTGTGATGGAGAAACTGAAAGATTTAAGTAGGGGAGTAGCATTAAGTAGGGGAGTATAAATTTAACCTCTACACTGGCTGTAGGGTAGAGATTAGATTACAGGAAGGATAAGAGAGGAAGCGGAAATACCAATGGAGATAGCAACTGCATGGTAAATGAGGCCTGAACTAAGAGTGGTCACAGTCGGTGCAGAGAACTGGGTGAACTCTATAGAGATATCTGGAGGTCCAATGAGCATTACTTGGTTGATCCCAGGAAGAGGAGGAGGGCTAGAGGGTGGCTTTCAAGAAGACAAGCAGGCTTTTTTTTTTTTTTTTAATATATTTTATTGATTTTTTTACAGAGAGGAAGGGAGAAGAATAGAGAGCTAGAAACATCGATGAGAGAGAAACATCGACCAGCTGCCTCTTGCACCCCCCCCCACTGGGGATGTGACCACAACCAACATGCCCTTGACCGGAATAGAACCTGGGACCCTTCAGTTCGCAGGCCGACGCTCTATCCATTGAGCCAAACCGGTCTTGGCAAGACAAGCAGGCTTTTCACTTCGGCATTTCTACTGCCAGTTGTGTCATTCAAATAAAGAATACTAGAGTAGTTCGGCCAACCATGGCTCAGTGGTTGAATGTCAACCTATGACCAGGAGGTCGTGGTTCGATTCCGGATCAGGGCACATGCCTAGGTTGCAGATCCATCCCCAAGTGAGCCATGCAGAAGGCAGCTAGCTGATCAATGATTCTCTCTCATCATTGATGTTTTTCTCTTTCCCTCTACCTTCCTTTCTGAAATAAATAAAAATATATTTTTAAAACTCTTTTTTTTAAAAAGAACACGGGTAGGATCAGTTTTTTTGGAGGTGTGGATAAGGAGAAAAGATGAGTTCAGTTTTTGATAGGTTGGTTTGTGTTTCATTGAACAGATATTTAGGAATAGAGATAAGTATTTGAGTGTCGTCATCATGAGATTGGATAAGATCACCCAGGGAACCCTAGATGGTTTGCCTCAGTGGATAGAATGTCAGCCTGCAGACTGAAGGATCCCAGGTTCAATTCCAGTCAAGGGCACATACCTAGTTTGCAGGCTTGATCCCTAGTAGGGGGCCTGCAGGAGGCATCCGATCAATGTTTCTCTCTCTCTCTCTCCTCTCTCTTCCTTCCTCTCTGAAATCAATTTTTTAAAAATCTGTATTAGCCCTACCCGGTTTGGCTTAGTGGATAGAGTGTCAGCCTGCAGACTGAAAGGTCCCAGGTTCGATTCCAGTCAAGGGCATGTACCTTGGTTGAAGGCACATCCCCAGTAGGAGGTGTGCAGGAGGCAGCTGATCGATGTTTCTCTCTCGTGAATGTTTCTAACTCTCTATCCCTCTCCCTTCCTCTCTGTAAAAAAATCAATAAAATATATTTTTAAAAAACAAAATAAAAAATCTGTATTAAAAATAAAAAAGCCCTAGCTATTTTGGTTTAGTGGATAGAGTGTCAGACTGCGAATTAAAGGATCCCAGATTCAATTCCTGACAAGTGCACATGCCTGGGTTGCAGGCTTGATTCCCCAGTAGGGGGCAAGCAGGAGGCAACCATTCAATCATTTACTATCATCGATATTCCTATCTCTCTCTGACTGAGAAGTACCAATAGAAATAGATGTGTCAAGTCACAGAGGTCAAGAAAGGTTGTGTTTCAGGAAGTAGACACCAGAGATTAAAACATACTATAAAAGACCCAATTGGTATAACTCAGTGGTTGAGTGTCAACCCATGAATCAGGAGGTCATGGTTTGATTTCCAGTCAGGGCACATGCCTGAGTTTCAGGCTTAATCCCCAGTAGGGGGCATGCTGTAAGCAGCCAATGGATGATTCTTACTCACTGATGTTTCTATTTCTCTCCCTCTCCCTCTATGAAATCAATTTAAAAATGTTAATCCATCTTATGTCATTGGATTGAGATAATGCTATGCTGATGGGTGAAAATGGCCTTCCATGAGAACCCAGGTTATTGCAATTATCCAAACAAGATCCTATTTCCTATAAAAGAAGCACGAAGAGCTGTGTTTGGCATCTCATCTTGAAAGGAGTTTGACTTTTGTAGTTGTTCAAAAGCTGCATTAAATACAAGATAAGATTCAATGTGATCCCTATTAAAATACCAACAGAATATTTCACAGATCTACAACAAATACTCTAAAAATTTATATGGAACCAAAAAAGACCCTGAATACCTGCAGCAATATTTTTTTTCCACCAACACCCCCTCCCTGCAGCAATCTTGAGAAAGAAAAATAAAGTTGGAGGAATCACAATACCAGATATCAAGTTATACTACAAAGCCACCTTAATCAAAACAGCCTGGTACTGGTACAAGAACAGACATATAGATCAATGGAACAGAACAGAGACCCCAGAAATAGACCCAAGCCATTATGTTTAATTAATTTTTGACAAAGGAGGCAGAGCAGTCTCTTCAATAAACAGTGTTGGGAAAATTAGACAGATACATGCAAAAAATGAAACTAGACCACCAACTTACACTGTACACAAGAATAAATTCAAAATGGATAAAATACTTAAATATAAGTTAAAAAAAAATAAAAATCCTAGATGAAACCATAGGCAGCAAAATCTCAAACATCTCCCATAGCAATATGTTTATGGATACATCTCCTAGGGCAAAGGAAACTAAGGAGAAAATAAACACATGGGACTATATCAATATTAAAAAGCTTCTACTTGCCGAAACCGGTTTGGCTCAATGGATAGAGCGTCGGCTTGGGGACTGAAGGGACCCGGGTTCGATTCCAGTCAGGGGCATGTGCCTTGGTTGCGGGCATATCCCCAGTAGGGAGTGTGCAAGAGGCAGCTGATCGATGACTCTCTCTCATCGATGTTTCTAGCTCTCTATCTCTCTCCCTTCCTCTCTGTACAAAAATCAATAAAATATATATTAAAAAAAAAAAAAGCTTCTACTCAGCAAGAGAAGCCAACAATAAAACAAAAAGAGAGCCCATTGTATGGTAGAATATATTTGGCAATGATACATCTGACAAGGAGTTAATATAAATATATACATAAAGAACTTATACAATGTAACAAAAGGAAGGCAAACAATTAAATTTAAAAATGGACAAAGGATCTAAATAGACACTTCTCCAAAGTGGACATACAGATGGCCAAGAGGCATGAAAAAAAATGCTCAAAGTCATCAATTGATTATCCGAGATATGCAAATTAAAATGACAATGAGATATCATCTCACACCTGTCAGAATGGCTACCATCAACAAATGACAAGTGCTGGCGATGATGCAGAGAAAAGGGAACCCTAGCACACTGCTGGTAGGAATGCAGACTTTATGGAAAACAGTATGAAGTTTCCTCTAAAAATTAAATACAGAACTGCCATTTGACTCAAGGACCTCACTTCTAGTAATATATCCTAAGAAACCTGAAACACCAACCAGAAAGAATGCATACACCCCTATGTTCATAACAGCACAGTTTACAATAGCTAATATCTGGAAACAGCCCAAGTGCCCATCAATAGATGAGAGGAGCCCTAACCGGTTTGGCTTAGAGCGTCAGCCTGCAGACTGAAAGGCCCCAGGTTCAATTCCAGTCAAGGGCATGTACCTTGGTTGTGGGCACATCCCCAGTAGTAAGTGTGCAGGAGGCAGCTTATCAATATTTCTAACTCTCTATCCCTCTCCCTCTTTGTAAAAAATCGATAAAATATGTTTTTAAAAATAGACGAATGGATAAAAAAAAGTTGTGGCACATTTATACCATGGAATACTATGCAGCAGTAAAAAAAGAAGAATCTCTTACCATTGAGACAGCCTGAAAGGTCCTAGAGAGTACTAGTAGTATGCTGAGTAAAATAAGTGAATCAGAGAAAGACAAGTATCAGATGATTACACTCATATGTGGAATCTAAGTAACAAAATAAACTGATGAACAGAGTGGATCCAGAGGCATAGAAGCATGAAATAGAGTGTGGAATCTTGGAGACAAGGTGAGTGGAGGGTGATCAACCAAAGAACTTGTATGCATATATGTATAACCCATGGATACAGACAATAGGGTGGTGAAGGCATGGGGCGGGCAGCAGGGGAAGGATAGAGGAGGCAATGGGGGGAAGTTAGAGGGACATAAGTGCTTTAATCAACAGCAAAGATTAAAAATAAATACAAAATAAAACTCATCATGATCTCAACATCTCGAGTTTATAGTCAGCAGACTTGACTGCAGAGAATAATCCAAGGTAAGTGTTCATAAAGATTCTGCAAATGATACTTTTCTTCTTTAGTGGGTTAATGATTTTGATTTTTGGATTTGCTATGGCAAGTTTCTCCCTGGGTTATAAAATGTTTCCCTTTGCAATGGCAATGATGGATATTGTCACTGGTTTTTTGTGTTGTTGTTTTTTTTGTTTTGTTTTGTTTTCTTATTGTGGTAAATGCTGATGTACGCCGAAAGTCGGAGGAATTCACCATTTCTCAACTAGAAGAATCATGGGAGTACAGAATTGAGCACAATGAAATTTAGGCATTAGCAACCGAGAAACCAACAGTCAGCATCTGCCGATAAGCTAATCTGAAACCTGATTATCTCTAGGCCTTCAGAACTTTGTAAAGTTTCTTGAGCATTTCACTTACAAAATGAACACTAATTTTTTTTTTAAAGTGTTAATCGCTTAAAAAATAAAATACTATAGCCAAGCCAGCATGGCTCAGTGATTGAGCATCAACCTATGAACCAGGAGATTACAGTTCCATTCCCAGTCAAGGCACATGCACAGGTTATCAGCTTAATTCCCAGTATGGGGCATGCAGGAGGCATCCAATCAATGATTCTCTCTCATCATTGATGTTTCTATCTCTCTCCATCTCCCTCTCTGAAATCAATAAAAATTTATTTTAAAAAAATATACTATAAAAGTACAATGATAAAAATATTGAAGTATTGGCTCAGGAATAAGCAAACAATAAAACAGAAGAGAGTGCATAAACAGATCCATGTACATATAAATCTTACTATATTTTCAAAGCAAATAACTTGAGCCCTGGCTGGTTTGACTCAGTGGATAGAGCAATGACCCAAGGGCTGATGAGCCCCAGGTTTGGTTCCAGTCAAGAGCACTGACGTCCATTGCAGTCTCAATCTCTGGCCCTTGTCAGGGACCATGTGGGAGGCAACCAATCAATGTGTCTCTCTCACATGGATGTTTCTTTCTTTCTGTCTCTCCCTCTCCCTTCCATTCTCTCTAAAAAAAAAAAATCAATGGAAAAATATCTTCGGGTAAGGATTAACAACAACAAAAAGCAAATAATTTGAGAAAAATTCCTATCCAATTAGCAGGAGGAATAGCAAATTAGTTCCTACCACACATCCTACATAAATATAAATTTCAAAAAATTAAAATCTTATGTCAAAGTACTATACGCAGAATAAATGACAAATTACATTCCAGGGAAAAATGTGTGTGCGTATGTGTATGTGTAGACATATACATCCCAGTCAAGCACATCATAAGTAACTCTTCACAAGTAACTCCTCACAAGTAACTCCTCCAGAAAACTAAACACATAAGACCTTCCTTCTCCCAGGACCCTGATCCCCTCCTAGACAGACATCTGTGTTCAGCCTACTTCTCTGCCAGCCTTCACTCCTATCTTTGGTTAGCCAGGATTTTCAAGAATGGGAGATTGCCCTAGCTGGTTTGGCTCAGTGGATAGAGGGTCAGTCTGTGTACCTCGGTTGCAGGCTCCAGGGCGAGTGCAAGAGGCAACCAATCAATGTTTCTCTCACATTGATATTTCTGTCTTTCTCTCTCTTTTTCACTCTCTCTAAAAATCAATGGAGCCCTAGCTGGTTTGGCATCAGCCTGGGAACTGAAGGGTCCCAGGTTTGATTCTGGCCAAGGGCACAAGCCTGGGTTGCAGGCTCGGTCCCCAGTGGGGAGCGTGCAGGAGGCAGCCAATCAATGATTCTCATCATTGATGTTTCTCTCTCCCTCTTCCTCTATAAAATCAATAAAATATATATATATATATTTTTTTTAAAATATATTTTATTAATTTTTTACAGAGAGGAAGAGAGAGGGATAGAGAGCTAGAAACGCCGATGAGAGAGAAACATCGACCAGCTGCCTCTTGCACACCCCCTACCGGGGATGTGCCCGCAACCCAGGTACATGCCCTTGACCGGAATCGAACTCGGGACCTTTCAGTCTGCAGTCCGATGCTCTACCACTGAGCCAAACCGGCTTCGGCAATAAAATATATATTTTTAAAAACTCACCCAGTATTATTTTTTAAATGTATTTTTATTGAAATCAGAGAGGAAGAGAAAAGGAGAAAGAGACAGAAACATCAATGATGAGAGAGGGAAGACAGAGAGAAATATTGATATTAGAGGTACATTGATTGGTTGCCTCCTGCACTCGCCCTGGAGCCTGCAACTGAGGAACATGCCCTTCACTGGAATCGAACCCAGGACCCTTCAGGCCAAAGCTCTATCCACTGAGCCAAACCTACTAGGGCCAATAATATATAATTTTTAAAATTAATGGAAAATACTCCCAGGTGAGGATTTTTAAAAATAGTATTGAAAAACAAATATAAGTAATAAAATATATTTTTTTAAAGAATGGGATATTAAAATATATTTTTTAAAAGAATGGGTTATCCTTTCCCAGCTCTCATAAGTTCTCTACTTAGGAGACCAGGGTGTTGGGATGGATAAAGTGAAACTGTGTTGGAGTAGTTGAAAGATCCACCAAAATGAGAAGACAAGTGTTATCAGGCAAGTGTAGCAGGCCCTGGTTATCATGAGAGCCCAGAGCTGCTCCTGGTGAGAAAATTGAGATGGTCTTAGCTCTCCCTTCCAATCCCCATCCTTCTTGAGATCTGTCACTGAGTTTTCAGGTCTCAGCCTCTATGTAGCAGTCTCTCTGGCTAAGGTTGACTTCTGCAGCATAACTTCCTTTAGCTAAACAGGGTTGAGAAGAGAGAAGTCAAATATGCTTTCAACCACTGAAGACAAGAGAATTGCCTGGGTCCGCTAAGGTCTTTTGCAGATTTTGACCCATCAGCTCCCACTGTTTGGGGGAGCTATGCCAGGTGGGCAGCAACTCTGATTAGAAATCTGCCTTCCCTCCTTGTCGTCTTGGGGGGAAGCCATGGATCCGACGACGTCTGAACCCCTAAAAGGATCACCAGAGGTAAGCCATTGTTGCTGCTCCTAATTTTTCAAGTTAACCTGAGGTCTGGAGGGATGGGCTGTTTTATTTCTCGGCTGCGTGTGAGCATCTCGCTGTTTGTGAAGAGAGGGGAAGTGGACATACAATGAATGGTGGGTGAGTCATGAGAGAGCCAGGGGCTCGGAATTGAACCCTGGCGTCCTGACTCCCAACCCAACAACACTAACTGCTTCTCCACTCTGCCTTTCTAAGTGTCCTGTACACTGGTTTATGTCGCTAAATGTTTACTCTTTGCTGGCTGCCAGAGCTCTCAAGAGCAAGAGGGATGACTTGGCAAGAAAGTCAAAAGTCAGCAATCCTCCGGGGGCCCTTGGCCAAGTTTCTATTCTCGGCCACTTCCCCGCCCTCCTTGAGGCTGAGGTAACCCGAGCCCGCCCCTCCTATAGCCCCGAGTGTTTTCAAACTAAACTCGGTTCTCCCCGATTGGTTCTGCTTCAAAACAAGAAGGAGGGGCAATACTCGCTGCGGGCATCCTTGTAACCCTCTGGCAGCAAGGCTGGTTTATGGGTTCGGGCCTCCTATTGGGGCTTACCGCGGTGTCTTGGGCTGCTAAAACTAGCCCCCGGAGGGTGCCAGCCCGGTTATAAAGCAGTGACTGCAGTGTAAAGGTGGCATAATCATCGTAACAATAACAGCCATAATTAGGCTAACCATCACCCGCCTCCGCCCTGGCATTCGCCCTGACTCACCCCGACGGCACGCCGACCATCGGGGAAGAGGGAAGAAACCGAGGCGGGGGAGGAGCCAGCAGGCTGCAGGGACCAGTGGCTGTGAATTCGCAGTTCTCCGGGTCTAAAACCTGTTGCCTGGGATCGCGCTAAGGGGCCACATCCAGGAGTGTCCTCCAAGCTGGATTCTGAAGTAAGCCCTCCGTTGACACCCCCCACCTACACACCCACCCCAAGGCCCTATTAGATAAAGACCGGTTCAGAGCGCGGAGACTGGGGACCAGACTACAGCTCCCTTAGACCTTTGCGCGCAAAGGCGCGCTCCCTGTCTACGCCCCGAAGCCACCTGCGGCCCCTGCGTCGCGATGCTTCCTGGGAGTTGTAGGACGGCGGCGACCTCTTTGGAGGAAGCTCTCAGGCTGGAGGACTCTATATCCCGTGGTGCACCGCGGCTGTTTCTGACGCGCCTGGAGCCGGAGACGGGTGGGGGCGTGACCTGGGCAGGGCCCCACCCCGCTCTCCTTCGGCTGGCCCGACGCGGCGGTGGCAGTAGGGGCGGCGGCGGCGGTAGTGGCGGGGGGGAGGGGCCGGGCGGGGGGCTGGCGGCGGCGGCGGCGGATGGACTCGCGGGTATCGGAGCTGTTCGGCGGCTGCTGCCGGCCCGGAGGGGGCCCGGCCATGGGCGGAACCCTCAAGGCTAGGGGAGCCGGGGGCAGCAGCGGCTGCGGGGGCCCGAAGGGGAAGAAGAAGAACGGAAAGAACAGAGGGAGCAAAGCCAACAACCCCCCATATCTGCCCCCCGAGGTGAGCACCTGAGCAGTGGCGGGTTGAGAAGAAACCACTTCTTCCGGTCCCGGGATTCCGGGAAGGCGGGACGGAGAGACTTGCTACCCCTTTCCGGTGTCAGGACCCCTGGGGAGAGTAGAACCCCTCCTTCCGGTCCCAGGACCCCTGGGAGGAGGGATGGAGAGACTGGCCCTCTCCTCCGGATCAGGACCCCAGAGAGGAAGAGTGGAGAGGAGCATCCCCCTATTCTGATCTAGATAATGCCAGGAGGAAAAGTGGGGAAGGGAGATCCCACTCCCATCCCCTTGGGATGATCAGAATGGAATGCCCAGGTTCATCCCTTGCTGCACTGAGAGCAAGGAGACAACATTGCTCTGGGATGAAGAGGCAGAGTTTTCTACACTTGTTCCTTGGGGAGGAAGGGAGTACCCGGGAAAAGAGCAGTATGTTCTGTACTTATCCCTGAGTACACACACATGCACACGCACACTCACACACGCACACACCCCAGAACAGTCAGGTAATCCTGACCTTTGCCTGTCCTAGGAGGATGTGAGGACCGCCTCCACATACCGACTTCATCTACCCCTTAAGGCAGAGAATATTGCTACTTTGTCCATCTTAGGAGAGGAGGATCCAGAGGAAGAGCCTAACCCAGTGGTTATCAAACTTTAGCATGTATCAGAATCATCTGATTGCTGCCCCACCCCTAGAATTCCTGGCTCAGTAGGTCAGAGGTGGGCCTGATAATCTGCATTTACAAGTTCCTGGGTGGTTTTAACGCAGCTGGCCCTGGGACCACACTTTGGATCATCCTTGTACCACTTTTCTGATGACATTCATTCTAATTTTTCTTCTCCGTCAAAATGATGAAAAGGAAGGTCTTTGTTGATGAGCAAAGCTCTCCCTTATACTCCATGAAGTAGAGATTATTGGTGAAGACCTATTAAAGCCTGGAGTCAGAGGGCCTTGAAGAGATGGAATGATGACAGAAAGGGAGAAAGAAAAATGGCCAGGGAGGAGGAGTGCAGAAATGCAGGACAGACAGAACAAGCAAATCTCCTCCTTTTGCACCTGAGAGGGGAAGGCTCAGGCAATAGGATACTTCTGTTGAGTCACGTAATATAGGGGAGAGGTAGAGGAGACTGGAGTGGACTCAGCTCAGACATAGAGTTAGGGCAGGTGTGGGGAATTCCAGCTCACCAGCCAGAGAAATCATTTGGTCTGGCCTTGCCAAGGCATTAGGGGTGAATTAATTGTTTGACCAAATAATAGCAGGTTAATTTTTAAGTTGATAATTTTGTATTGGCCCTCGAAGGATGTTATAAATATCCAAATGGCCCTTGGCAGGAAAAAGGTTCCCCACCCCTGGGTTATGGCATAAGAGAGAAAAGCCACAGTGAGTCTGTCCCCTTAATTATATTTTCTGAGTTTCTTCTCTTCACCTCAGCCCCAACTTTGGAGCCCTATCCCTCTCTTATTTCAGCTCCTCTCTCATTGGGCTTGTAATGACCAGTGCTGAGTTCACCCATTGGCCCTGGTCCAGAACCTCTTGCATTCTCTTACTCTTGATGACATCAGCTGAGAAGGGTGGGAAGGAAGGAAATGGTGTCTCCCAGACCAATGGCAAAGAAGGGCCTCAACAGCCAGGACACAGAGGAGACAGATTTCTGGGGACGGCAGTTTGAGGGCCTGAAGAGAAGGAAGGGGTGATCTTGCATCTAGGAATTATATACTTCCAGTGACCAAAGAAAGGAGGGACTCAGGGTTCTGTTCCTGCTTAGATGGGTATTGTTCTTAGAGGCCTTTCCTTGAGAGAAGTCACGTTGGGGCTGGGTAGGGAGCTTGTCTGCCAATGACCTTTGGCAGGCACCTGCCTTAACAGGTGCCATTGTGGCTTCCTTCTCTCTCAAGTTAACTGTTGCCTGGGCCCCATCAGGAATCGGGGAAGTTTGGGGTTGGATCTGGATCATATTTGGTAACTGCTCCGTGTTCCTTTTCAGGCTGAAGATGGAAACATCGAATATAAAGTGAGTCTTAGGCTGGGGAGGTGCAGGTTGTCCTTGCTGGCATGGGATGGCGATTTCTCTTGACATCCTTCCAATTTCACGATCTATAGTAATTTAGGATGTGGTTCAGAGTAAAGGCTCTGTACCTCATTTTATTGGGTGAGGGGGACCCACTGTTAGAGGGGAGGTCAGGCATGAGGGGTTTAAGTGGGAAGGGAAGGTCCTGGTCCTGATAGCAGGACAGGTGGTGAGCATGTGGGTATAGGAGGACCATCTCTGATTTCACCTTCTCCTGATCCCTCACCTGCCCTAAGCTGAAGCTGGTGAATCCATCCCAGTACCGCTTTGAGCACCTGGTGACACAGATGAAGTGGCGGCTCCAGGAGGGCCGTGGTGAGGCAGTCTACCAGATTGGGGTGGAGGACAATGGGCTGCTGGTGGGGCTGGCTGAGGAGGAGATGCGGGCCTCCCTCAAGACCCTGCACCGGATGGCAGAGAAGTATGCTTCCCCGCCCCCCCTCACTTCTTCTCTTCCCTAACTCTGGGGAAAACCCAAATGCATCCAGTGACCTAGAGCCTTAGGGCCAAGAAGATACTTTCCTTCTGCTGCCTTCTCTTGACCAAGGGATGAAGTGGGGAGGGCTAGTTCTGAGCTCCTCCACATTTGAAGCTAGGCTTTTTTGCTTTTTTGACTTAAGACTTGTTTGTTTGTTTAAAGGGACCTGTGGATATGGGGTAGATTGAGGGTGGTAAGAGAGAAAGTAACGCTTTGGGAGCTCTTTGGGATGAGTGGGAAGGCCATTGGTCCAGAGCCAGGATGGAAGGCTGGAGGTGGGGGAGTGCAGTCGAGATGTGGCAGCTGTGGCCTTGCTGTGATAGGGTTGGGGCAGACATCACAGTTCTCCGGGAGCGAGAAGTGGATTATGATAGCGACGTGCCCCGAAAGATCACTGAGGTGCTGGTACGAAAGGTCCCTGACAACCAGCAGGTGAGCACACTTTTCCCTGCCTTTCTCACCCACGCTCCCCGAGGACCCTGTGGTGGCAGGCGCTCTCCTGGCCTTTGACCCTGGGGGTATCCAGGTCATCATTTGGTTCCCAGGGAGCAGCGCTGCCCTTGACCCCGCCTTCAGTAGAGAGAGAAAAGGGATTGGAGCCCTTACCTCTGACAATTCATCCACAGTTTCTGGACCTTCGTGTGGCTGTCCTGGGGAACGTGGACTCGGGGAAGTCTACTCTGCTTGGAGTCCTGACCCAAGGAGAGCTGGACAATGGCCGGGGCCGAGCTCGGCTCAACCTGTTCCGCCACCTGCATGAGATTCAGTCTGGCCGGACCTCCAGCATCAGCTTCGAGATCCTGGGCTTTAACAGCAAGGGAGAGGTGCATGCCATCAACGGGACCCAGTGGGGCCAGACTATGAGGATGGGATAGCAGTGGTGAGGGACAGGGTGTGGGACAGTGTGTGGACACTTTTTGAGTAGATAGATGAAGGCCCTGAGGGCAGTGCACAAGTTCTGTCCTCCTTAGAAAACAAATGGGGAATCAGCTGAATTAAATCATAGATGGGGCTCAGGGGTAAGAAGCAGGGTTACCCAGGGACTGGTTTAGGTCCTGGCAACTCTGAAAGGGTTGGGGAGGCTGGCAGGGGGCACTGAGCGCCCTGGGCTCTGGGCCAGGTGGTGAATTACAGTGACTCACGGACGGCAGAAGAGATCTGTGAGAGCAGCTCCAAGATGATCACCTTCATCGACCTGGCCGGCCACCACAAGTACCTACACACCACCATCTTTGGCCTCACCTCGTACTGCCCTGACTGCGCCCTGCTCCTCGTTAGTGCTAACACTGGGATTGGTACGAGGCATTGGGGCAGGGATGTGGCTGGGAGGGGGTGCTGACTTTCTCCTACCCTGGGTCTCCTCCAACCTGGGAGCCAGATGAACTTTTATTTCCTCTCCTCCCTCCCCCATCCTCACTCTTCTCTCCTGATTCCTGCCTCCTTCTCTGAGGCAGCCGGCACAACACGGGAACATCTGGGGCTGGCCCTGGCCCTGAAAGTGCCCTTCTTCGTCGTGGTCAGCAAGGTGGACCTGTGTGCCAAGACCACAGTGGAGAGGACGGTTCGCCAGCTAGAGCGGGTCCTGAAGCAGCCCGGCTGCCACAAAGTCCCCATGCTGGTCATCTCTGAGGATGATGCCGTCACTGCCGCCCAGCAGTTTGCCCAGTCACCCAAGTAAGCCTTCCTCACTCCAGAGCCCTGATTCACGGGGAAGGCTGCCACGGAGCCTGGGAACATGGTGTCCCACCCCTGGACCAAACCAGCCTGGCTCAGTTCTATGGTTTGCAGGTTGGGACTGTGGGAGGGTGTCTTTGCTAAAGGACTGACCCTTTCCCTAAGCCAGCCTGGGACCCCGGAGACGAAGTGCTGTGGCAGGCATTCACCAACCCCCCTGGGTTCTGGGTAGGTCCTTGGCTGGTTCACAGAGAGGGCCTGACATTCCTGTGAAGGTTTATCAGGAGGGGCCGAGCCACCCTGATAACAGCTCACCTTTCCATGTATGGGCTCTAGCCTCTGCTTCCTATTACAACTTTCCTCATCTGTCTATCCCATGTCTCCCTCTACAGTGTCACCCCAATCTTCACCCTGTCCAGTGTGTCTGGAGAGAGTTTGGACCTGCTCAAAGTCTTTCTGAATATCCTGCCACCGCTCACCAACAGCAAAGAGCAGGAGGAACTCATGCAGCAGCTGACAGAGTTTCAGGTAAGTGTCCACCCAAACGGGCAGTGAGCCGGGGAACTAGGAAGGACTAATTCTGGCTAAGCCCCAAGTCTGCTTAGAGATTTTGCACCTGCACAGGCCATTGATAGAATTTTCTTTGGCTTCAGGTGGATGAAATCTACACAGTACCAGAGGTGGGCACAGTTGTTGGAGGGACACTTTCCAGGTGAATTTCCTTGCTTGCTGCCCACCCCATTCAGCCCTCACATACCCAGACATTAAGACATCATGGTCCAAAGGAGACCCTGGAGTTGAACAGAGCTTAGCTAAAAGATGTGCTTGCCTTCAGATTAGGCTTTCACCATCAGAGGAGCTGGAGAGAGCTAGTCTAGTGGCTGTGAGGGAAGAAACAGGATTGCTGGTTTGCTGGGCATCGCCAGGCCCTGAGGGAGCAGTGTGGGTCCTGGGCTCCAGGAAGAAAACTAGAGTATGTTCCGCTGACCTCATTTTCAAGTAGGGAAACGAGAGGCCCTTAAGACTCTTCCCAAAGCAGAGGATGGAACCCACGGGGCTGTCTTGCTCTTGCAGGCAGGGGTCAGATGTTCAGTATCAAACCAGCAGTACCCCTGCCAGTCATCACTGCCTTTCCTTGCATTACCCTTCAGAATCTGAACTCTGAACTGGGATAGGCATCCACTTTCTCTACCTCCAAGTTAGAATTTTTTCCCTAACTCAGAATTTAGGGTCTCTATTCCCCTCCTGAGGGACTCACCTTAGAAGGGAAGGAATGCTCTGGGTGACCCTAGCAGAGAAGTAAGGGAGGGAGCCTGGGCTGACGCTGTGCCATCCGCCCTCTGGGCTGCAGTGGGATTTGCCGTGAGGGTGACCAGCTGGTGGTGGGCCCCACGGACGATGGCTGCTTCCTGGAGCTGAGAGTATGCAGCATCCAGCGCAACCGCTCTGCCTGCCGTGTTCTGCGAGCTGGTCAGGCTGCTACACTGGCCCTCGGAGACTTTGACCGTGCGCTCCTCCGAAAGGTGAGGTGGGAGGGTGGGTTGAGAGGGGACACAAGAGAAGCACCTGTGTAAGGGGAACCCAAAGGGAACATGGTCTCTATCCCAGGAAGCTGGTTACACAGACGGTCTGTGTTTGAAAAGAGTTAGAATACTCATAAAGCACGGATCACTAATTATGAATCACTGTGGTCCAACCCAAGTGTCCAGGGCCCTAGAAATACAAATCATTAGAAAGGTTAGAGGATCCGGGAGATAGGTAAGGAGGGTTCCTCCTAAGAGGAGAGCTTTGGGTATTGCCTTTTGAGGTCTTATGTTTGAAGTCCTAGAGGGAGAGGAAACTTAGGAGCCGTAGGGTGAGAGACTAACGTGAGGTCTGGGGCTGTGCTCCCCAGGGCATGGTGATGGTGAGCCCCGAGATGAATCCCACCATCTGCTCAGTGTTCGAGGCAGAAATAGTCCTCCTGTTCCATGCCACCACATTCCGGCGAGGCTTCCAAGTTACCGTCCACGTGGGCAATGTCCGCCAGACGGCAGTGGTGGAAAAGATCCATGCCAAGGTGAGAGGGATCCAGCTATGCATGTTTTTCCAGGGAAAAGTCAGAATTCTCCTTCCAGAAAAGCCTGCCTCAGCCTCTTAGAGAACTCCCTGGTCCCACAAAAGGGAGAGAGACCCATTCAGAGTGGGTACGAGCCTGATAGGCCCCAAAGGGTGGAGAACCCAGGCTGGTGGAGAATGGGACCCGAGGCATTATCAGAGCCAGTGACCACCTATCTGCTGCAGGACAAGCTGCGGACAGGGGAGAAGGCAGTGGTACGTTTCCGCTTCCTGAAACACCCAGAGTACCTGAAGGTGGGCGCCAAGCTGCTGTTCCGGGAGGGCGTCACCAAGGGCATCGGCCATGTCACTGATGTGCAAGCCATTGCAGCAGGAGAAGCCCAGGCCAACGTGGGCTTCTGAACTCCAAGCAGGCGCAGCTCTATTGCTGTCCCTACAATACATGATGCCTCTGGCCATGCTGCCCCCTGCTGGCGGCTCTGTGTGTTAATAGGCTAGGGAGAGGGGTGCTCCCTGCCACCATGCTGGAAAGGTGCCAAGCTTGGTGTGGCCAGGGAGGGAAAGCCCTGAGGGAGAAGACGGGAGAATTCAGGGCAGTGCTCAGCAGCTGTGTGCCCATCTTGATGGCTCATCCACACTGGAAACCCCATGACCTGTCTACGGAGGGAGCTGACCGCTGCCCCACTGTCAGGACTGGGCATGATCACCGGTGTGGTCCCTGCACTTCAGGAATTGTCACAACTGGGAGTGGTCCTCGAAAGCACTCCTTTTCTATACCTCTTCTGAAGACCATGTAAGTTGCCCGTCTCTACCTGACTGTGGACATAAGACATCTACTCAGGCTCCTGGCCATCTGATGGTCTAGGGTCAGAAATGGCACAGTGAATGGCAATGTTCCCATCCTGTGCTGAGACATGCAGCCTATTCTCAGCTTTATGGCCCTTCCCTTTTTCACTCAAAGGCCATTTCCCTTGTTTCCCCCCACTCTCATAGGCCCCACAGGTGCTATTTGTTGAGCTGGCCCAGGCGTGGGGCTGCCAAGCTAAAGCTTGGCATACCAAAGGTCAGCTGCATGTCAATCAATTTTGTCCCCTCTTCTGCAGTGATCTGTTGGTTTTAATTTTTTTTTTCCCCAATTGGTTTTAGAAAAAGGAAGGGAGAGAGAAACATTGATTTGTTGTTTCACTTACATATGCATTTATTTATGTGCCCTGACGGCATCAAACCAGAAACCTTGGCATACCAGGACAATTCTCTAACCAACTGAGCTATCCGGCCAGGAGTGATCTGTTGTTTTAATGCTGGATCAAGCAATATGTTTTACTTTCCCACACTGACTCACAGCTCCCATTCTGCCACCCCCACCCTGCTTCCCGCTCCTACCTAAGTCCTCTGTTTTAGTAATTTGCAGTGACCATCCCTTTCCCTCTGTTGCTGGGAACCTAGAGAAAAGGGAAGGTTGTTGCCATATTTCCTACTCTTTAAGACATGGGCTCCCTTCTTTCCCTTTGTTCGTGTCCTGGGTTCCCATGGACTCAGGGATTTGTTGGTTGAGGTTTCTTTGCGTGTATATATATATGTATATACATATATATATTTAAATACACATATATATATATATATTGTACAGAATAAAAATGTTTTATTGAACACACTGTGCTTATTAAACAAACAGGTTCAACTTCCAGAACTAGATTCCTCTCTGGGATTAGAGACAGGTGATATCCTAACACTGCTGAACCCTGAATGGGGAAAGAACTCATCTATCAGTAATATCTCATTCACCATTCTTCCTTTCCTCTCTCACACTTTCAGTCAGTGTTCCAGTATTGTGATCAAGTATTCTGAGCTGTTTTGCATAGTTCTTCAAGTGAGCAGAATAGAAAGCGAAACTGCTCTTTTGAGCTGAGATAGGTAACTGCCTCATACTTGAAGAATTGGCCACTTGCTAATGGTAAGGAACTCACTACTGTATCAGAGATTTGGAGATTAGTATGCCAGCTACTAATGAAGAGTAGAATTTGGAGATATGGTAATCTGGTCCTCATGCTTTACCTAGCAATGCAAAATAGCCTAAAGTGAGGTTTATGTGGCCTAAATTGGCTCCTTGGAGCTTTGAGGGCCACCTTGCCAAACTTTAGTCCCTTCCTGTTTCTGTGTTCAGAGTACCTGATTATCACAGTCTATAGGTAGAGAAATAGGGCTCAACATTAAAATCAACTAAAAAAAGGAACTGCATTTTGAACTCTGAATTTTGAAAAAGAAATTTAATGATAAATGTGGCCCGAGGTCCAGGGGCATTCTGTCTCCAGGGTTTTAAAGTGATAGCTTCCCTACCTCTCAAACTCAGCTGCTTTTTTCTGCTCACTGGTTTCACTTGTTACAAAGAAGCCAACCATCAAAGACCTTCCTGTGTTGGGAACTAAGAGAAGGTTTACTTCCTTCTGTACAATAGCTGTGCTATAAGGAAAGGTTATATGTAGCACACAAAAAAGTTTTTAGGAGACAACAATTATGCTCAGAGATTTCTGTCTTTGTCAGCCTCTTATTTAGCACAGGTTCGCTTTGGATATTATGATTTCAAAAGCCAGTAGCATACAATAACTCTTAATAAACAAAGTAAAGAAGTAATACATTAAACAAATGTCAGGTTAATCACACTACCAGGAGGCACTCGGGAGAGTTAGTGACCCACCAAAGAGCTGACTTCCAGCTGCCAGCATAAAAGTAAGTCCCCTGTTGCTAGAGCATGTTGTTAGGGCACAAGGACATTAGGTAGCAGGATGGCTAAGCTGCTATGAGGATTATCATCACTTCTGAGATCCCTGCATGGGTTGGTTGGTTGTTTTAATTTTATGTATTGATTTTTAGAGAAAAAAAAACAAACATCTTTTTTATTGTTGCACTAATGATGCACTCATCGGTTGATTCTTGTATGTGCCCTGACTGGGGATCAAACCCACAACCTTGTTGTATTGGGACGCTATAACCCAGCATTCGACAACCTTTCAGATCTCATGGACCACCTGATGGCTTCCAGTGCTAACCAACTGAGCTACCCAGCCAGGGAAAAACCCTGCATGGATTTAATACCACTGGACAAGTAGGAGCACATGTCTCAAGTGTCTTCAGAGAGTTCTTAGCAAAGAGTTGTCTCACCCAAAGCAAAACTCAAATAGTCCTCAAAAACTCAACATTTAAAGTCTAAACTAGAGGTTTGGTACACAAAACTTGTGCACGGGTAGGGTCCTTAGGCCAGGTCGGCAATCAGGGCCCATCTGTGGGGCAATAAAGGGGGCACCCTATTGGCACCGGCCTTGGCTGACCTGGGGCCTGCAGGCTGGGGGCAGCTCCTGCATTTAGCGTCTGCCCCATGGTGGTTAGTGCACATCATAGCGACCAGTCGTTCTGCCGTTCGATCGATTTGCACATTAGGCTTTTATTATGTAGGATGTCCCCTTACCATTGTTGCTTCTCCACGTGTTTCTATTGGTAAGCCCCCAGCAGAACCCCCCTAGGTGGGCTTCTGACTGCTTTTCAACAACAGATGCAAAATGACCACATCCTGGCTTAATTCATCCTAATATCAAAGCAACTTTTTAAAATTTGTCATAAACAACTGAATTAAAACAATTTCACTTAGGTCAAAAGTGGATTTGAAATATTAAACCTATACACAAATCACCTGTTAAAGAACAAAAATGCTTTTTAAAAAAATTAACAGCTTTTTTTTTTAACCTTCCCTGGATTAAGAAAGGAAATTTTGGAAAATCATCTCAGTACTTAATAAGACATCTTTAGGAACTAGTAAGCCACTCTGCTAAGTTAATGGAACATGTAGGAGGATAAAATGGTACATAAAGCAGCTCTCTGCTCCCTCCCCCCAGTAGTATGTATATTTTTATTGTTCCAGTTCTAGTTACTTTATCTAAAATTTTTTACTATGTTTCATTTAGTAGATATCAAGCATCTATTATGTGCAAGACACTAAAGAATTCTTACTTCCAAGTAATTGTAGATCTAGTAGGGAAAGGACCATATACACAGAGAACTGTCTTTTGTTAGATATTTAACTGCAATAAAAAAAAAAAAAAGGAAACTATTTTTGGAGGAAGAAATTTCTGTTAGATCTAGTGGTTTTTCAAATGTTTCCCCCCATCTGCAAAGTAAATACAGGTCTCCAGTTTATAAGTAAGATTAAAAAGCAGTTGGTTTGAGTATATGTGTGGGAAGGGGAATATGTACACCATTCTCCCTACTCCACTACCCCCACGACCAAACTCAATTCTTCAGTTTTTAAAATATTTTTTATTGTTGATAGTATTACAGATATCTCCCATTCCCCCGTTCCTTTCCATCTCTCCCAGCCCTCCCTCCACCCGCCAATGTCTTCACTACCTTTCATCTTCAATTTTATTCAAGGTAAACCATATCAGAAAAGCTGACTTTCCACAAATAAGAACAGAGCTAAGAATACAGTATTATAAACATGGACAAGTGCAAAAAAGCTACAATTGAAAACCTTTAAGCTAAATAGTCACTTCAGTATGAAAGAGATGAACATGCCAGTGATCCTGAAGGCCCAAGTACTTACCCCTTAAGTTTGTACTTTAGAATTTAAGAAAATGCTCTCTACAGATCTGGCTGGCTACTGGTATCTTCTAGATCAGTGCTTCTCAAACTTTAAGAAACAGCCTGATGAATCTTGTTAATATATAGATTCTGATTCAGTTGGGGTGGGGTGAGACAGATGATTTTAACAAGTCCCCTTGAAGCTGCTGCTGCTACTGCTCAAAATTACATTGAGTAGCAAAGGTCTAGCGATAATCTAGTTCTGATTATGACTTATCCAGTCTAAATAATTCCTGAAGTGGTGCAGTAATAATCTCGCACATTAGAACATGATGCAAGAGGTAGAAGAACCAGTGGCTAAAACTTTATCATACAGCTTGCTTGTATGAAATTCAGTATTTATTGAGTAACCCCTGTCATAGATAGAGGAAAATTTTTTTTAGCTATTTTTTTTTTTTACTCAGTTCCTTTTCTGTGCTATAGTACTTAAATAAATTGTTCTAAATCTTCAGTAACCTGTAAGGCATTATCTTCATTTTGCTCATTATCTCAAAGATGAGGAAAAGTGAGGAAATTGACTTGCTCAAGGCCCTATACTTCAGGAGGTAGAACCAGGTTTGGAACCAGATCTCTTAGGCTCCAAGGTCCACACACTTTGAACTATATGACCGCCTCCCTAAACACTTAACAATTAAAAACTCAAAGCAGTTGCATCTCTGGAGGATGAATTTTTACATCTCTATCAGCAATGAAATTAGGATCCATGCCCATGAAGAGATGGGAGACTTAACTCAGCATTTAAGTACATTATTTTTCTTAAAATTTTTTTATAAAGTTATGATGAATTTCCTTGAAAAGTGAACATATTTCCATTTCCCAGGTTATAAATAAAATATTAAAGCCTCATAGCAAGCCTGAGGGCAGCACTAGTGTGTTAATGGCTTAAAAAATGATTCCAATGTCTGCATGCCCTCAGGCTTAGGGCGTTTATTACTGGAGGCCAAAGGGCTCTTGGGATTTCTTTTGCCTTGAGGAGAACTGGCAGGAACAACCTGGGGGTTTGAGGAGTGAGGCTGCAAGAAAGATTTCTGCAACTCCAGTGCAAAATGATAGTCCATATGTTCCGGCATCTCCCATGCAGGTACCAGAGAACCACACTTCTCACAGGACACTTGATCTTCAGTAGCCAGAAGACTGGGGATAGTGGTTGTCTTCTGAGCCACCTCCAGAGCAGACTGGGGAGTTAAAGAAGCAAGCGTACTGGGGCTGTTCTGGGCCAAATCCATCTCCGCAGGAGTTGCTTTACACAATTCTAGCTTCGAAACCTCTTCACAGACAGGGCCAGGATCTGGATATTCTGTTGGAACGTCTGTTAATTTTTTAGGACTAGGTTGTGGATTTTGTGGAGGGAAGGAAATGGAAGGATTATTCAGCTGTTTCTGCTTCAGAAGCAGACTTTTCTGCTTAAAGAAGGGCTCGATTCCTGTAGTCCGGCTGGTCTGGAAAGGTAATGAGGGCTTGAGTGGTGAATTGCTCTTAGGGGCCTGGGTAGTGGCAGGGAGAGACGAAAGTGAAGCTTCTTTGAGTTTCTGCTTTTCTGCAGCTTTTTGGAAAAGAGATTCCAAAGGATTGGTTGCTTTCTTAGTGGCTGTCACCGAAGGGCCACTTCCCTGGGTCTTACTTTCTGGACTGGTAATTGGTACCTTTGGCAGAGGACTTGAGTCGTTACTCAAGAAGGTGGTGATGTCTGTGCAAGATGAAGGGGCAGAGGTGGAGAATTTGGTAGCACAAAGGAAAAGCATTGTGAGGGGAGGGTACCTGTATGGAAAGTTCAAAAACAAGATTTGAATTATAAATGACTGGAATTCTGATTCTGCCACAAGGGGAAATTATTACTGCATTGATTCTCAAACTTTAGGGTATATCAGATGAATGTATATTCGATAGACCTGGGATAGACAGAGAGTTTGCCTTTCTAACAAGTTCCTAGATGATGCTGATGTTGCTGATGTAGGACCACATCTTGAGAATGGCTGACTTGGTGAGCCAAGTCACATGTGTAAGTTGGAGCCCCTGATAGCCAAGTATTACTATTTTCATACAATATTGCTACAGAGCTACTATAATTCAGGGTTAGGGCCAGAAACTTTACTTGGGGTAACAAAGAGCTTCAGAAAACTTAGACTAGAAAAAATGTTTTTAAAAACCTCTCACCCATTCTGTTTTTAAAAAGACACCACCTGACATTAATGCAGACAGGCTTTCTTTTTTTTTTTATATTTCTTTTATATTTTTATTGATTTCAGAGAGGAAGGGAGAGGGAGAGACAGAAACATCAGTGATGAGAGAGAATCATTGATCAGCTACCTCCTGCATGCACCCTACTGGAGATTGAGTCCACAACTGGGGCGTGCCCTAACCAGACTGGGAATCAAACAGTGACTTCCTGGTTCATAAGTTGACTCTCATCCACAGAGCCCACCAGCCAGACTGGAATACTTTTTTTAAAAAATGTAACAGGCTGTTAAATAGTTAAAGGATTCCAACATTGAAAATAGTATCAAGACAGTAAATGAACATACTTCAATCATATAGTTGGTTATTTTTCATGACTAACTAAAGTTTATTTAACATGACCATTGGTATTGTACCTTGGAGCTTATAACTGAGTTGGGATGCTAGATAGAGATTATCAATGAGTATGGGTTAGTTTCATTATCAAGGAAGATGCTTTTAAGATAGAAAAATCAAGTAGAGAAAGAAGTTCCCAAGTGTGCTGTGTTCTTGAAACTTTAATTCTGTACTCCCAAGTGCAATTGGTCATTCCCCTGACTATTGCAAACTGATACAGGTAAGGATAGTATTGATTCACTCTGCCTCTCAAACCTACCCCTGGGAATTGGATTGCACCAAGTGTAGGCAAAGAAGTTGCAGCTGAGCTGTCTTTTCGCTGGTGTTTCTACTTGCTTCTCTCCTTTTGTGCATACTATTGCTCTCTGTAATAGGTCCTGCTAGCCAGAGTCACAACTACCCTAGCTGGGAAGTTTATATTACCCACTAATTTTAGAGCAAGATATCGAGTACAAGTCTCTTCTGAAAAGATGAGCTAGAAAGAAACTCACCATTCGGTTTGGGTTCCTGAAGTATTACAGTTCCTGATGACTGCAAATGCATCATGGCTCATCTTGCGAGCATCGTAGCGGGTAAGGGCACAGCAGCGGCGCAGACTGCTGAGACGTTTGTCTCCTTGTACACGAATGCTCACAACCAACTGGGTGGCAACCCTGTCATTCTGTGGGTGTAGAAGGAATGAGACCAGAACTAAAGTTACCATGAGCATCTGGATTCTGTATACTGAACTGTGTGACAGAACATTAAAAGAACTAGGGTGACAGAATTGTTTGAAAATAGTCAACTTTAATTTAAAAATTAATTTTTTTTTGCTATTTTGATGTATAAGGAGAAATTAAAGAAGGTACAACTTGGATGATTATTAGTATATCTAGGAAATTTTGAAGGTGATGCAAAGAGGAGAGAATAAATAAAATGGACTCTCCTGAATGTTCTTTTTATGGTGTCTATGCAGGAAGATTATAACGAATACCTGTAGTACTATATTCTATTTTGTGGCTGAAGGAAGAACTCTTATAAGTAACTGTCTGAATGGAAGATCCAAGCTAGGATGTCAAGATTGAGTAGTAGATTTGTTCTTTAATCTGCCATGATGCTTAATAAGAGTAGAAGTTTTCACCAGCACCTTCTTCTTATAGCCCATCACTAGAAGATACAGTGTAGTGAGCCTGCCTCTAGAAGGCAAGATCATTGGTTCACTTTTTTTTTTTTTTAATATATTTTTATTGATTTTTTACAGAGAGGAAGGGAGAGAGATAGAGAGCTAGAAACGTCGATGAGAGAGAAACATCGACCAGCTGCCTCTTGCACCCCCCCACCGGGGATGTGCCCGCAACCAATGTACATGCCCCTGACCAGAATTGAACCCGTGACCTTTCAGTCTGCAGACCGATGCTCTACCACTGAGCCAAACCGGTTTCGGCTCATTGGTTCACTTTTCTAGTGAAGGCTAAGCATCTGACTACTCCTGATACAAAGCAAACTAAGAAATAAAGGCCAAGAGGCAAAATATAAGAAGGTAAAAGTCTATTTTTGGGAACCCCTCAAAATCAAAAGATGTTACTGAGAAGGAATCAACCTAAGGCAAGCCAAGAGTAGCAACTATTTTGGGGATAAAAAATAGAATTTTGTGTTTTTGTGTACTTTGAAATACAATTCCTACAGATGTGTATATCTTGAGAGAATGAATACACATGAGCAATTACAAAAGGAGTCTGTTGACTAAACCATTCAAGTATAACTAAATGCCTACTTCATATAGGCAGACATATAGGATAGAACAAAAGTCCAGGCCCTCATAGATTTTTTTTAAGAAAAAGAGAGAGAGAAATAGAAACATGGATGATGATGAGAGAGAAACATCAACATCAATCAGCTGCCTCCTGCATGTCCCCCATTGGGAATTGAGCCCACCACCCGAGCATGTGCCCTGACTAGGAACTGAACTGGTGACCTTCTGGTGCATAGGTTGACACTCAAGCACTGATCCACACCAACGAGGCAACCCTCATGGATCTTGTAGTAGGAGCTACAAATACTAAACAAGTAGACCTGTAATAAAAGTGACTACAAAGTGCTATAAAAAGAAAAAAAGCAGAGTAAAGCAGAAGAGTGCTGGAGGCTGCTGATGTGAGAGGGTAGCTGGAGAAGGCCTCTTTGAGAAGGTGAAATTTAAGCAGAGACCTAAATAAACTGTGGGAGCAAATTTTAAGAATATAAGTAAAGCTTCTCCAGGCTGAAGAAACAGGAAGTATAAAAGTGCTAAGATGAGAATTTGCTTGTGTTAAACAAAAGGGAAGGAAGCTAGTGGAGCAGACAATAGAGCAGATTGAGTAAGGGGGAAAGGATAGGAGATGAGTTAGAGACATAACCAGAGACCAAATCATATCGGTCATTATAAAATAAATCCACACGAGACTTAAGTGTGAAGGGAAACCACTAGAATATTTTATTTTCATTGATTTCTTAAAGGGAGAGAGAGAGAGAAACATCAATAATGATAGAGAATAATTCATCAGCTGCCTTCTGCACTCCCCTCATTGGGGATCCAGCCCACAACCCAGGCATGTGTCCTTGACCAGAATCAAACCCAGGACCCTTCAGTCTGCAATCCACTGGCCAGGGTGTGTATGCTATCCACTAAGCCAAACCAGCTAGGACTAGAATATTTTAAAGTAAAGTGATATGATTTTCTATGTTCAGAATTCTTTTTAGGATAAAGTCCTTTGAAGCTTAAAGACAGATTAATTTACTGGGATCCTTATTGCTTGCACTGCAAAGTGGGAAGAAAGTCACAGAGGCTTATAGAGATGAGAACGGGGCGACATCTAGTGGACAAAGTCAAATAGGCTCACAACACTACTGGGATCATACCCTTTGTTGCCTGCAAAGAACAAACATTCCCCACCATTAAGCTAAAAGGGGGCACACAGGTAGTTTTGGATAGTTTCTGACAGTATACAGTAGACTTACAGGGCTCCCAGATGATTCAAAAGGGAAAGGCCCATCAAACAATACCATCAGCAAAATGAAACAAATACCCAGAGAATGGGAGAGAAAAATTTGTAAGTTATACATCTGATGAGATTTATACCCAGAATATAAAAAGAATTCCTAAATCGTAATAGATAACCCATTTAAAAAATAGGTAAAGGCTCTCACCAGACATTTCTCCCCAAAGGATAAGAAAATGGACAATAAGGTTTTCAAGTGAAAACCGCAAACCCACTAGTAAAGCTAAAAAAGATAAAAAGACAATAACAAGGATATAGAGAAATTATGACTAAATACTAAAACCACTAAATACTAAAACCACTATACTGTAAATGGGTGAATTTTTTTAAATGGATAAATTTTATGGTATGTAAAATATACATCAATAAAGCTGGATTTTTTTTTTTTTTTCAGATATCAGGTCTTTGACAACAGTCTGTCTCTAAAACGGTGGGGTTTTTTAATCCTCACCCGAGGAATGAGTATATTATTCCCATTGATTTTTAGAGAGAGTGGAAGGGAGGGGGTGGGAAGAGAGAGAGAAAGAAAGAAAGAGAGAGAGAGAGAGAGAGAGAGAGAGAGAGAGAGAGAGAGAGAGGTATCAACATGAGAGAGACACATTGATTAGTTGCCTTCTGCTGGAGCCCCAGCAAAGTGGCCAGGGATTGAATCTGCAACTGAGGTATGTGCCCTTGACTGGGAATTGAATTCAAGACCCTTAAGTCTGTGGGCTGATGCACTAATCGGCTAGGGCTAAAACCATTTTTATTGATTTAAAGAGGAAGAGAGAGAGAGAAACATTGATCTGTTGCCTCCCATACACAACCTGGCCAGAGATTGAACCTGAAACCTAGGTATGTGCCCTGAACAGGAATTGAACCCTCAACTGAGTCACCCAGCGAGGGCAACTGTCAGTGGTTCTTTGTCAGGGCTTCTTTGTAAATTATTGGACTATGTCAGTGCTTCTTTGTAAATTATTGAATTTACAGCCCAGTCTCTAAATGTCCTGATTAATGGCTCTGTACTCTGATGAAGATCCACTGTTTATTCAGGGCTGCAGAAGTAGTTAAATAAAGAAATACACAAAGCCCTGGTCGGGTAGCTCAGTTGGTTAGAGCATCATTCCTATATACAGCAAGGTTACAGGATCAATCCCCAGTCAGGGCACATACATGAAACCACCAATAAATGCACAAATAAGGGGAACAACAAATCAATATTTCTCTCCTCGCAGGGACCGGTTTGGCTCAGTGGATAGAGCGTTGGCCTGCGGACTAAAAGGTCCCGGGTTCGATTCCGGTCAAGGGCATGTACCTTGGTTGTGGGCACATCCCCAGTGGGGGGGGGGGTGCAAGAGGCAGCTGGTCGGTGTTTCTCTCTCATCGACGTTTCTAACTCTCTGTCCCTCTCAATTCCTCTCTGTGTAAAATCAATAAAAAAAAATATTAAAAAAAATATTTCCCTCCTCCCCTCCTTTCTAAAAATAAACAAATAAATTTTTTGAAAGTTAACAAAAAAGGATATACACAAAAAAATAGAGGCAAATGGTAATGAGAGAGACAGGCATATCAGGTCTTATGTTTACAGATCCAGGCTTTCGAAGATCATGCTGAGTTTTATGGAAGCAGGTAAAAGATTTCTTAAAAGTTCTTAGCTGGTATCTTTTTGTATCTTTGTTTCTACTCATACGGTAAGATATTTAAACTGGTATATTAAATCCCAAAGCTCACCCCAGCAATAAAGAAAGAAAATCTTACATCATTTCGGTCCTTAGTTAGTCTCTCCTCTAGTTCCTGGGCTAATTGCAAAAGCCACCATTGTACCTAAAAAAAAAAGTATTGATATTTTAATCTTTCATTTTGAAATTGTAGTTTATTATAGAACTAGATGGTAGATTTGTTAAGCTCGCCCCTAAACGGAAGTGTACAAGAAAGTTTTCCCTATAACCAAGGGACCAACAAGTCATAGAAATTTTCAGTACTCTGGCCTGCCCTAGCTCTAATTTTTCATTTTCTTTTCCTGCTGGCATTCCATCAGGTGAATTTCAGGCATTTCCAGCTCTGAAAAGAGGGGAAAAACAAAGACACAAACTTAAGGCACAATATCATGGGCCTCCCAAATTTTCACCTACTCTTTTATTTCTTTTCATGAGGAAAACAAGGAAAAAATAACAAATCACATTAAAACTAGTCAATTTTAAACACACACAAAGAAATCTATTTACTTCATACTTTACAGCATAAAGTTCCCATCTAACTTATTAAACCTTCTGTAGTACCGAAACCTAACCCCCGTGAAAGAGGCAATGTTCTGCCAAGAATGCCAGCCTAAAGGGGGTTGCTGTCATGAGCAGCACACGTTGGGCAGCTTGATTGCTCTACATGTAGAATTGACATCAAGATTTTGGGAGCATAATGTGTTGGTAGATGGGCAGCTGGTGATGGTTGGTTCTGGCACCCAGAAAGGAAGGGGAAAAAAAGCCTGCCTACCTGTTCCCGAGTAGCCAGAGCTGTCTTTCCTGGGAAGTTCTTGCTGCAGCCAATGGTTTTGGGTAGTTGCCTGGGTTTAACCGGGTCATGTTCGATCCCACGGCACATGGCATATAGCCAAGATCTAATAAAACCAGCCAAAAAGTTCAAGGTGAAAACAAATGATAATTCTTATTAAAACAAAACAAAATACCTATATTATACTATCCTTTTATCATCTTCATGAAAGGGGAAACGTTTGTCCAAAATTAAGTATACTTTACCTCTGACAGAATCCCTGCCCTTTCCAATGAATTCCAGTGCAATATATTGCCAAAGAGAGGAATGTTAGTTATGTTTTTCAAAACCAAATTATTATTTGTATTTTTGGAAAAGTGCCAAGCAAGCCATTGATTTATATCCCCAAAATTTTTGATACTTACTAAGCCTAAATACAAAGATTTTAAGTGAATATCAGCATCTTAGCATTCATAGATGATGTACATATCTAAGCTTCAAAGTAACAGTTCCTATCAACCTATTCAGGTACATGAAAAAACTACTCCAGACTGATAGGCCATAATTATCTAATTTTTTTCATAGTTATCTAATATTTTAAAGCAAAATGACCAATAAAATTACCTCAGGGAGCAAATGCTAACCTAAAGATAGGCCTAGACTTTACTAAATTCTTTGTCTATTATTTGAATTTAGTATTCCCATAAGAGTTATGATTGAAAAGTATTAGAAATCACTTACCCATTCTTCTCTCCAAAATGACTCTGGAGTTGGGATTCAGTGAACTGGGTCAGTTCACCCATGTATTCTATCCCCAGGATTTCAATGACAGAGGCCCCGAGTTTCCCTCCAAGACTTCGACTATCAAAAAAGACAAAGAATTCACAGGTCACATCTTAAATATCTATTTAGCAGCGAAGACATTTTGCTTGTATAAGAAGCTCCCCAGAAGATTCAGGAAAAATGAGAGCACATACAAGTCCTATAGAATATTGATATCTAGTATAACACTAGATGATTCTGGGAATTCAGGTACTCTGGGAGTTAGGACATGGGAAGTTTAACAATAGCAAAAATAACGGTTAAAGTCATTAATTCATCATTAATTCAATCATGTAGAAAACTTTCAATTGTATAGAATCTATTGTCCCATTTTGGGATTAAATTTAACCTAAAGATAGGCCTAGACTTTACTAAATACATATCCCAAACAAATCCATAGGCTAAATAAAAGTTTTTATACTTAATAAAGTGAAAAATCATCAGCCTGACCTTAGAGGCTTCCTATAATCTGTCTTCAACTGACCTTTTCAGTCCTATTTCCATCACTTCTCCTCCTCAATATGGTCCAGCTAAACTAGTTTATGTCCCAGTTCACTAAAAATACCTCAGACTTTTTCCCTCTTTGTGTTCAAATGTTGTCCAAAATCGCTATTGCTCTTCTATTCCCATCTGACTCTCCAAATTATGCCAAATCCCTTGCCTCTTTCATAAATCCTTCTGAGACTACTCTTCTGCGAGCTCTGATAACTCCCTGTACAATTCATTTAGCAATTACATACACTCTCATGATAACACTTTCACAGCTGCTTTGTACTGTCCTATCTTATCCCTTCAACAATATTATAAGCCCTTGTCAAGGACACACAATTGGTAGGCACAACCTAGATATTCATTTTGTTTGGATTCTTTCATGCCTAGGTTTAGGAGCAATTCAGTAGCCTGGAATCCCTTGATATGATATTAGAAGTAAAACTCCTATTTATTTTGTTATTTAGTAACAGATTTGAATAAAAAGTCTAGAGGGAAGTTAAACATACATCTAAAAATCAGTTCATTTTTGAAAATTCAGTATTAAGTATCTTCCACAGATAATCCAGAATTGGAATTTCATTAAGAAAAAAAGTTTGTGTTTTTCAAAATTTTTTTGTGTTATCTCCCTCCAACCTCCCTATTTTCCATGGCTCCAATCCTTCATTTTTTTTTTTTTAAATATATTTTATTGATTTTTTTACAGAGAGGAAGGGAGAGAGATAGAGAGCTAGAAACGTCAATGAGAGAGAAACATCGACCAGCTGCCTCCTGCACACCCCCTGCCGGGAATGTGCCCGCAACCAAGGTACATACCCTTGACTGGAATCGAACCCGGGACCTTTCAGTCCGCAGACCGACGCTCTACCACTGAGCCAAACCGGTTTCGGCATGGCTCCAATCCTTCTTAAGGAACAGAAGAAACTACAACCAGAGGAATGCCTGCAGCTGTCTCTGAGTGAAACTGAAGGTGCTCCCCAAATACTTACATTTTGTTAATCGGCATGTGGCTGAAGAGTTGCGGGACTGAGCCATGTGAGACCAGGGTCTGGCGGTTGGGCTTGTGTAGCCCACAGGCCAGTTTTGCCAGGACCTGGAGGATGGAAAGTGTAAAAACCTCATTGCTGACAACACCCTCATAGAGAGCTGGTGAATATTAAATACACATACACATGCAGGCACAGCTAAGGCTGTAACTAATGGTGTCCATATTAAAAACAAAACCAGAAACTCAACATCTCTAAACATGGGTTGCGCACAACACCCATAGTGGAAAATATGACCCACCATCATTATCCGCATAGTTCTTTCCAGATCTCCATTACTGATTTTCCTTTAGTAATTTCCCATCCCCGTTCTCCCACTTTAAGAGGGTAAAAAGCAGAGAAGCTGCAGAAGAAACTTACAATGCATTTCTCAACATGTCCATATGAAAGTGCTGAAACAAACTTGTTTTATCCATTTATTTACATTTCTTTTAAATATATATATATATATATATGTTTTAGAGAGAGGGGGAGGGAGAGGAAGAGATAGAAACATTATGAGAGAGAAGCCTCAGGGGATTGAACCAGCAGCCTCTTGGTTCCTGGGTTAATGCTCAATCGCTGAGCTACACAACCAGGCTATTTGTATTTCTTGATTAATGGTTAGTCTATTTTGAATCCTGGATTTAATACATATTGCCATAATTTAGTATCTCTCATAATGACTGGGCTCAGAGTCATCCTCCAACAGTAGACATCCTATACTATACACAAAACTTCAAAATGAAACAAATTTAAATCCTTGAGAACTCTCAAAGAATAAAATACTTCAGTGGTACCATTTCACAACTTATATTGCTGGGGAAAGTATAAAATGGTTCTTTAAGTTTATTGGAGAGATTCTTTGGAACTTTTACTGGGAAACAGTCTGGTTTAAATGATTACATTTGGACTTTTGTTATCTTTTCCTCCACCCAACCAGAAAAACAAACAAAACAAAAACACCCAAACTCTTCTGGGCAGTTTGTAAACTCCCCTCTTATTGGAGTGAGGGGGGAGAAGGTAGTAACCAGTACTCTGCCACTGCGCAACTATTGAGCCTAGTCAAAAGGGATGAACATCCCAGACCCTCACTAAACTGTAATCAGAAAATCAGTTACTACTCTGCCCCTGGATTGAAAGTGCCCATAGCCCATAGTGTTCAAATTAATAAAACTTTACTATTTCATTTCTCTTATTAGGAATGAGGGAATAGGCAAAACATAAAACACCTAGATCACTCCACATAAGAAATTAAATACTGTAATAAGCCCTGGCCAGTGTGGCTCAGTTGACTGGGTATCGGCCATGCACTGAAAGATTGCCCGGTTCAATTCCCAGGTTTTGGTCTCAATTCCTAGTAGAGGATGTACAGAAGGCAGCCCATCGATGTTCTGGTCCCACCTTGATGTTTCTCTTTCTCTCCAAAAATCAATTTAAAAATCTAAAATAAGAAACTTAAAAATCAGATAATACTGGAATATTCAGGAAATAAAAAGAAAATAGATAGATTGAAAGACTAGCCTCCTCCTCTATAGATAGTTCAGTCATTAAGGAAATACTTTAGATGCAACTATATAAATAAGCATTTTCTGCAAATTTTTCAGCTTGCTTCTTTTTTTAAACTAATTTTTAAAAATAATTATTATATTTTATTGATTTTAGAGAGGAAGGAAAAGGGAGAGACAGAAAAATCAATGATGAGAGAACCATTGATCAGCTGCCTCCTGCACACCACCCACTGGGGATGGGGCAACCCAGGCATGTGCCCTTTACTGGAATCAAACCTGGGACCCTTCAGTCCTCAGGCAGATGCCAAACCAGCCAGGGCTCAGCTTGCTTCTTAAGAAAGTATATGTTCAGCCGGGACCGGTTTGGCTCAGTGGATAGAGCGTCAGCCTGCGGACTGAAAGGTCCCGGGTTCGATTCCGGTCAAGGGCATGTACCTTGGTTGCGGGCACATCCCCAGTAGGGGGTGTGCAAGAGGCAGCTGATCAATGATTCTCTCTCATCGATGTTTCTAGCTTTCTATCCCTCTCTCGTCCTCTCTGTAAAAACTCAATAAAATATATTAAAAAAAAAAGAAAAGAAAGTACATGTTCAATGTGATTCTCATGCTAAAGAATTACTTAGGCTTTTATTTAATCCTCAACAAGAATTTTAAATAGAAACCCAGCCAGGCTGGAGTGGATCAGTGGTTTGATGCTGGTTCAATTCCCAGTCAGGGCACATATCCAAGTTGCCAACTTGATCCCCAATAGGGGGCAACAGGAGGCAGCTGATCAATGATTCTCTTTCATCATTGATGTTTTTCTCTTTCTCTTCCTTCTTCTATGAAATCAATAAAAGTATTATAAACAAACAAATAAACAGAAAAACATGTTGCAAAGTATCTATGTAATGACTTAAATGCCCCATTCATATCATGCTGTATTTAAGGACAGGATCTATGTTTCTCTTCGAAATCTGCTATTAGCCTTCACCTTATTGTGTGAGATTCCAGCTGAACACTGAAAGCCAGTCTGCCTCTCGATGGCTGCTCTCATTTCCTCCACAATCACTGCTCCCACGGTGAGCTGTAGGTCTGGAGAGGTGGTGTTATCAAACTGAAGGGAATCAAGCCATTGCGATAAGCCTTGTTTTCGCATCTCCTCTGAAAAAGTTGAGAGGTCACATTTAGAAATTTTTTAAAATCAGAATTTTATTTGTGTTATCTAATGCAGAAATGTTTCAATTTCAGGTACTTTAACTATATGTAGGTTTCCACAGAAATGGCAGCCATTTTAGAAGACTGGTACTTATAAGAGAGATCAATCCTATATAATAAAGAGGTAATATGCAAATTGAATATCACTCGAACACACATATCATGGCCACCCCTATATGGACACAAGATGGCCACCACAAGATGGCTAGCAGGGGAGGACAGTTAGGAGTGACCAGGCTTGCAGAGGAGGACAGTTAGGGGTGACCGGGCTGGCAGAGGAGGGTAGTTGGGGGGGACCAAGCCAGCAGGGGAGGGCAGTTGGGGGCGACCAGGCCTATAGGGGAGGGCAGTTAGGGGTGACCGGGTCAGCAGGGGAGGGCAGTTAGGGGCAATCTGGCCAGCAGGGGAGCAGTTAGGCGTCAATTAGGCTGGCAAGGGAGTGGTTAGGGGGTGATCAGGTTAGCAGGCAGAAGCAGTTAGGGGCAATCAGGCAGGCAGGTAGGCGAGTGGGAGCCAGCAGTCCTGGATTGTGAGAGGGCAGTCAGATATCCCTTGAGGGGTCCCAAATTGGAGAGGGTGCAGGCTGAGCTAAGGGACAACCCTTCTTCCCATGTACGAATTTCATGCACTGGGCCTCTAGTTTCTAATAAAAGTTTAAAAAAATAAATAATTTTGGTTTTTTTTCTTTTATTCCTCATTATTTAGTTATTTAGTTAAAATCTACTTCAAAATATTTTACATATCTGCTGAAACCGGTTTGGCTCAGTGGATAGAGCCTGCAGATAGAAAGATCCCAGGTTCGATTCTGGTTGAGGGCATGTACCTTGGTTGCGGGCACATCCCTAGTGGGGGGTGTGCAGGAGGCAGCTGATCGATGTTCCTCTCTCATCGATGTTTCTAACTCTCTATCCCTCTCTCTTTCTCTCTGTAAAAAATCAATAAAATATATTTTTAAAAATATATTTTACATATCCATCTTAACCCACCCTATTTTATTCAGATTTTCTTTATACATGCCTTCTAAACAGTCCCCACAAATTAAACATTCTCAAATACCAATGTTATCAATCTTCTCTGCCCGTTCAAAATTGTCATGGTCCTCTCACACCTACAAAATAAAGTATCGACTCTATAAATTTGGCATTGACAACCATCTATCTTTTTCTTTCCTTTTTTTTTTTTTTTCTTTTTGTATTGTTACTTCTTACCTGAGAATATTCTTTCTATTGATTTTTAAAGAGAGTGGAAGGGGGCGGGAGGGTATGAAGGAGAAAGAGAGAAAAACATTGATGAGAGAGAGAGAGAGAGAAACATTGATGTGAGAGAGACATTGATTGGTTGCTTCCCCCATGCACCCTACACAGGGCTAGGGATGGAACCTGCAACCCAGATATGTGCCCTTGACCAGGAATTGAACTTAAGACCCTTCGGTGCACAGGCAAACACTCTAACCAATGAGCAACATCAGCAGGGCCATTCTGCCTTTTTATTTATTTTAAAATACATTTTTATTGATTTCAGAGAGAGAGAGATGGAAACATCAATGATGAGAATCATTAATCAGCTGCCTCCTGCATGCCCCCCACTGGGGATTCAGGCCTGCAACCTGGGAATGTGCCCTTGAACGAAACCAAACCCAAAGGCCTATGCTCTATCCACTGAGCCAAACTGGCTAGAGCCCACCTGCTCTTTAAATTTATTTTCCACTAATCCCAAATTTGTTATATTCTTATAATTTCCTGAAAATGCCATGTTTCAAGATTTACATTCTATCTCCTTACTCTTCTTTTTTTTTTTTAAAGTTAATAAACTTTTATTTATTTAAGGAATTTCACGTTCTAAGTTCTTCCACTGCCTTAGTTCCTCTTGAGTTTGCGTCTTAATCATCTTACTCCCTTTTTTCTGCTCAATCCTGATGTCATTTCAACCAGTCCACAATCCTTTTAGCTGAGCTTCTTTGATCTACACTTGAACATGGACATGCTTCAAAAACTGCACCTATAATCGTTGGGAGCTAATTTCCTCAAGCAATTTACTTTAGGGTCGTAGTTCAGGTCTGAATAGTATCTGCCTGGTTTTTAAATTTCAGACATCCGCTAAACATGAATAAGTGCAAATCTTCACTCCTAAAGAGATTAATCCAGATATTGTGTTCAAGATGAAACCCTAATTAAAAAAAGTCAACTTCGTTACAGTGTTATCAACAGCAAAATTAAAATACTAAAGCAGTATAGTTGATATTTCCCTTGTATTCTATGCTTTTTAAATTAATCCTACAGTCCTGGAACCAGGGTTTTAGGTATTATGTTCCTTCTTATACGTATCAAAACTCGTACTGAGCAGTGAGTTCTGGGTTGCAAAAGAGGCTTTATTTTTAGCACTTGTATGTAGTTTCCTTACTCTTCTTACTCTTTAACTCTGTTCTCCCCTTTGCTTAAATAAATCTTATCTGTACTTCAGGGTTATCTCAAGTTTTATCTATCATCAGATCCTCTTCAACTATTCTAGCTAACTTTGGGGTGTCCCATTAAAATCCTTTAACTCTTATCTGCAACAAGTATAGCATAATTGTTAAAAGAACATATTCCACAGTCAGGGCCGATTCAAATATTGGCTTCACAACTTACAATGTGACTTTGAGCAAGTTACATAATTCTCTAAGCTTTGGTTTTGTTATCTATAAAAGATGAGTACTGTACTTTAGAGGATTGTATACTGTACCCCATAGAACACTAAGTACAACACCCAACCATTTATTAGTATTTAGTGAAACAATGAAACTTATTGAAATTGTGAGGATTTCAGGACTCCTTTTCTTTAAAAAAAAAAAAAAAAAAAAAAGTTTTTATTGATTTCAGAGGAAAGGAGAGGGAGAAAGAGATGGAAACATCAATGATGAGAGCGAGTCACTGATTGGCTGCCTCCTCCACACATCCCAGTAAAGATTGAACCAGCAACCCAGGCATGCGCCCTGACTGGGAATCAAACCATGACCTCCTGGTTCATGGTCAATGCTCAACCACTGAGCCATGCCAATCGGGCTGGACTCTTAATTAGTAGAGCTAAGTTTTCTCTGCTTTAGATTTCTTCATTATTGCTCTCCTAGATTAGATAATGTTGCAATCCTCTGTTACTCTATTTGAACAGGAAGATAAACAGCATTCCTTTGTTTTCTTCTTTAGTAAGAAAAATCTGTAAAAATTTGTGTGTGTTTTTCTTTGATATGCTGAGGTATAAGGAGAAAATTCAGGCAATTTTTGCTGAAAAAATACCCATTAAGATGAGAAAACTTTCCTTTTCCTTTTGGGTACCTTTGTGAAAAACAATTGATCAAAAAATGAGGGGACCTATTTGTGTACTTTCTATTCTGCATCATTTATCTTTAAGCCTAGCCATGGGGCTGTCTCATCTGATACCAATACCACATTGCTCTAGTTAATGTAAATTTATAATTAAATCTTAAAGTCAGATAGTATAAGCCTTCTATTTAGTTCTTTTTCAAGGTTTGGCTATTCCTCATCCTTTACATTTCCATACACATTTTAAAAATATTTTTATTGATTTCAGAGAGGAAGGGAGAGACAGAGAGAAACATCAATGAGAGAGAATCATTGATCGGCTGCCATCTGCCTGTCCCCTACTAGAGTTTGAACACACAACCTGGGCATGTGCCTTTGACTAGAATTAAACCTGGACCCTTTAGTCTGTAGGCTGACGCTCTGTCCACTAGCCAAACCAGGTAGGTCTCCATACAAATTTTAGAATAAATTTGTCAATTTCTATAAAATCCAACAGGGATTTTGGAAGGGAATGCAATAAATCCATAGGCCAATTTGGGGAGACGAACTCTGATAACATTTAGTCTTTTGATCAATGAGCATAGTATGTCTCTCTTCATTGATTTCATTGTCTTTAATTTCTCAGTGATTTAAAAAAATTTTTTTTATTGATTTTAGAGAGAGGAAAGGGGGAAGGAAAGAGAAAAAAACACCAATAATGAAAAAAGATCATTGATTGGCTGCACACCCCAGTGGGGATTGAGCCCACAAACTGGGCATGAGCCCTGAGGAGGTAATCAAATCATGACATCCTAGTTCATAGGTTGATGCTCAGTGATGTTTTTACTGACTTAGTTTTTCACATGTATTATTAACATTATCTCTGATAATTTCATGATTTTAATGCTATTGCCAATAATATTGCTTTTATTTTTATTTTTTTAAAATATATTTTTATTGATTTTTTTACAGAGAAGAAGGGAGAGGAATAGAGAGTTAGAAACATCCATGAGAGAGGAACATCGATCAGCTGCCTCCTGCACGCCCCCTACCGGGGATGTGCCCACAACCAATGTACATGCCCTTGACCGCAATCGAACCCAGGACCTTTCAGTCCATAGGCTGATGCTCTATCCACTGAGCCAAACCGGTTTTGGCCAATAATATTGCTTTTATTATTATTTTTTAACTTTATTTTTTAAAATGTATTTTATTTATTTTTTACAGAGAGGAAGGGAGAGAGATAAAGAGCTAGAAACGTCGATGAGAGAGAAACACCGACCAGCTGCCTCTTGCACACCCCCTGCTGGGGATGTGCCCGCAACCCAGGTACATGCCCTTGACTGGAATTGAACCTGGGACCTTTCAGTCCACAGACCGACGCTCTACCATTGAACCAAACCGGTTTCGACAATAATATTGCTTTTAAAATGTCAATTTCTCATTTTAAAATTTTAGTATATAGAAATGAAATTGATTTTTAGATTGACCTTTCTAATCTCAATTTTTTAGTTGTTTTTTGTTTTTGTTTTTATTTGTAGTGGTGGCAATGTTTTTTGGGGGTGGTAGGTTTTTTAGGGTTTGCTATAAGTATGGTAATGTCACCTGCAAAGAAAGTTTACTTTTTCCTTCTATTTCCTCTACTGTCCTGAATGGGAGTGAGCGTTGCTGACTTGTGCAAAAACTTATTTAGATTTAGACTGATAAACCTCTAGCTAGACTCCACAATTCCAGGGACCATAACTACAAAAGAGAAATAAGTCCCTTGGAAAGCTGATTAGTGCTTTCTAAGCTCCATCAGATTGTTGGCAAAATTTATCATTTTGCAGCTTGTAGGATTGAGGCCCCTGCTTTCTTGCTGGCTGTCAGCAGAGGGCAGCAGTCAGAGCTTAGCCATGGGGCCTTCTCCAAAAGGCCTTTCATAACATGGCAGCTTACTTCTTCAAAGTGAGCAAGGACTCTTAACTTCCAAAACATTTACCTTTGGCAGTTTGTTTATGATAGTGTATATGAATAGATCACTGTTTCATGTCATATGCATTCAAAAGCTATTTAATATGTGTTTAGAAATAAATGAATTAAGAGCAAGCAAAGGGAGGAAAGAACAAATGAGTTCCTTAGTGAACACAAACTAGTTACAAAATGGCCTTAAAGGGAAATTTTTTACTCTGGCCATTTTTTAGTACTATTTTTAAGTAATCCTACTACTTATACTTTCCATACACATATAACTATTTCGGAAACAGAAAATACAAAGTTGCAAATGCAGCATGCTTAGCAGGACTGCTAACTTTGAACCCATTAAGAATCAGGATAGTAAAGGTTATATGCACTTAGATCAGCTAATTTCTGTTATCAGTTTTTTGTTGTACACATCAGATGAATACACAGGAATGTGACATGCAATCATAACCATTCACTAGACATTGCAATATTCTGAACTCTATAAAAAATATGTAACTGCATCCGAAAGCTTAATATTTAAACTGGCCACATTAAAGCAATAGATACCTCAGACTTCTTTATAAACATTGTATTTAAAAATATATAATTGTTTTCAGAAAGGAAGGGAGAGACAGAGGCATCAATGAGGAGAGAGAATCATTGATTGGCTGCCTCCTGCACACCCCACACTGAGGACTGAGTCTGCAACCCCAGCATGTGCCCTGACTGGGATTGAACCATGACCTCCTGGTTCATAGGTTGACACTCAACCACTGAACCATGCTGGCTGGGCAACACTGGCATTTTTAAAAAAATATATATTTTACTGATTTTTTACAGAGAGGAAGAGAGAGGGATAGAGAGTTAGAAATATCGATGAGAGAGAAACATGGATCAGCTGCCTCCTGCACACCCTCCACTGGGGATGTGCTTGCAACCAAGGCACATGCCCTTGACCGGAATTGAATCTGGGTCCTTTCAGTCTGCAGGCCGATGCTCTATCTACTGAGCCAAACCGGTTTCAGCAACACTAGCATTTTAAATAAAAATATATCTAGATAAGAAAGATAAGTCTAAAAAAAAAAAAAAAAAAGGAACATGTCCATTTGAGTGAATATTTGACCACCGACAAAGATACTTTTCATTATCAGCCAGAGAGTGGCTCAACGAGTTTTAGCCAAAAACCAATGTAATTTATAGTAATAGTTCTTATTCTGAGGTGTGTGTGTTTCAGAGGATCTGTGAATCTCCTGAAAACCGCACACTAAATTCTCTTATGTGTATATTTGTGTTTTTCTCAGACAAGCAAGTGTCCATAGCTTTCAACAGATTTTCAAAAGAATATGCAGCCCTCGAAACAAAACAAAAAAACATAAAGAACCAATGATTTAAAGCATTATAAAAGAAATTTCGAATGTTTATTTAAAAAATAAGCTACAGCCGAAACCGGTTTGGCTCAGTGGTAGAGCGTCGGTCTGCGGACTGAAGGGTCCCGGGTTTGATTCTGGTCAAGGGCATGTACCTGGGTTGTGGGCACATCCCCAGTAGGGGGTGTGCAAGAGGCAGCTGGTCGATGTTTCTAGCTCTCTATATCTCTCCCTTCCTCTCTGAAAAAAATAAATAAAATATATTTAAAAAAAATAAGCTACATAATAAAATGTGAAATACACCCAGCCAGTATGGTTCAGTAACTGAGCATCGACCTATCAACCAGGAGGTCATAGTTGGATTCCCAGTCAGAGCATATGCCCTAGTAGGCAATGTGCAGGACGCAGCAGATCAATGATTCTCTCTCATCATTAACATTTTTCTCTCTCTTCCTCCCCTTTCCTTTCTCTGAAATAAAAAACAAACAAACATATATTTTTTTTAAAAAATAATATGATCCACAAAGCTAAGACCAAAGACAACCTTCCTTATTATGATCATTACATTTCTGACTCTGGTTCTAGAATAAAAAAATCATGCCCTAGCCAGTTTGGTTCAGTGGATAGAGTGTCCACAGACTGAAGGGTGCTAGGTTCAATTCCTGTCAAGGGCATGTAGCTCAGTGGTAGGCTTGACCTGGCCCTGATCTGGGTATGTGCAGGAGGCAACCAGTTGATGGTTTCTCTCACATCTATGTTTTTCTCTGCCTCTCCCCTTCCCTTCCACTCTCTCTAAAATTCAATGGAAAAATATCCTTGGGTGAGGATTAACAAACAAAAAAGAAATGACATGTTTCATCGTCAAATGGTTATGTACCATAACTTTGCCTCTTTTAACTGGCACATTTTTATTGTCCACTGTGTTTTCCCTATAGAACTAAAGGATGTGCTGACTCCAGCTTGATAAACTCTCCTATATCAGGATCAGAGAATAAAGTAATTTCTCAATGGTTATTCTCACAGGCTTCCCTAGATCTACTACCCTTCAGCACACCATGTTAAAGGCATATCTTATTTTATTTTAAAACATGAAACACACGGCAAATTCACCATTGAAACTAGAAATAAGTTAAACCCTATTGGAGATTTTTCTGGAGAAATCTGTATTATTTCTATAAGTAATAACAGATTGCCTTATTTTTACCCCCAATAAGTTAATCTGTTACATTTGTATCCAGACAGTTTCTTTTGACAAATGTCCAATATTTAAAGTGGTTGGGGTTTTTTTTTTTTTTTTTTTTTTTTTTTAGTGAAAGAGCTCTTCTGAATAAGAACAATGTTACAAAATAATAGTTCTAAAAGTGCATGTTACAAATTAAGGGGAGAATGGATACACTGTTTTGAATATAGCCTTGATCAACAATACTAGAAAATGTCTATGAAAAATGTCTGAACATCCTGTTGAAAAGCTTCTAGATACAGAAAGAATTATTCTCTCTGGGAAATCCCACAGAATTCCCTTTTCATAATATTTGATTAAAAATATAAGACCCACAAGGACAATAGGGGGGTGGGAGCAAGAGTGGGAGAGGTGGGGGATTTGAATGGGGTGTTGAGGATAAATATGTGATACCTTAATAAAGAAGTTTTAAAAAATCAATGGAAGAAAAAAAAAAGTAAGACCCAGATTCTCTTAGGTCTGGTATTTAGAACCACCATAATCTAATATCACCAAAAAAGCAAATATTTTATTGCCCTAGTTTTATTCTAGTCTAAGAAAATGTTTTTAACTATCAAGTACATTTTCTTTTTAAAGCATTTCATGCAAATCATAAGTTATATATATATATATATATATATATATATATATATACACACATATATATTTAATATATTTTATTGATTTTGTACAGAGAGGAAGGGAGAGAGATGAAGAGTTAGAAACATCGATGAGAGAGTGTCATCGATCAGCTGCCTCTTGCACACCCCCTACTGGGGATATGCCTGCAACCAAGGTACATGCCCTTGACAGGAATCGAACCCGGGACCTTTCAGTTCCCAAAGCCGACGCTCTATCCATTGAGCCAAACCGGTTTCAGCGCAAATCATAAGTTTTTGTCAGGTAGATAACCTGGGTTGCAGGCTAGATCCCCAGAAGGGGGTGTGCAGGAGGCAGCCAATGTTGCTTCTCTCTCTTCGATGTTTCTATCTCTCTATCCCTTTGCCTTTCTTTCTCTCTAAAAACACACAGCTATATAGATAGAGCTATAAAATCCACAATTTTCTTAATTTTGAAATAAAATTAAGAAAAAGAATGTGGCCCAGCTGGCGTGGCTCAGTGGTTGAGATCCAGGAGATCACAGGTTCAATTTCAGTCAGGGCACCTGCCAGGGTTGCAGGCTTGATCCCCAGTGGGGGGCGTGCAGGAGGCAACTGATCCATGGTTCTCTCTTATCATGGATGTTTCTATCTCTCCCTCTCCATTCCTCTCTGAAATCAATTTAAAAAGATTAAAAAAGAAAAAGCTGATACGGTTTTGCTCTGTGGTTAGAGCGTGTTGGCCTGCAGACTGAAAGGTCCCAGGTTCAATTCCAGTCAAGGGCGTGTACCTTGGCAGCTGATCAGTGATTTTCTCTCATCGATGTTTCTAACTCTCTATCCCTCTCTCTTTCTCTCTGTAAAAAATCAATAAAATATATATTTTTAAAAAGAAAAAGAATGAGCTCTATAAATATGATACTATACTGTAATTAAAAAGCAAAAATGTAAAAAGCACATACACAAAGCAACATTGTAAAATTATAAAGACATATACACACTTAAGAAGATATGCTAAATACTGATATATTGGTAGGTATAAAAGAGAGTATGAGGTTAGGAGGAGTGGGAGAAATCACAATGAAGGGAAAAAGAAGTAAAATAAAATGAGAGAGGCCTTTGCATAGCTCATTAACATTGTGCTATGAACTGATTAGAAATTTTGAGGGATTCAACTCCTGGTACTTGAGGTCTCCCTTAAAAAAAATTCACCCTTCTTTTGATAAAGAAACCACGTTACAATAATATAAATTAACTTGCAAAATGATGGAAGTGCTCAGTCAGACTTCTATGGATAACTTTAACATGCCCTAGTCATATCTGAAGAGAAACTTGATTTCATACAGATTCCAAGCTTTTAAACATCCATATACCTGGAAAGATAAGAGAATTTGTATATCCTTCTATGTGAGTCCTTGTGATTCATTCAGGGTGTAGTTTAAGTTTCCTTTCAATCAATCCAAGAAGTATCAGTGTGACCAAGCAAAGCAGGTTCCAAAGGCAGGAAGCAGAAGCAAATGATGCTATGAAGTACCTTTCTGAACTGTCCCTTCTGCTGCTGTCGAGCTTTGGGGAAACCCTTCAATGTAGGTCGTTGGCAACAAATCTGCTGAGATAGGCTGACCTTGTAGCTTTTGCAGTCTCTCTCGTACAGCACTGGTCAGGTCTACATAAGCTTCATCAATGCTGGCACGTTCAATCACAGCAAAACGAGACATTACCCCCATCACTTCCACACTGGCTTCCCGGTACCTAAGAAGTATAAGGATTGTACATGTAGAAAATAAATGGAGGCAACATTGAGACTGTGTACCCCATACCCTCCTCATAATAGAATAATAATATACATAATCAGGGTAAGATCTTCTTAAAGAGAAGCCTGGCTTGTCAGAGACTAGATAGTAACCCAATTAATAAGGCAGAAGATGGTCAATAACAAAAGCAAGGAAAAAGAACCATGGAAGCAAACATTTATAGTGCCACTCTAGCACACCAAGGTAGAAAGCATCTAGATCATGAACATATTTGTGTAACAAGTATCTCTCTAAAGAGGAAAGAAATGTTTCAAACTAGTTTAACTAGAAAACATTTTACTATGATCATCTACTATTCCTTTTGTTATTTTTATATACCTACCACATAGTATTCTGCTTCAACTTTTGTCTTCAAATAACTTATAGGGAACACTGCCTATGGAGAGCTTAACCTGGCACCTGGCATATGATATATGCTCAATGTGTACTATTAGGATTGTTATAGAGGCGTGGGCTTATACCTACCTCTAATTTGGCTATACCTATACAGGTCTCCCATTCCAAGGCTAACCTTCTGAAATTTGGGAAGAGACAGCTCAGTTCAAAAGCAGAGAAGATAATCTCCTTTGAGACTGTTTAATTCTGGCAAATAATTCTAGATATTGCATTAGAATGTCAATTCTCTGGAAAAACTCTTAGTTTCACAGTCAATTTAATTCCTTCAAACACTTCAGACTTGGCTTGAGAACATATAATTTGATGTTAAGTTTTAAGTATAACAACACATTTTTAAATAAGAAACTGAAAGGGTATCAAGGCAGTAATTGTTATAGGTAATAATGATTGGACTGTTCCTGAACAGTATCAGAATCTACTTTTATTTCACAAGAAAAGTTGGCTGACCAAAGATAACTTTTTCAGATGTTATTTACACAAAATAAATTTGAAAAATCAGTTCCTAGCCTCATGGAGTAGTATTTCCAACCCTTCTACTCCCCTCAAATCATCTTTCCTTCTTACTTGGTGAGGTTAGCTTTCCCACGGGACTCACGAACTTGTGCCAGTAGAAGATCTGGGCATAACTTCTTAGCATCATCGGCCCACATGTTTCTGGTGACTCCAAATGCACGAGCTTCATAACTCACTGCAATTATCCTAAGGTTACCAACAGAAAAGAACAGAAAGATATTACCTAACACAGGCACAAATAATTAAAATGTATCATAAATACGCTATACAAATAACAGTAGAAACTTTTTGGTCACAGATGCCACTATTTGATTTCAAACACAGCAGTTCAGACATCTCAAAAATACCTAGCATAGTTCTATGCATTGCATTCTTACAGATTAGAATGGTAGTTGACAGTTACAACAATAACTATGATACATACCCACCACCCTTCCATGATTTGTACTGCACAACTGCACAAGGTTTATCCCTCAAGTGAGGATTCTGCCGCTGCTCCACTTGAACAAAAAAACAATCCATGTCCACTAGAGCAACTACCCGGTCCTGTCCATTAGCCATTTTCCTGTAAGACAATGTTGATAGACAGTTATATTTCCATTCTTCCACTGTTGAGCTACCATGAGCTTGAGAGCATGGTAACTAACAAGAACATAACAGCCATTTTCATCTACTGCTAGAATGAGAATAATAAATTGGTACAATTTTAGGAAGATAATAAGTGTTTAAAAGCTTTAAAAATACTCATCCCAAAAAAAAATTTCACAAAAGAATATAGTATACAAATAGTCAACAGGCACATGAAAATGAGCTCAACATCATAGAGAAATGCAAATTAAAACCACAATGCACAACCTAGTTCATAGATAAGTCTCAAGTATAAATTCAGGGGAAAGAAAAGCAGAAAATGATATATAGCATTATAGCATTCATGTAAATTTATTTTTTATTTTGAAATAATTTTAGTCTTGCAAAAATAGTAGGGTACTTCTATAACCAGTTTCCCCTACTGTTAATATTTTACATAGCACAATTATAATAATTTAAAAAATAAACATTGGTGTAATATTCAACTACATACTTTACTTGAATCTCACCAGTTATTCCACTAATATCTTTTTTCTGTTCTAGGATCCAATCTTAGTCATCATGTCTCTTAATCTTTTCCAAGAGAAGACATCTCCTCAGTTTTCCTTTGTTTTTCATGAACTTGACACTTTTTGAAGAGTCAGTTAATTTAAAAATATCTCTCAATTTAGGTGTCTGATGTTTTCTCTTGTTATGCATTTTGGGCAAGAATATCACAAAAGTTATGTACTCTTCTCAGGTACATAATGTCAATATGCCTTATTATCGGTGATGTTAACCATGATCATTTAGTTGAGAGAGTGTTTGCCAGGTTCCTCATTGTAAAGCTACTATTTTGAGATGGCAAATATCCTGGGTTTGATTTTTTTTCAAACTTTCAACGACTAAGTACCCATCAGCGAATCTTGCTGCAACAATAACTCAGTGTTCTAATGGTGACTTTCTACTCATTCACATAAATTTCTGAAAAAAATACTACATACCATTTGGATAACAGATTGGAAGAACAAACCTTATATACTCAATAGTGGATACAGACTAATAACACTTAACAATGTTAGAAATTTGGAATAAGGAATGTAAACTAATGAAATGGCTTCCCAACTTTGCTGAAGATTGGAATCACCTAGGAACATTAAATAAGGTTGATATTGGCTTCTACCACCAGACATCCTAATTTAATTGGTATGGATATGACCTGGGCATTGTGATTTTTACAAGCTTCCCAGGCACTTTTTATTTATTTTTTTTAAATGTTGTTGTCTAAAGTTTTACATATGTCTCCTTTTTCCCCAATTGCCAAGCACTTCTAATATGCAGCAAAGATTGAGAGTCACTGACCTAAAGTACATGATTTAAATATGAGAAACACCGGTTATACAGTTGAGTAAGCACTCAACTGCACTCAACTGTATTCTTTTTAAAAAGTGTCAAACATTAACATTTATCTTGAAAAAAAGTAACATGCAATTACAAAACTGCAAGATTAGTGGGAAGAAAACAACGAATTTACAAAATCAGAGTGTCTAAAGGCATTAATTCTTTATCAATTCTACATTACCCAAAACTGGCAGGATGTGATGCTTTAAACATTTCTAAATTCAAACCATAACATGTCAGAAATCATTTTACCTTGAAGTGCCTTCAGCGTAGCACTGGGACAGATGCCAGAATAGACACAGTAAATGTATTTTCTCTCGCACACAAAGAAAACACCGGGTCCGCACGATAGTCGATACACGCACTACACTCGATACAAACCCCACAAGTGGAGTATGAGCGGGAAGCCGTGCTCTAAGTCCAGCAAACGTGTCACCAAATATGCAAACACAAATACTGGTTTGCAGACTTTTAACGGATAACGATGCTGTTGACGTTTTAAACAGTCCACGTATTTTGCCGGAGAAAGCAAGAGCTCTTCAAAATGAAACATACTCTCTTGCCAAAACCCTCTTTTCAGAATAAGGCTTATTCCACCGTGAAGTCATACAACACTTCAAATGATCAAAACCGCACAAACTCTCCACCGCAATCTTTCAACATCTCCACTTACCCCAATCTGTACAAGTTTGGTGCCCATCAGGCGGCAAAACAATCCAAGGAGAGTAAGGACAAGGGAAGAGGGAGGTGGAAGAGCTATAGAGACAAAGTTCCCGTCCCCCCTCCACACACACACACACACACACACACACACACACACACACGCCTCTCGGGGAACACCAGCCCGTACCTCTCTGGATGTATTTCTATTTCATGTCATTTTGGCCCGATGTTGTCACCAGCCACAGCTGTGTCATAAACCAGTACCCCAAAGCCACACGGAAAGTTTGTGAACAGTGATGCCGAAAGTTTTCAAATTCTCTTACCAAGGTGGCTGACACCCGGCAAAACTGTCAACCGCGGACGCCGCGAATGCCGGGCTCGGTGTCTAAGGTCTCGAATTTCTGTCCCCTTCCCGGGAGCAAGTCAGCCGGTACCGAGAGATTGATCCCCGTCAGGATGGAGACACGGACCAAGAAGAGTCGCAGAGGATCCTTGCCCGGGCAGCGGCCCTCACAGCCTCCGCAGCCAGCCCCGCTGACAGATCCGGACTGCGCGCCCGCCGCGGAGGGCGTTGTCGCGCCTGCGCACCACGGCTCTTCCGTCCCCCGCGTCGCCCTCCGCGGGGCAACCGTCACAAGGGAGCCGCCACTTCCGCCGGCGCGTGCGCAGTGGAGGGCTGGGCGCGTGTGCAGCGCCGGTTCTTTCCCCGCCAGAGCGTCAGCTACTCCTCCTGCTCTCCCCCTCCCTCCCCCAGCCCTCCGTGGCCCGGCACGAGCGTGTGGCCCCGGCAAGGGAGCTGTCTATACCTTGCGCTCCCGGCCAGCCATAGTGCGCTCTCGCGGCGCGTGGCAGTAGCCATGGCGATGGATCAAGTGAACGCGCTGTGCGAGCAGCTGGTGAAAGCGGTGACGGTCATGATGGACCCCAGCTCCACCCAGCGCTATCGGCTGGAAGCCCTCAAGGTAGCTGGGGTCTGGCACCCTCCCGGGCCTGCCCCGAGACCCTCCCTGAGCCCATAACCCTGCTTGTCTTCTGCTCATGTGGCCCTTGGACTTCCCTCCCCAACCCGGAGGGACCTTCCCTCGCCGCCCTCCGCGCCTCTTCCCATTCCCAGCCTACTCTGCTCGCCTCGCCTCGCCTGCCCCTTTCCCGGGGCGCCCTGGTCACGAGCTGCTTTTGGCGGTCTTTTCTCACCACCCCTTCCCGCTGCCCTCTCCTCTCCCCGTCCCCGCTTCTGTTCACTGGTGTTCGCACCAACCAGACCCTCCCCACAGCTGGCTGCACTCACTCCCCCAAGCCCCACATCCCCTCGCCTTCCCCTGACGCACGTGTCCATCGCGTACTCAGCACCATCTACGTACATGCTTGATGGTCGCCCCTGCACTGAATGTTTCCCCGCTAGCTCTCTCCCGACCTTTTACTTAAAAACGCTACACCCCTTCCTACCTTCTTACGTGTCTTGGTATTTTGGGCTAATTCTCACACGTCCTCATGTTTTTGATTGTGTGACAGTCTTAGGCTATTTTGCGCAAAGATGAACTTCCACCACGTACTTTGCATTTTAAAAATACAAGGGCACTTTGATTTCCTGAAAGTAGTTTTCTTAGTTCCTGGCTGTACTGCCGGGACTGACTTGTGATGCTAATACAGGTGGGGATGCTACTGTAATTCCCGCATCAGACAGTGTATGTGGGCTGTGAGAAATAAAATAATCATTAGGAAAGAAATACTTGTGCTGTGCATAGTTTAAGTGATGTACAATGAGTATCACTTAGAGGAAACGTTACAATATGTAGGTGTATGCTACAATTTGGAATCAAAATAGTTGGGTTGTATTTGTTTTTAACTATGAAGTAATTAAAAATAGATACAAAAGTAGAGAGACTACTGCAGTTGTTTTGTGTATATCCGTTGCATAAACTCAGCTGTTATAAGATTTTATATTTGCTTTATTTCCACTCCTCCACCAAAATTTTTTTAAATAAATCTTAGAAATTGTTTTTTCATCCCTACGTACTTCAGGGGTGTATCTCTAACATATATATTTTTAAATATTTTTAATTGATTTCAGAGTGGGAGAGAGAAAAAAACATCAATGGTGAGAGAGAATCATTAATTGGCTGCCTCCTCCATGCCATTGGGGATTGAGCCCACAACCCCCTGCATGTGCCCGGACCCTGACCATGAATCAAACTGACCTCCTGGTTGATGCTCAACCATTGAGCTGCACTGGCCGAGCGTAACATAATTTTTTAGTCTTTTATGTCAGATTTTTTTTTTTCAACATGAGTTGGATATTGCATGGGATATCTGGAACTATGAAAGTGAAAGGAATGTTTATCAGTCTTTACACATAATATTGATCTGTACTTTGGATCTTAAAAATAGAGCTCAGGTTTGAGTTAAGGTGATGCTTTTTTAGTCCCTACTCCTGGCTCCTAAGGGAAATGTTAACTTTTCTCCTTTCAGTTTTGTGAAGAGTTTAAAGAAAAGTGCCCTGTTTGTGTCCCCTGCGGCTTGAGGTTGGCTGAGAAAACACAAATTGCCATCGTCAGACATTTTGGCCTTCAGATCCTGGAGCACGTTGTTAAGTAAGGAATTTTTGGGTGTTACCACTGAAGCTCGTGAGAGAGCAAATCTTTATTTCTTACATAACGCATGGAGGTACGCTGCAGGTGAGCAGAAAAGAACAGTCCCCAAGAAGGAAGGATTGGTCCTCTAGAGGGTATCACAACCTCATGCTGTTCTCATTCAGGACTTAACCTTTCTCTTCTTCAGTTTCTTGGTCCATGTAAAGTGCATAGTACATACTAAGCATTCTACAAATATTAACTGATAGTCATTCAGCCAGCATTTATTGAGTTCCTACTATATGCCAGCAGACCTCAAAGTTTTTTTAGAAAAGACTTTGTAAATCATCACAAAAATGGAATTAGTGATATCAAATTGTTTTTTTTTTTTTTTTAAAAAAAACATGAAAAAACTATTGTTGCAGATGTCCCAGGTAAATACATTTGCTTTTGTCTGTCAGGAAAATCAAGGGGAAAACTGATCTGTGCACAAATCCTTTGTGGATTCCAATTAATGGACCATTGCCTATATAAAACACTTTCCCAAGAACTTTTCTGTTATTAACATTTTGGTTAGGTGTGGACTGTTTTGTCTGTTCTTTGAAGCATATGAGATCAAAAGCATAATTTCTTAGTGAAATTGCCAACATAATCTAACACAAGAATCAATCCTAGCCTCATAAAGAGAAGACTTTTCATGTTGACTGTTCTGTTGACGTTATAAATTTTGGTGCCCAGGTTTCGGTGGAACAGCATGTCTCGATTGGAGAAGGTCTATCTGAAGAACAGTGTCATGGAGCTGATTGAAAATGTAAGGAATGGTTGGTTGGAAGACTTGTGTTTCTAAGATAGTTTAGACAGAGTGACTTCTTTAATGTAGTATTTGTGTAACACTCACTGGTTCCTCATATGTTAGCATGCTTTGTATGATATTAAATGTTACCTTCAAAGTAAAAAGAACCATCATCACAAGCAATAATTCATCACAAATGCACTGTATGATAGTAATTGTAAAAATATGCAGAATGAATTTGTTTCAGGAGTTAGAATATGGCTTTAAACATATTTAAAATCCACAGCCTTTTTTCTTTTTTTTTTTTTTACAAAGGTCATAAAAAAGTGGAATCTCTACCTCTGTTCATCCCCAAAATCTGGTGCCTTTAATAGGAAAAAAAAATTCCCTTCAAAACTATTAATTAACTTAGGATTTGTTTTTTGCTAGTTGTGGAAAATCTTGGTAAAAACAAACAAAAAAAACAGCCTTAGCTGATTTGGCTCAGTGGATAGAGTGTCAGCCTGTGGACTGAAGGGTGCCTGGTTCAATTCCAGTCAAGGGCACATGCCCGAGTTGCAGGCTCGGTCCCCAGTAGAGGGCGTGCAGGAGACAGCCAATCAAAGATTCTCTCTCATCATTGATTGTTCTATCTCTCTCTCTTCCTTCCTCTCTGAAGTCAATATATATATACTGACTTCAGAGAGGAAGGTATGAAATACAGCATTTTTGTATATATATATACAAAAAAAACAAAACAAAAGATGAGTGAGAGAGGAACATTGAGAGGTTGCCTTTGCACATAGCCTGCTGAGAATCAAAACACAAGCTTTCAGTGTTTGGAACGACCCTTCAACCACCTGAGTCACACCAGCCAGGGCATCATTAATCTTGATATCAAACAAAGGAGAGTCCCAGTAGTACTTTCTGTTTTCTAATACTACAATGGTAAAATATTTAGGGCTCTTCCTAACTCCAATTTTCAGCCTCTCAATGTATTTCTTATTTCATATTCTTCCACCCTGGCTTTCTTACAAAATGAAACAATCAATATGAGATTCTCTTCAGTTTCTAAAGGAGAACCAAGATGTCTTCCTTACTCTATGTGACAGCCATTTTATAGGCTAGTGCAACCCTCACTTAAGATTTAAGTGGGGAGAACAATTAGCAAGAATGCAGGACAAGTGACTCAGACATGGAAAACAGGTTGGTTTATTCTGTTTAGTTTAAAAGCAGGCCTCTTGATGAGTTTTCCCACTTTTATGGCCCACTTTTTCCCTTGAATTCAATCTTGCAGACCACTTACTATCTCTTGTTGTTTTTCAGGGAACACTGAACATCTTAGAAGAAGAGAATCATATTAAAGATGTTCTGTCTCGAATTGTAGTAGAAATGATTAAGCGGGAGTGGCCACAGCACTGGCCTGACATGCTAATAGAATTGGACACTCTTTCCAAACAAGGGGTATGAAATACAGCATTTTTTCTTGTTGTTGTTGTTGTTATTCAGGGGTTTATTTTTGTTTATTGATTTGAGAGAGAGAGAAACATTGGTTTGTTGTTCCACTTATTTATGCATTCATTGGTTGCTGCTTGTATATGCCCTGACTGGGAATTAAACCCACAACCTTGGCTTATTGTGATGATGCTCTAACCAACTGAGCATCCATTCAGGGCAGGGCAGGATTTTGTTTATTTGTTTGTTTTGTCAACAGAAAAGAACCTTTAGGCAAACCTATGATGAAAATATATTTGTTTAATTTAACTAGCTTATTTCTGTTAATGCAGGAAACACAGACAGAATTAGTGATGTTCATCCTTTTGAGACTGGCCGAGGATGTAGTGACCTTTCATACACTGCCCTTTCAAAGAAGAAGGGACATCCAGCAAACATTAACCCAGAACATGGAAAGAATCTTCAGTTTTTTACTTAACACACTTCAGGAAAATGTAAACAAGTACCGGCAAGTGGTAAGGAATATCCCACCTCCCTGAAGTTGTGTTTTTTAATGAGTGTTTTTTTGTTTGCTTAAAGTTCAAATGAACAAGCAACTGAGGTATCTAGTTCAGCAAAAGAAGAGGACATTTTATGAGCAAAAAATAAAAGGTGACAGGAAAAACAACTGATTTTTTTTTTTTAACTGATTTTCTAAGAAACTCAGGTCAGTGAGTTTCCATATGTACTGGGGGGAAATAATTCTTTTTATAGTGAGAAATTTTTTTATATAGTACAAAAATGAAGGTTAATTCTTAATATTTGAAAGCCCAGATATCTTAATAGGTCAGGGTAGTATCCCGGTTAAAATTTAAGATCTCATTTAGTGTTGGTCCCATTTGTAGTGTAAACTGCCAAGTTTATTAATCTTGATTACATGCTTCTTGGTATTTTGTTCTTCCTGATGAGGTATACTTACTCTTAATTTTAATTGCCCCTTTCTGCAGAAAAGGGCAAGCCAGGTACTCTCTTTCTAACCATTTTCATTGTTGGCAGAGAGCCTTCAGAAGAAGGCAGTATAAAAGTTAATCTAACATAATGTCCTCACCAAAGGGCAATTTAGCACCCCCAGGTTGTCACATTTAGGAATTCCTACTGGCATCTAGTGGGTAGAGACCATGGATACTGCTAAACATTCTATAATACACAGCCCTATAATAAAGAATTATCCAACTCAAAATGTCAAAAGTACTGAGTTGAAAAATCCTGATCTAGAATTCTCATATGTCCTTATTTCACAAAATAGGTTGAATTAAATATTAGTTATATTTTTATGCTTCTAACAGCTTCATTAGGTCTGTTTTCAGAGAAGCACTAGACATTAACACAAATGGGAGAAGGTGCTATGAGCTGTTTTGGTGGGGAGGAACTAACAGTAAATACCTAGTATATACCATTACAGGGTAGGGCAAAAGTAGGTTTACAGTTTTGAAGACAAACTAAATTTATTCTTGTTTTATTATTTATTAATTATTATTTTCTAAAACAACTGTAACCTACTTTTGCCCCATCCTGTCCTTATTTGTACTTTATATGTTATTTAATCCTCAAAACCAACCCTAAGAGTCAGAAAATATTGTCTCCATTTTACAGATAAGAAAAACCAAGGCTTAGGGTAATTATTAAAGACCCCCTAATCAATGGTTTTTGTAGAATTCAAGCTTCATTTTTTTTTTTTTTATGAGAGTGGACTTTTCCCCAAAAAATTTCTCCCCAAGATTTTTCAAAAGAAAATATTAAGGAAATAAACTTGCATTAAAAACCTTATGTATATTTTTTCGTTTCCCTAGGAGATTTAATCTCTAGGAGGAGAACAAATTATGAATACTTAGGTGCCCTAAAAATCTAGCCAACATGCCAGATTATTGGTGATAATCTAACACAAGTCAGAAACATCTACTGTGGTGTTTGTGTTTTACCCCACTTTCAGTTTTCTTCATCTGTGCTACACTTGTGCCCAGGACCAGAGCACTCCAAGAGCCATATCTTGTACCTTGAATTTCTCAGTTTGCTTGTAGTTGCTTCTCTGCTTCCATCCCTTCACCTTCCCAATTGGTGTCTTCCAAACAAGGGGTGTGATTGAATGGTAAACAGTGATGGGATGAATAGGCCCACTTTTTCTGTCACATCACCTGGCTCCTGTACTGGTCCCAAGGGCATGGAGGATCCAAACAGAAAGGAAGGATTTATAGGAGTGGAGAGTAAAGGCTGGACTTGGCTGTTGTCACTTGGATCCCTTTTCCTCCTTGGGCAGCATTAGTAGATGCTGGTGAGAGGATTCTACCCCATTAACATTGCTAATGAAGGCTTAATACTTGTTCTTTATGAAAATATTTTTTATAATTGAGAAAAGGAATTGTAAAACAAATTCTTTATGGTTCTAGTGGTGGTAAGTCTTTAGGTATTTCAGAAGTTGTTATTCCTGCTTGTATTCTTTTTCCTTTAACAGTCTTCAATTCTTAATTTTAACTTCAGAAGTTTCTCAGGACAATATTATTTTTATATACTTATAAATTATAAACATTGTGTGATATTTTTACAGAATTTGGGACATAAAGGTAAAAAAAATCAGTCATAATTGTATGTTTACTGAACGGACATTATTTTGATCTGTTTAGCATCTAATATTTTTGTGTACATGTTTTTCCTATATGTCCATCCATATGTGGTCATAAATTGTATTGATTTAATTTTTTTAAATTTATCTTTATTGTTGAAAGTATTATAGCTGTGTGTGTATCCCCATTAATTCCCTCTTTTCCACTCCTGCCCCCTCCCAGGCTATATTGATTTAATTTTGTTTCTTGCTTTTTTCCATTAGCATTACATCATTTCAGTATACCTTTGCCAATTATAATTGTCTTTTTATTTTTTTAATTTAAAAAACATGCTAATAGTTTGCTTTAAACTGTATTTCTTTCATCTAGCAATATTGAGCCTTATTTGTTGTTCACCTTTTGGTTGTATTTCTTTGTAAATCATGTGCTTTGAAACTGTCTTTGTGGCACTGAATGTTCTAACAAATTTGTATAAGCTCTTTAAATATTAACTTTTTGTCATGTTGCTAAAATTAAAGTAACCCATTCTTCTTAGGAGGAATATCAGTTATGTGTTCTTAGTAAAGTGGATTCTGTCCCAAGATTGAAAGTTGAATCTATATTTGAGAATCTATTTGAGGACCTTGATTATGGGGATGGAAAGTTATTACATACCCTTTTGCTCATTAAAAACATTGGATCCTTATACTTCTTTTCTTTCAGAAGACAGATAATTCTCAGGAGCCAAAGGTAAGAGCTCTTTGTGGCTTTGGAAGGAGACTTCTTTGAGATATCCACCTAGTGGAGGGTTACTTCAGCCTTAGTTTATTTGATCATTGAGCTAAGGTGGAAGAAAGTTAAAATTACAATATTTGAGATTTCTTGTAGGAAATATATTGGACTCACATATCAATATGGTTTTATTGATATATTGAGACTGCCGGTGTTTGAGAAATGAATGTGTTCATCAGGAGGAAAAAAAATTTTTTGACTGTTACATGAGTACACTTTTTTTTAAGTCATTTTCTTTTTGGAAATAGAAACTAGAAGGAGCTCAGGTGTATTACCACTGCTTTCTTGTCTGTGAGTGAGGACTTAATGGTCAAAAAGTTATTTCTTTTCATTCAGGCTCAAGCAAATTGTCGAGTAGGAATTGCAGCCTTAAACACGCTGGCAGGTTACATTGACTGGGTGTCCATGAGTCACATCACTGCGGAGAACTGCAAGCTCCTGGAGGTACTGTGCCTGCTGCTCAACGAGCAGGAGCTTCAGCTGGGAGCAGCCGAGTGTCTTCTCATTGCAGTGAGCAGAAAAGTAAGTTGCCACTTCAAACTGACTTTATCCGTCAAGTTTCTGAGGGGGCTGTTTAATTGTTGTGGCAGAGAGACATTTAAAGGTTTGGGTGTTGTTGTTTTTTCCTTGACACCAACTAACTACCTTTCTTCAACCCCTTAGTTGTTGTTTTGTTTTAAAATATATTTTTATGGATTTCGGAGAGGAAAGGAGAGGCGTTAGAGAGATGGAAACATCAGTGATAACAAAGAATCATTGATCCAGCTGCCTCCTGCATGTCCCTCTACTGAGGATCAAGCTCACAACCTGGGCATGTGCCCTTGACTGGAATTGTACCTGGGACCCTTCAGTCTGTAGGCTGATATTCTACCCACTTAGCCTAAACAGCTAGGGCCCTTCAACTCCTTTGGACAATAGTTTGCCAATATTCTAGAATATACAGAGGTCTGTCAGGCTACTTGGTTCTCCATATAGCTGTGAATCTTATCTTTTCATACATAAGAAATAAAGTTTAAAACTCAGTGTTTATGTCAAAGAATCTTTTTTAAAAAAATATATTTTATTGATTTTTTACAGAGAGGAAGGGAGAGGGATAGAAAGTCAGAAACATCGATGATGAGAGAGAAACATCAATCAGCTGCCTCCTGCACACCCTCCACTGGGGATGCGCCCGCTACCAAGGCACATGCCCCTGACCGGAATCGAACCTTTGGACCTTCCAGTCCGCAGGTCGAGCTCTATCCACTGAGCCAAACCGGTTTCAGCTATGTCAAAGAATCTTAGATGATGACTACACTGGCTTTTTACCTGTCTTGACTAACAATAGGGACCATGATTCTATTCTCCATAGGAATGCTATTATCAGCTGTAACTTATTTATCTTTCATTTCAGCACTGTTGACCAGCACATTTAAAAATTTAAGTTTTATCCAGATTAGGTTTTAAAAAGCTGGCTTTGCTCTAGTGTTCAGTCAATCTGGGGGCTGTAAGAGAAATTATGAAGTCAGTATATTTGATTAGATAGGTAAGAAGATGTTAGTACTTGAAGGCTTTTTATAATATAGTTTTCCTATTACCTTTGTTTCCCTAAAATTGGGTCTAGGGCAAGTTGGAAGATCGGAAGCCCTTAATGGTCTTATTTGGAGATGTTGCTATGCATTATATACTCTCTGCTGCACAGTGAGTATCTACTTTTATGTTTTTTCTAATTCCTTTGTTATTCTGTATATACTTGAATATCTTATCATACTTCAGATATTCTTGGATATCTGAAGTTCTAATCTAAATACTAGCAGTCAATTGACAGTGTTTCTAATTAAAAAATCAGGCAACCTTGGGGTTAAAGATCAACCAAAGGACTTGTATTCATGCATATTAGCATAACCAAAGAACACAGACACTGGGAAAATGGGGACTTGCCCTCGAGAGTGGGAATGGCTCAATCGGGGGAAAAGGAGACATATGTAAAACTTTAGACAATAAAAAATAAAGTCAGGCAACCTTCAAGGGACTATTGAATCTTTTTTAAGACCTTATACTAGAAATAAGTTGTGGCCACTAACTCAGCCCCCACTTACTTTCACAGTTTTCTCCATTATCCCCAGACAATTCATCTTCATGATTCTCTTTGTCTGGTTCTGATGATCCCTAAGCCTCCTAGTTTCCTTGGTGACTAGGCTTGAGAATGGTTAGATATGGACCCGAGTCTGTCCCAGGGCCTGCCTGATTGTAGAACTTCAGACACTCCTCCCTGATCTTCTCATCAGAGTAATTAATACCTGAAGTGTTGAGGCTCTTAGAAACATCAGGAACAATGTGTACAATGAGAAATGTGTGCATAAAACCTAAAAATATAGCCATTGTCCTAAAACAATGACTGCTTGTTTTCTTCTAATTGCTCTGGAAATTTTTTTTAAATATTTTTATTGATTTCAGAGAAGAAGAGAGAGAAAGAGAGAGAGATGGAAACATCAGTGATGAGAGAGAAACATTAATCGACTGCCTCATGCACCTCACTGGGGATTGAGCCCACAACCCAGGCATGTGATCCCAACTGGAATCGAACTTGGGACCTTTCAATCCCACAGGCTGAAGCTCTATCCACTGAGCCAAACCAGCCAGGGCTGCCCTGGAAAATATTAAAGCATTTCCTGATAATGTGTTTCTTACTAGGGAGTCACATAGAACTGTGTCTTACAAATAGTTGAAGATGTTGCAACACCCTCTTTTCAATACTTTTCACTAATTCTTGGTCCCAAAAATAAGTGAAAAGATGTGTGACACAAATGTGTTACTTAAAATCTCTTATATCCTATTCTAATACAGTTATGACTTTCTTTTCTATGGAGACTACAGCTCTGTTTTTAAGGGGACCTGTTAATTAAGTGAGTGACATTTCTTATGAGTAGTCACTGTAGTTTCTGTCTCCCAAGACCCATTAGTTCTATAGAGACCATGACATTCACCTTAAGGTGTCCTATCTCTGTGATACAAATACTGGTTAGCAAAGCTACGATTCTAACCCAAGCAAGCAGACTCCAAAGCCTGCACTGGAAACCATACAATATCACTAGAGCCTAAGTCTTGCTTACCTCAAGGCCTACGCTTTTTATATTATACTTGACTGCCTCCAGAACACAGCTGATATGGCTGTTGTCCCCACTGTTCATTATTAATTCTTACTGCTGTAAATAGTTGTACATCATAACAGGTCACGTTTTTTTATTTTTATTATTTAAAGTATTATATATATCTCCTTCTCTCCCCATGGACCTCTCTCTGGCCATTCCTACCCCCCGCACATGTCTTCACTCCCCTACTGTCTGTGTCCATGGTTTATGCTTATATGCATAACAGGTCAGTTTTAAAAGAGCACATAAGGGATTACAGATTTGAACTAAAAAATGAGACATAAAGTTATGTTTTTATTATAGTTTTTTAAAGACTATTTTTTAAGTATATTTTTATTTTTATTGATTTCAAAGAAGAAGGGAGAGGGAGTGAGAGGTAGAAACATCAATGATGAGAGAATCCTGCTTGCCACCACTAGGGATCGAGCCTGCAACCCGGGCATGTGCTCTGTCTGGGAATCGAACAGTGACCTCCTGGTTCATAGGTAGACACTCAATCACTGAGCTGGCAGCAAAATTCAGGGGAAAGTACAGAGATTTCCCATATACCCCTCATCCCAACACATGAGTAGTCTCCTCCGTTAACAACATCACTAACCAGAGTGGTATATTTGTTACAATTGATGAACCTACATTGACACATCAAATCATCCAAACTCCCTAGTTTACCTTAGGGTTTACTCTTGGTTTTATACATCCTATGGATTATAAACACTGAATAATATCCCAGTGTCAGATGTATCAGGGTTTATTTATCTATTCACCTATCAAAGGACACCTTGGTTGCTTTCAAGTTTGAGGAATTATGAATAAAACCGTTAAAAACATCCAAGGTTAACATACTATAAATAATTCAGGCTTTTGTATGAACACCAGTTTTCAACTCCTTTGGGTAAATACCAAAGAATTTATATCAATTGCTGGATTATATGATAAGAGTACCCTTAGTTTTATAAGAAACTATCAAACTGTCTTCCAAAGTGGGTATACCATTCCTACCAGCAGTTAATGAGAGTTTCTGTTGCTCCATATTGTTGATAGCATTTGCTATTTTTATTGTTAGATAATGGGTTATTCGAATAGGTGTGCAGTGGTATCTTGCTTTAATTTGCATTTCTCTGATGATATGTAGAGCATCTTTTCTTTTTCTTCTTTTTTCTTAATATATTTTTATTGATTTTGGAGAGGAAGGGAGAGGTAGAGAGATTGAAACATCAATGAGAGAGAATCATTGATCGATTGCCTCCTGCACGCCCCCTACTAGGAATCGAGCCCACAACCTGGGAATGTGCCCTTGACTGGAATTGAACCTGGGCCCCATCAGTCCACAGACCAATGCTCTGTCCACTGAATCAAATCAGCAAGGGCTTTGTGCAGTTTTTTATGTATAGAAGTATATAGATTGTTCTGTGGAGTCACACTCAGGGTTTATGTCACTATTCCAGAATACTCAAGGACCATATAAATTACCCAAATTAGAGAATCTCTTGATGGATGAAATTGCATTGAATGCTATTTTTTTTCTGTCCATCTTTCAGTGTTTGCAGGGGTTTTTTTGGTGGTTTTGTTTTTAAATAACAAGTTTAAATGTTGCAGCACAGACCACATACAATTCCATTTAATGGGAATCCCTTTGGTTCTCTTGATGTGCAACTAATCCACTGTTTTCTCATCTTACAGGACTGCTGACGGAGGAGGCTTGGTAGAAAAACACTATGTCTTCCTGAAAAGACTTTGTCAGGTGTTGTGTGCTCTGGGCAATCAGCTGTGTGCGTTGCTGGTGAGCACTTACTTTCTGGAGCGTTTCAAGGCCAATTGAGGAGAGCTTTTATTTTTTCTAATTTAACTTAGTTTTTAAAAATATATTTTTATTTCAGAGAGAGGAAGGGAGAAGAAGAGAGAGATAGAAACATCAATGATGAGAGAGAATCATTCATCGGCTGCCTCCTGCATGCCCCACACTGGGGGTTGATCCCGCAACACGGGCATGTGCCCAGACTGGGAATAAAACTGTGACCTCCTGGTTCATAGGTCGATGCTCAACCACCGAGCCATGCTGGCCAGGTGAGGAGAGCTTTTAGAAAATTATATTTGTGTTAGGGCTGACACATGCCATTGATTTTAGCCTCATATGGAGCATTGCATGTAGATTATTTCATGTGGTTCTATAGATTAAATTCTTTTAATAGTTTAAGTGATGTAAATTTCTTTTAACAAATCAATTATCAACAGCAAACATTCACATAAGTTATTCCATAAAGTCAACAGTGCTATTCTTGTGAACTTTGGTACTTACAAAACATCAGCCTGCTGAGTGCATTAACCCTTAAAGTCCTATTAGATTATAAAACATTATGGGTTTGAATAAATAATCCTTTCCCCAAATTTAAAGGAACTATTGTTGGATCATAAAAGATAACAAGTCTGATTTACGTAAGAATACCTGTCTTTAGGGAAGTATTTAGTACTTAGTCTTGTAACTTGAAAGATAAGATACTGGGACAGACATTTATCTTTTATGTTGTATCTTGGTAACTTGAATAGTTAGAGGATAGAGCTTTAGACAGAAGAGTGATTATTTAATGGGTCACAGAGATGTGAATAGTTCAGAAATAAATAATATGGATATCTTTTTTCTGTGATTTCTGAAATGAATACTCTCTTGTTTTACTATTTGACTACAGAATGTTTTTGTTTATTTACTTACAGAGAGAGAGAGAGAGATGTGACATCAATTGGTTGTCTCCCGTATACCTTTGACCAGAAATCAAACCCACAATCTGGGTATGTTCCCTGACCAGTAACCAAACCCGCCACCTTTCAGTGTATGGGATGACACTCCAAGCAATTGAGCCACACCTGTCAGGGCCAGATGAGTTTTAATGATGATACTTAAGGAGGTAAAGTGGCTTTCCTGTTTTTTAGCTCTTGAAATGAGATCTTTCTTAGACTACGAGGAAGTATACATTCGTATCAAAACTGAAATTTTGGAGAATTTAACTTACCTGAATTTGTTATTCCACTCTTCCCACTCCCCTCCCCTAATCAACATCATTAATTTAATGGACTTTTTGTCATACAGGGTGTGGATTCTAATGTAGAAACACCAGCAAACTTTGGAAAATACCTGGAATCTTTTCTTGCTTTCACAACGCATCCAAGTCAGGTAAACATTTTGCAGGTAACTTTTCGAAATTTGAGTTAGGTAAGCCAAAACAAAACACTATGGCCTAAAGTAACCAGCAGCTTACATATAAAACATGACTCCTACGGCCCTAGAAAATAACTACAGTATCATTAAGAGACTTGCTGAATCTGCTTCTTGAACCAGCATTAAACCATCAAGGTCAGCAGCTTTTCCCCCCAGCTAACATTATCTTGATAAAGCTCAATCAGATATGAGGTATATCCCAGGCAATTTACTACTAAAGATATTTTAATACAAATTAATTTCATCCAACTCAAGATTTTTCTTATAATACCACCCTGGCATAAATGAGAAAGGGGTAGATTACAGTTCACATTCCAGGAATCCCACCTAACCCACAGTCTGTCTTATTAACGTGTGTCCATAGTGAGTGGTCATTACTGATGTACTACATTATGGGCAGTTCAAAGTTTTTATAGAGGTTTATTTTCATGAGAAAATATAGTTGATAATTACTAAGCTAAGTAATAATCTTGGTTATATAAAATCCAAATTCTTAAACAGGTTTACTTTTTTCTCCCCCCTTTAGTTTCTACGCTCTTCAACTCAAACGACTTGGGGAGCCCTCTTCCGGCATGAGATCCTGTCCCGTGATCCTTTGCTATTAGCAATGATACCAAAATATCTTCGTGCTTCTATGACAAACGTGGTCAAGGTATGCAGTGGTGATCTAAACAGGGGAAACAAAGATAAGTACACATAATGTGACTTCGATTGGCATATTGACAAAGCTGTCTTGGTTACTGTGATTCCCTTCCTTGGGCATATTCTCTTATTCCTCAAGAAGAAAGCAGTCTATGGTGGTTATAATATATACTGTTTCTTGGAGCACTTAAATAATAGCACCAATATTGGACTAGACGCTAGATAAAAGAAATGATAGGGCAAGAACAGTGGCCATGACCATACACTGAGATAATTGCTTTTCAGAGATTAAAAGCAAGAAGGATGGTAGAGTGAAGAAGACTTCAAGGGGAAGTAATATCTGTTATGAAGGTCAAATGAGAGGAAGATGAATAAAAAGAGAAGGAAAGTGAAAGCAGATTGCGCACTATCTCAGTAGAGAGTTGGTTATGAATTTCCTGAGATCTGCTAAGGACTATTAAGCATTCATAAATGCTTAATCTTGGTTTGTAAAATTAGAGAATGGGACCCATTTAAGAGTCCCTTTATTTCTTCAAGGAATGCACCTAGCATGTACCACACGTGTCTTTATTCCTTTTTGAATGAAACAAAAAGTTCCATGCTTATTCCCAGGGTCCAGCATTTAAGGAGGCAGATAGTTTTCAGTTCTTTTTTACTTATTTCATGCTGTGTTAGCACGCTATCATGAGGCATTTTTATACTCAGACCCTTAATAAATTCCATAATTTAATTCTCTTTTAGGAACCTGAAAGAAAGAAATAAGTAAAACTTCTCTTTTTTGCCACCCTTAGGATTATTGGTACTGGGACCAAATTGTTGATGTAGGATAGACCAGAGCAGTTATTTATTTTTTCATGAACAACAGGCATTTATTTCTCACAGTTCTAGAGTCTGCAAGTGCATGATCAAGGGGCTAACAGACTTAGGTCTGATGAAAACCCACTTCATTGTTCATTGTGGCCATCTTCTCTCACTGTACCCTCACATGGTGGAAGGGCCAGACCCAGTTATTTATTATAAAATATCTCAATGTAAACCCTAACTCTTCTTAGTGCTTGAATTCCTGGAGTTCAAGACTCTTGGTAAGTCTATTTTCATCCCTTATACCGACTATCTTTCTCTTTCCAGATGGGCTTTCCTTCTAAAACAGATAGCCCTAGCTGTGAATACTCTCGAATTGATTTTGATAGCGATGAGGACTTCAATGCTTTCTTCAACTGTAAGTGACCTGGAATTACTTCCAACAGTCTCAGAATGGCATCTATTGTTGTGAATCATGGCACATGACCCATGGAGTTCTATATTAAAAAGCCCTAAATTTGAACAGCTGCCTGATTAATCTCTAGTCTCACATTTCAGAGGGTGCTGGGATTGTACTTATATCAAGCCTGGTATTCTTTCACTAGTATATACACACACACACACACTACCTTTGGAGATTGATTTTTATTTTTTTAATATATTTTTATAGATTTTAGAAACAAAGGGAAAGGGAGAGAGAGATAGGAACATCAATAATAGAGAATCATTGGTCAGCTACCTCCTGCACACCCCCTATTGGTGATTGAGCCTACAACCCAGGCATATGTCCTTGACTGTAATTGAACCTAGGACCCTTCAGTCTGCAGGCCTGCACTCTATTAGGCCAAGCCGGCTTTATTGAGATCTAATTCAATAAAGATCTAATTCAACAATTCACCCACTTATAGTATATAATTTAATGGATTTTAGTATTTTCAGAGTTGTGCACCCATCACCACAATCAATTTTAGGACATTTTCATGATCCCAAGAGACTCAATACCCATTAGCAATCAGTTCCCAATCTTCTCTTTTTTCCCAGTCTTGGGAAACCACTAATTCACTTTTTATTTCTATATTCTGAACATTCTTCTATATAATAAAGAGGTAATATGTAAATTGACCCTCACAAGATCGCTGCCTACGACCATACCAGCAGGGGGATTAGTGAGGAATGACCAAACAACTGAACAAGGAGGCTGCATGGGTTGACAGGCCAGCGGGGGGTCTGTGAGGGGCGAGCAAGCCGGCAGGGGCGGCAATTGGGAGTGACTAAGGGGGTGGGGGCAGTTAGGGGCAACCAGGGCAGCAGTGGTGTTAGTGGAGGTCGACAAAATGACTGAACAGCAGGCTGTGTGGTTTGACCAGGCTGGCAGGGATGCTGTGAGGGGCAACCAGACCGGCAAGGAGGTGCTAGTTAGGGATGATCAGGCTGGCACGCAGAGGCAGTGAGGGGTGATCAGGCCCGCGGAGGGGGCAGTTAGGGGTGACCAGGCAGGCAGAGAGCAATTAGGAGCCAGCGGTCCAGGATTGTGAGAGGGATGTCTGACTGCCAGTGTAGGCCTAATCCCGGGTTTCAAGCCAAAACTGTCAGACATCCCCCAACGGGTCCCAGATTGGAGAGGGTGCAGGCTGGGCTGAGGGGACACCAGGCCTCTAGTTTCATATAAATTGAATTATACAACACTAGAGGCCTGATGCATGCTTTTATTATTATAGATGTGATCTTTTGAAACTTTCTTTCACTTAGCATAAAGTTTTTAATATTCATTTATGGTATAGCATGTATCGATACTTTGTATTGTCAGTATTTTATTTTATGAATATGTACATTTTAATCATCCATTCATAAGTTGATGGAAATTTGAGCTGTTCCCACCTTTTGGCTCTTTAGAATAATCTATAATAATAAAGCGTACTGTGCTGTTTAGACCAGACAGCCCAATGACCTTCCAGACGTCCTTCAGACAACCTTTCGGATGAAGGCAGGGCTGCAAGGGCCAAGCCCCCAGTCTGCTATAACATTGGTGTACAAGTTTCTTAGTTTGCATATGTTTTTATTTCTCTTAGATATATGCCTAGGAAGGGAATTACTGAATCATGTGGTAATTTCATGTTTAATGTTTTGAGGAACTGCCAGGCTGTTTTTCACAGCAGGTTCCATTTTATATCTGTTCCAACCTGATCTTTTCATTCCAACAGAAATGGGAGACCATGTTTTGTTTGCCATTTGCAGGCTCTAAATGATAGGGTACCTTCCAAAGATAATTTTAAAAAATTTGTTTTTTTAATGTCTGGATTTGTTAACAAGGCTTTTTTGAACATTTCCCCCCTGGAATAGATAAATGAATGAACATTAACTAAGTACCTATTATCGACTCATGTCTTTCTCTTGGCAGCCTCCCGGGCCCAACAAGGAGAGGTAATGAGGTTAGCATGTCGTTTGGATCCCAAGACTAGCTTCCAGATGGCTGGGGAATGGCTAAAGTATCAGCTGTCAACTTCTGTTGATCCTGGATCCATAAACTGTAAGTTTGTTTTTTTTCTAATCCTCACTTGAGGACATGCTTATTGATTTTAGAAAGAGAAACATCCATGTGAGAGAGAAACATCCATTAGTTGCCTTCGCGTAAGTGCCTGGATCGGGGATCAAACCTACAATATAGGTATTTGCCCTGATGGGAATTAAACCCGCAACCTTTCAGTGTATGGGACAACACTCCAACCAACCTGAGACATAGGGTCTAGGCTGAACTGTAATTTTTTTAAATGTCTGAACATTAGTGAAATAAACCTTCTGAGTTACACTTCAAAACAATATGCTAATAAACATTCAAAAATGGCTTTGCTCACTGCCCAGTTCCATTCTAGGGAGTGCAACTCCATTTACACACTGAGAAAGCAGGTAACACTACATTTTAAAATATATATATATTTTATTAATTTTCCACAGAGAGGAAGGAAGAGGGATAGAGAGCTAGAAACATCGATGACAGAGAAATATCGACCAGCTGCCTCCTGCACACCCCCTGCTGGGGATGTGCCCGCAACCAATGTACATGCCCTTGACCGGAATCGAACCCGGGACCCTTCAGTCCGCAGACCGACGCTCTCCACTGAGCCAAACCAATTTTGGCAACACTACATTTTTAATCTGTTTAAATTAGATAAAAACACGTTCAGTTTTGCCTTTGCTTTTTCTTTTTCACAGAATTAACTAATTGTTTATTGTTGATTTTTAAAAATATATTTTATTGATTTTTTACAGAGAGGAAGGGAGAGGGATAGAGATTTAGAAACATCAATCAGCTGCATCCTGCACACTCCCCTGGATATGTGCCTGCAACCAAGGTACACGTCCTTGACCAAAATCCAACCTGGGACCCTTGAGTCTGCAGGCTGACGCTCAATCCACTGAGCCAAACTGGTTAGGGATATTGTTGATTCTTTCACTTCACTTCAGGTACTATCTTAAATTGATGTCTACACCTAACTTTTTAAAGCTTTTCAACCAAGCTTTGCATAGCACCACTCCTCAACTCAGAAAGAATGTGCTGTTATCCAGACATAACAGAAGCAGTACAGGGACTTCTCATTCAGCCACTTCAAAATCTCTGGGAAATGCCACTTTTATATAAAATCAAAATCACTGCCCTTTACCCAAATACATAAGCAAGGTAATTTCTTTGTTCTCTATATCTTCTGTCTTGTCATTAATGCATAGGCAACAGGGTTAATAAAGCAGGAAAGAGGTAATAACTGCTTTCAAAAGGTCCATGGTAGCTGAAACTGGTTTGGCTCAGTGGCTAGAGCGTCGGCCTGCAGACTGAGAGGTCCCAGGTTCGATTCCGGTCAAAGGCACGTACCTTGGTTGCGCCGGGCGCATCCCCAGTGGAGGGTGTGCAGGAGGCAACTGATTGGTGTTTCTCTCTCATCAAAGCTTCTAACTCTCTCTCCCTTCCCTTCCTCTCTGTAAAAATCAATAAAATATTTTTTAAAAAGGTCCATGGTAATCATCAATAACCATGTACATTAGTTATTGATAATTATGGGATTTAGCTTTCAGTTTTGTATATTCACAATTGACTCTGAAGGTCAAGTATCAGATAACTTGAATGTTTGCAGAGGCTCAATATGTTGCATCAAGATGAAGATAATAAATGGGAGTGCTAATGGAAACAAGAAAAGTTTGTAAATCTTTTCGCTTATGCCTTGCTGTTTGAGTGATGTGGCTTGATGATACTTGTGAACTTGGAAGGTGGCACAATTCTCTAGCCATAGCTGTTGCATTGTTCTGTGGCTACTGCATGTGAAGTAGTATTTTTTTTTTTTTAATCTTATGTCAGTTCTTTGTTGGAAGGATTATTTATGGTCTTAAATATCTTAATTATTTAGATTCCCATGGACAGATTATAAAGAGGGAAGAAGAGAGAACTTAATATTTATCAATTGCCTCTCATTGCTCAAGTAATGTTTTTTTTGTATGTTTGTTTGTTTTTGTTTTGTTTTTTAATCCTCACCCAAGGATATTATTCCACTGATTTTTCGAGAGAAGGAAAGACAGACAAATGTTGATATGAGGGAAACATCAATTGGTTGCCTCCTACACTTGCCTGACCAGGGCCCTGGCCAGAGAGGAGCCTGTAACCGAGGTACATGCCCTTGACTAGAATTGAACCTGAAACCTGTTAGTCTGCAGGCCGAAGCTCTATCCACTGAGCCAAACCAGCTAGGGCTGTTCTTGATGCTTATATCTATGCGATTGACCCGGTACAAAGATTCATGTACATTGAAAGGAAATGAATTAGAAGGTGGCCAGAGGGACGGGACTGGGCGAGACGGGTCGGACATACCCTGGAGCCAACCCCCCTCGACCCCTCCCCCGCCAGCTGCACCAAGGGCATGTGCAGAGTGAGCAGAGCCCCTTTAGCAGGTGGGGTCTCTCAGGCTGGCCTGCAGGTATTGGGCTAAAATCAGCTCGCCGACATCCTCTGAGGGGTTCCAGGGTGCAATAAGGCATTCTGCAAAGTTGCTGTGTTGAGTGTCTGCCCCTTGCTGGTCAGTGTGCGTCATACCTGTTGGCTGGTCGGCCAGTCAGCTGGTCACTTAGCCTTTCATATATATAATTTCTTATTCAGTACTCAAAATGGTTTTATAGATAAGGCTCCTAGAGCTCAATTCAGACAGCTGATTGTAAGCAGAATAGGAACTCCTTTTTATTTCTTTTTATTTTTCTAGACTGAGGGGTTAAATCAGTGGTTTTCAACCTTTCTAATGCTGAGACCCTTTAGACAGTTCCTCATGTTGTGGTGACTCACAACCATAAAATTATTTTTGTTGCTACTTCAGAACTGTAATTTCGCTACTTTTATGAATCGTAAATATCTGTGTTTTCCGATGGTCTTAGGCTCTACAACAGTGGTTCCCAACCCACAGATAGAGAACCACCAGCAGGGTCGACCCTTTAATACAGTTCCTCATGTTGTGGTGTCCCCCCAACCATAAAATTATTTTCATTGCTACTTCAGAAATGTAATTTGCTACCGTTATGAATCATAAATATCTGTTTTCCAGTGGTCTTAAGCTCTACAGCAGTGGTTCTCACAGATTGAGAACCGCTAGCAGGGTTGCCTAAGTCCATCGGAAAACACAGGTATTTACATTACCATTCATTACAGTAGCAAAGTCACAGTTATGAAATAACATCGAAAATAATTTTATGGTTGGGGGTCACCACAACATGAGGAACTGTATTAAAGGGTCGCAGCATCAGGAAGGTTGAGAACCGAGAACCACTGGGTTAGATTATTCTGTTCCTTCAACTAGGAAATTACCAAGTTGTCTCTAAGGCCCCATTGCCTTGGTGTCTTCAATGATCCTACCTAGTGTTGGTGTGTGTGTGTGTGTGTGTGTGTGTGTGTGTGTGTGTGTGTGTGTGTGTGAGTTTTAAAACCCTGTTTTCCTATAGCTGGAATTGGGGAAAGCGGCCTCTGCTCCATCTTCTCACCTTCATTTGTGCACTGGGAAGCCATGACCTTTTTTTTGGAAAGTGTGATCAACCAGATGTTTCGAACACTAGATAAAGACGTAAGTAACTGTTTCCCATGCTGATTGTGTAATGATTTTGATCTTCTTAAAACTGGCAGAGGGATAGGAAAATCTATGGATGTGTATCTCACAGAAGAGGAAACAGATACAGGAAGGTTAATTAACACTCAAATTCAAGTGGCTAGTATATAGCAGAGCTGACTCAGGTCTCTCTGATTCTAAACTATACAATGTTTAGTATTCATCTGAAGGGTATAATATGAGCTTGATACTACAGTGAACCTCAGGTAGGATAACTGTTCCAAACCTTGAGATATTTGCCATTAAGCATCTTTTTCAATTTATGGATCAGAATATTCAAGTTTGAGGGTCAGTGTCTCTCTTCTCTGAATATATTTTTTAAAATTTTTATTTATTGATTTGAAAGAAGGGGGGGGGAGGCAGGCATCAGTTTGTTTTTCCACTTATTTGTGCATTCATTGGTTGCTTCTTGTGTGTACCCTGACTGGGGATAGAACCCAAACCTTGGTATATTGGGACGATACTCTAATTAACTGAGCTACCTGGCCAGTGCCAGATCTTGTTTTTCTAAACTTCATATCACTTATCACTCTTCTCTTATAACATTACCTTATTAGATTAAAATGATTTGATCACTCATTTGGTAGTAATTATATTTTAGTGTATTCTAGGTTAGTTATAGAAGGAATCTTGAAGAAAGGGGGATATAATATGTATGTTTTTTGTGTGGCTTTTTTTTTTTTACAAGTAGCTTATTAACAAATTAGATCTTAGGATCATCTGTTTTTTGTTGTTTGTTTTTTAAATATATTCTATTGATTTTTACAGAGAGGAAGGGAGAAGGATAGAGATTTAGAAACATCGATGAGAGAGAAACATCAATCAGCTGCCTCCTGCACCCCCCACACCCCACACTGGGGATGTGCCCACAACCAAGGCATATGCCCTTGACTGAAATTGAACCTGGGACCCTTGAATCCGCAGGCCAACGCTCTATCTACTGAGCCAAACCGGATAGGGCAGGGTCATCTGTTTTTATATTGATTCACTTCAGTTTAAAATTATAGCATCCTGAGTTTGTTCTAAATTATAGATGGGAACCCTACTAGAATCCTGTATTTTTCACTGTGTTAGTCCTTTTTCAAGTTTAGATGGGACCTATATATATTAGTAAGTGTGACAAATCAAGAAAGCCCTTTATTAAATCAAGGGAAATGGCCCTGCTGTTTTCTTTCCTGGCATTTTGGAAAAAATATATTTTTATTGATTTCAGAGAAGGGAAAGGGAAGGAGAGAGAAACATCAGTGATGAGGGAGCATCATTGACCAGCTGCCTCCTGCTCACTCCTTACTGGAGATCAAACCTGCAACCCTCGCATGTGCCCTTGACGAATCGAACCTGGGACTCTTCAGTCCACAGGCCAACACTTTATCCACTGAGCCAAGCTGACTAGGGCTTCTAGCATTTAGACACCTTGAAATGGATCCAGATGTATGGGTATGATCCTGCTTGCAGGCTAGGCTAGGGTTTGTCAAGTACTTGTTTTTATTTTATTTTTTAATATATTTTTATTGATTTTTTTTACAGAGAGGAAGAGAGAGGGATAGAAAGTTAGAACATCAATGAGAGAGAAACATCAATCAGCTGCCTCTTGCACACCCCCTACTTGGGATGTGCCCACAACCAAGGCACATGCCCTTGACCAGAATCGAACCCAGGACCCTTCAGTCCACAGGCCGATGCTCTATCCATTGAGCCGAACCGGTTTCGGCTCAAGTACTCATTTTTATTTATTTATTTATTTATTTATTTTTTAAAATATTTTTTATTGATTTTTTACAGAGGAAGGGAGAGCGATAGAGAGCTAGAAACGTCGATGAGAGAAAAACATCGACCAGCTACCTCCTGCACACAGACACACACACACACACACACACACACACACACACACCCCGCCGGGGATGTGCCCGCAACTAATGTACATGCCCCTGACCGGAATTGAACCTGGGTCCTTTCAGTCTGCAGACCGACGCTCTACCACTGAGCCAAACCGTTTTCGGCCAAATACTCATTTTTAATGTGTATGAAAGGACTGGCAGTTTTGGGGGAGAGAGGAGTACCTGGTTGGTTGTATGTTGGATTTTACAGTAAGTTCCTATATATGCTGGTATTTGGTCAAAACACCAAATACTAATTGGTTAAAAAATACAAAAAAAAAAAAAAAAAGGTTTGGAATGTATATACAAGAAAGATATGGGCCAGGTACAATGCATAGGTAACAATTAGAAATTTGGTAGGATTTATACCAGTGGTGGGGAGAAAAACAAATGGCACTAAATTCTTTTTTCCTCAGGAGAATCCTAGGTAGGAGTATTTAGGTTAATGACATAAAATAAACCTGAGTCTAAGACCAAAATCAAATGGGTAAGAAGAATCATTTCTAATTAAGAGAGATGAGTGTTTGAAAATATTAAATTATTCACCTACTTGTTAATGAGACTATAATACACTGTATGTCCCAGGAGTGTGCCGGTCCCAGATCTGAGCTTGTTACATTCCCATTCACTGCTATCAATTTCAGACTTGGAAGAGTCTTATCTAAGTCTAGTGATTTTGCTCTGTTTCTGCCCTCAATATCCACTCTCAGCCTGGGTCAGTCAGAGCAGATCAGCTTTTATCACGTGAAAGTTTTAACCAAGAGCTTCTTTGAAAAACTATTCATCTTGTCCGTAGTGGCATTATCTAGGCTTGTATTTCCAGTAGTATGGATCCAAGTACATTGGGTAGAGCCTTTTACCCTGTTTCCCCGAAAATAAGACAGTGTCTTATATTAATTTTTGTTCCCAAAGATGCGCTAGATCTTATTTTCAGGGGATGTCTTATTTTTCCATGTGCTAGGTCTTATTTTCAGAGGATGTCTTATTTTCGGGGAAACAAGCTCTTCCTTACATTAATTCACTGCTAGTAGCTTTAGCAGTGAATTAATGTAAGGAAGAGCTTGGGAGGCGAGGGGGAGTATCACATTTTGAAAATGAGGATTGATTTGCCTCAGATAATAAAATATAAAGCTACAGTATTTTATTTTACTTATTTTTTAATGCTACAATGTTTTAAAGCAGTATAGAACCGGCATTAGACACAGCTCTTTTGAACAAAGTAGCCCAGAAACAACCTGAAGCATATACAAGAAATGAGAGGTATTGGTCATTTAATAATTAGCATTAGGCCCTGGTGGGTTTTGCTCAGTGGTTAGAGCATCGGCCCACCTATGGAAGGATCATGGATTTGATTTCCAGCCACGGGCATGCGTGTGTGTCTCTCATGTCGATGTTTCTCTCCCCGTCCCCCCGACTCTCTCTAAAAAATTATTGGAAAAGGTATCCTTAGGTGAGGATTAACAACAACAAAAATAGTAATTAGCATTAGGAAAAATTAACTGTTTAGGAAAGGTCCCTAAAAGTTGAAAAACAATGAAAGTAATAAAAAAAAATTTGATGACTTTAACTGCATATGTTTTTTAATTTACAAAATAAATTTTTAAAAGGTAAACTGGATTAGTTTCTGCAATAAATATGGATGGGACTGATATCCTTACTTTAAAAAGCTTATCTCTCTTAAACATCACTAATAGAATATAACTGATATCACTTTGGAGAATAATTTGGCAATATATTGTATAGAATAGATTATAATAGAGCAGTAAAAATGAACTAGGCTTATACGATGAATAAGGATGATTCTCATAAACATAATGTTGACCCAAAACAGCAAGCCACAAAAGTGAATACATTTGAGGTAAAAGTATAAAAAAAATGAAGGAATCTATGAATTTATGAACACCAAATTTAGGATGGTGGCTACCTTTATGACTGGAAAGGAGGTTATGTGCACAGAGTAACCACAGTATCAGTAGCATCTATTTCTCTAAGTAGTTGTATGGAGGGTCAATAAAGTGTTATACCATTTTAAAGGTCTGTAAAATTTAACAATAAGCTTTTTGTATAAGTTGGTAATACTAGAATCCAATGGAGAAATAAATAAAAGGTATGATCAGATAATATACAGAAGAGAAATAGATAAAAGGTATGATCAGATAATATATAGCAGTTAATAAATCTGGAAAAAATCAACCTCATTAGTAATTGAAAAAATGCAAATTAAATAAACTTTTGTTTTTCCTAAATAAATAAAAGTTTTAGGGAACAAATTCATTGCTGCTGAGAACGTGGTAAGAAGGACACATTATGGATCAAGAATCAATTAATAAAACTAATCGGTAAAGAAGGAAAGTAATTTACATATATTCATAACTTTTGACCCAATGATTCTAGCCACCCCCAAAAGTCTCTTATTCAAGAGGAATAATTGATAATGTAGCCAACATTTTTTTTTTGCAAAGATATTTATTAGCATTATATACAATGATGAAGAACTAGACATATTCTAAATTTCTAATAATAGGAGATGATATATCTTTAAGATAGTACATGGTGGCATATAAGAAATTTTTTTTTTTAAATCACCTGAGGATATTCCACTGATTTTTTAAGAGAGGGAAGACATTGATGTGAGAGAAACACATGGATTGGTTGCCTTTTGTATGCCCCCTGACTAAGGGAGGAGTCTGCAATTGAGGTACATGGCCCTTGAATGGAATTGAACCAGAACCCTTTGGTTCACAGGCCAACACTCTATCCACTGAGCCAAACTGGCTAGGGCTGAAAAATTTTAATAACATGGAGTGATGCTTTGAATTTTAAGGATTAGAAAGTAGTATATAAAAACCATATGTGGCACCTGTCCTATGTATTTATAAACTAGAATCCAAAGGAAAAGTGGTGGTTATCAGCTGTGTCAATCTCCTTTTTGTGTCTGTATTACAGGAAATCCCTGTTCATGATGGAATAGAGCTATTGCAGATGGTCTTGAACTTTGACACTAAGGACCCTCTCATTCTGTCTTGTGTTCTCACTGATGTCTCAGCACTCTTTCCATTTGTCACCTACAGACCAGAGTTCCTGCCCCAGGTCTTCTCCAAGGTAAACTTCATCTGCTTTGTAAACTTTATTTTGGCATTTCTAAGCTAATAAATGTAATTGTTTTTGAAAGTGTGTGAGACAAGTTAATAAATCGACAGCCATTTATTCATTTATCAGATATTTGCTCAGTACTTATTGTGGATCAGACACCATGCTTGTAGAAAAGAATGCTTTGTTTGGGAAGAAACTCATATAAACGGATGTAACTATATGGCATTGCAATTATAGACATATACACCGAGAAATGGAAAGAATATCTAAAGGAAGGGTTCAGAGCGTGCTTTCAGATTGAGAAGGGATTTGTGAGAGGTTAGTAATATGGACAGTTTCTGAGTTTCCAGTTTAGATGACTAGATGAGTAATTGAGTGCCACCTGAGGGAGAATACTGGATCAGGAGAGAGAATAGGAGTTAGGCAGAAAAGGGAGTGAATTCTGTTTTGGAATACTATGTTTGAGGTATATATACAATAGGTAGGTGGAGAGAACTCACAGTAAATTGGCTATTTGAGGTTAAAGGTCTAGACACTAGCAAACTCATTAGTCAACAGAGCAGCAAACCGCGGCTCATGAGCCGCAGTTTGCCGACCACTGGTCTAGACTCTAGAAAATTTTGTAATTTTCTAGAGTCTAGACCAGTGGTCTAGGCATCGTCATTATTGGAGTGTTAAGAGTAGAAGTGAATCGTCATTATTGAAGTATCAAGGCATTAAGTATTAAGGCATCGTCATTATTGAAGTGTCAAGAGTAGAAGTGAAGCCCTAGGGAAGAGGAGAGGAAGAGTTAGACATGTAGGTCAAGCAAGGAACCCTGGAGATCACCATCATTGGAGGAGAATGGCAAAGAATGAGAAGCCCCAAAGGGAAGAGAAAAAAAGAGAGAGAGAGCCAGAGAAATGGAGAAAATGTTGTTACAAAGGCCAGTAGAACTTTAAAAAGGTGAACTCCTTTGTTGCATAGAGAATGTCCATTAAGTTTCCAATTAGGCCTTTGTAAAGTGTTATTACATCACAGCGACTTGGGCAGCAATCAGGTTACATTGGGTTAAAGAATAAGCTGGGTTCTGACAAGTATGCCTCAGTTGGTTGAACATCATCCCATGCACCAAAAGGTTGCCGGTTTGATTTCCAGTTAGGGCACATGCCCAAGTTGTGGGCTCAAGCCCTAGTAGGAGGCATGCAGAAGCAATCGATAGATGTTTTGCTCTCACATCAATGTTTCTCCCTCCTCCCCCCTTTCCCTCTTTCACTAAAAATCAGTTAAAAAGTCTTTGGTGGGGGAAGGTGAAAAAGTAAATGGGAAACCTTGGCCTAGTGGCTCAGTTATTTGGAGTCCTGTACATCAAGATTGTAGGTTCGATCCCTGGTTAGGACACATACAAGTTGCAGATTTGATCCCTGGTTGAGGTGTGTACGGGAGGTAACAGGTCCATGTTTCTCTGACTTCTCTTACTCCCTTTCTTTCTCTCTAAAAATCAATTTAAAACAAAAGGTGTCCTCAGATGTGGGTTAAAAAATATAAAACTAAATGGGAAGTTAAGGTGGAGTAGGGAAGGTTGATCACTTAAGTTTTAACAGTGGAGAAGGAAGAGGCATCATTGTAGCTGAGTGTGTGTGTGATGGCATGGTAAGATTGTAAATCTCAACCCTCTCCTACTTATCTGAGAAAACAAACATTTGAAACTTTGTAATGACAATTAGCCGAAACCGGTTTGGCTCAATGGATAGAGCGTCAGCTAGGGGACTGGAGGACCCAGGTTCGATTCCGGTCAAGGGCATGTACCTTGGTTGCGGGCATATCCCCAGTAGGGGGTGTGCAAGAGGCAGCTGGTCGATGACTCTCTCTCATCGATGTTTCTAACTCTCTATCTCTCTCCCTTCCTCTCTACAAAATAAAATAAAAAATATATTTAAAAAAAAAAAAAAGAAACTTTGTAATGACAATTAAAATCCCTTTCATTATCATATTGTAACACTTTTGGAATTTTGTTGGAAACTTTGTAACTACTGTTTAAAACAACTTTACTCAGTTGGTACTGATGAGTGGCCTTTTTCTCCTTCCCCTTAGCTATTTTCGTCTGTCACTTTTGAAACTGTTGAAGAAAGTAAGGTAAGACCATTAATTCAACCAACAAATTCTAAGTTCTTGGGAGCAAAAGTATGAATATGTAACATTTAGTCTAATAAGTAAAAGGGTTAGGTACAGGCAGGAGATGGTCATGATAAGGTCTTTTGTACTACAGATACTTTAGGGCAAAAGTATTCATGGTGACTATAAATGTGACTCTATTATACTCTCACAGTTGTAAAAAATGATTGTGAATATGCCTCTGAAGAGATGTATTTACATGATAATAAGCACCATCTATAAATTTATTATATTGAAAGTGGCTCTGTTTGTTGAATATTTCTTCCCAGGCCCCCAGAACCCGGGCAGTCAGGAATGTGAGAAGACATGCTTGTTCCTCCATCATCAAAATATGTCGAGACTACCCTCAGCTTGTGTTGGTAAGCCACTGGATTTGCTAAGTAGTCACTGAGATCTGTTGAGTTACAAATATATATTTGTAAATTAAGTTCTGTTTATACTCACATAAATAGAAAAAGAGGAACTATATCTTTGCTCAGGATAAACATTCTTTTATTTTTTACTAGAGGCCTGGTGTACAAATTTGTGCATTGGTGGGGGCCAGCCAGCCCACCCCAATCAGGCGGGCAGGAGAGTGTGGGAGGTTGGCTGGCCAGCTCTGCCCCCTGGTCAAACTCCCAGTTGAGGGGACCATTTGCATATTAGCCTTTTATTATATAGAATTTTTATTGATTTCAAAGAGGAAGGAAGAGAGAGAGAGAGATTTAAACATCAATGATAAGATTCATTGATTAGCTGCCTCCTGCACAGCCCCTACTGGGGACTGAGCCCACAACCCAGTCTAGTCTGCCCTTGACTAGAATCCATCCTGGGACCCTTCAGTCCCCAGGTTGATGCTCTATCCCCTGAGCCAAACCAGCCAGGGCAGGATAAGCATTCTATATAATAAAGAGATAATATGCAAATTGACCATCACTCCAATATACAAGATGGCCATCCCCATGTGGACACAAGAAGGATGTCATAGATAGCCAGCAGGGGAGGGCAGATGGGGGCAACCAGGCCTGCAGGGGAGGGAAGTTAGGAGCAACCAGGCCTGCATGGGAAGGCAGATGGGAGGGACAAGGCCTGCAAGGGAGGGTAGTTGGGGGGGGAGGGGGGGACCAGACCTGCATTGGAGAGAAGTTGGGAGGGATAAGGCCTGCAGGGAAGGGCAGTTGGGAGGGACCAGGCCTGCAGGGAGGGAAGTTGGGCAGGGCGGGGGGAAGAGGGAGAGGACTAGGCCTGCAGGGAGATAAGTTAAGAGTGATTGTGCCAGTAGGGGAGGACATTTGGGGCAATTGGGCCAGCAGGGGAGCAGTTAGGCATTGATCAGGCTGGCAAGGGAGTGGTTAGAGGTGATCAGGCTGGCCGGCAGAAGTGGTTAGGGGCAATTAGGCAGGCAGGCAGGTGCACGGTTGGGAGCCAGCAATCCTGCATTGTGAGAGGGATGTCCAACTGCCCGTTTAGGCCCGATCCCACAGGACATCCCTCAAGGGGTCCCAGATTGAAAAGTGTGCAGGCTGGGCTGAGGGACACACATCCCTCCCCGGGTACGAATTCATGTACCGTGCCTCTAGTTCTTTTTTTTTTTTTTTTTTTTTTTTTTTTTAATATATTTTATTGATTTTTTTACAGAGAGGAAGGGAGAGAGATAGAGAGCTAGAAACGTTGATGAGAGAGAAACATCGACCAGCTGCCTCTTGCACACCCCCTACCGGGGATGTGCCCGCAACCAACATACGTGCCCTTGACTGGAATCGAACCTGGGACCTTTCAGTCCGCAGACTGACGCTCTACCGCTGAGCCAAACCGGTTTCGGCGGTGCCTGTAGTTCTTGAATAAGTGTCTTGTTCCTCTCTTACTTAGTAGAAGAGTTAAAAATGCAAACTATTCCCTCAAAATAAACAATTTTCCATATGAATGATACCAAGTTTTCCCTATCAGTGTACACCTCTTTATTGTACTGTGTGATGTTCTTTATTGCTCCTGCCAAATGATGTGCCTAATCTTGAGGGAAGCCAGATGTGAACCCCATTCTTTTCTTTTTTTAAAATATATTTATATTGATTTCAGAGAGAAAGGGAGGAGGAGAGAGAAATAGAAACATAAATGATGCAAGAGATTCATTGACTGGCTGCCTCCTGCACACCCCCTACTGGATATCAAGCCCAAGTACTAGACTTAATGGGGGGAACACTTTGTGCCCTGACCAAGATTCAAATGGTGACCCCTGGTTCATAGGTCAACACAATCACAACCACACTGGCGGGGTGAACCCAAACTTTTGTTTAAGAAGAAATGTGTTGCTGTTTCAAATTACAAATTAACCAGAAATTTCTTCAGTGAACACAGAGCAGTGTGTGAATGTATGTGTATTTGTATGTGTGTGTGTCTTTTTTAAAAAATATATATATATTTTATTGATTTTGTACAGAGAGGAAGGGAGAGAGATGGAGAGTTAGAAACATCGATGAGAGAGAGTCATCGATCAGCTGCCTCTTGCCCGCAACCAAGGTACATGCCCTTGACCGGAATTGAACCCAGGACCCTTCAGTCCCCAAGCCGACGCTCTATCTATTGAGCCAAACCGGTCTCGGCATGTGTGTGTGTCTTTGTGCGTGTGTGTGTGTGTGTGTGTGTGTGTGTGTGTGTGTGTGTGTAAATAAGCTGATATTTGCAAAAATATTGTAAAAATTGATGTAGAAAAAAAGATTGTTTTCACAATTGCAGTGTGGGAAATTGCAATTACACGAATACTTAAGACAAGTCACCTCTGCCTAAATTGCCTTGCTTGTCCAGGCAAAAGAGCATTAAAGCTAAATTACTAAGGATGGTCCTATAGACTTGACCTTCCTGAGTGACTCGCCTCTCCCTGAAAATCAGACCTTTACCATCTCTAGTTTTTGTTTGTTTTTTCCCTTTCTGTTCTGCAGCCCAATTTTGACATGCTTTATAACCACGTAAAGCAACTCCTCTCCAATGAGCTGCTCCTGACACAAATGGAGAAGTGTGCCCTCATGGAAGCCCTGGTTCTCATTAGCAACCAGTTCAAGAACTATGAGCGTCAGAAGTTGTTCCTTGAGGAGCTGATGGCACCAGTGGCCAGCATCTGGCTTTCTGAAGACATGCACAGGTAGAGGAGACCTTTGCCACTGACTGTCACTGCGCTCAAGCACCCATTCTATTTTCAGAGCTATGCCCAGTCGTGGGAATGTAAAGCACAGCCTAGGGAATATAGTCAGTAACGTTGTGCCAGTCGGGTACTAGACTTAATGGGGGGAACACTTTGTAATTAATATGAATGCCTAACCACTATGCTGTACACATGAAACTAATACAAACTAATATTGAATGTCAACTGTAATTGACGAGAGAGAGAGAAAGGAAGAAAGAGAGAGAGCGCGAGTGCCATGTCTGAAGTGGGAGTGTAAGGGTATCGAAATGTAATGACACAGTCAGTGATGTATGAAGGGCTCTAAAGGCAGCCTGTATTCTAATTGCTAAAAATATCCCCTTGCTAAACAGAGGTGTAAAAATGGATTGTATGGGCATCTTGCTTTGGCAGCACATGTACTAAAATTGGAATGATAGAGAAGATTAGCATGGCCCCTAAAAAAAAGAAAGAAAGAAAAGACCATCTTGCCCTGGCCGATGTAGCTTGGTTGGTTGGAGTGTCATCCCATGCACTGAAAGGGTCGTAGTTTGATTCTTGGTCAGGGCATCGAACCACAGTGACATTTGGTATGTCTGCATGGCATACAGCACATGTAGATAAATGAGAACATAGTAGGAGCCACATAGCCACACGGGTGCCCACATAGCATTTTCAAGCTTGTTTTTTTTTTGGTTTTTGGTATTTTTCTAATAAGAGTTTATTTAGAAAGTTACAGCGGTAGTAGTAGTGAACCAGCTGGGTTCAGGAAGCATGTTACAGAAGCAGGAGAAGGGCCCTTGGAGCTTAGAGAGAAGGCAAAGATAACAGCCTGGAGGGAAAGGGGGGCTGGGAAGGAAAGGGGCAGGCATGCGAGAGCACACGGGAAAGGAGAAGGGAAGGTGCCAGAGTGCTCCCAAGAGGCAAAGTGCCATCAAACTTGTATTCTTAAAAGTGTTGCTAATAGCATTTAGAAGTGAGAAGTTTAAACCTTCAAGTGAAAGCTGACAATGTGATTAAACTCCTCTCATTATGACAACTGTTCTTTGGGGCCACATAATCATAGCTCATTGGCTCTTGTGGAAGAAACTGTCCTTGCTTAAAGTTGTGGTATAGCTTGTCTCCCCTCCCATCCTTCAGAGTGCTGTCGGATGTTGATGCATTTATTGCCTATGTGGGTGCAGATCGGAAAAGCTGTGATCCTGGCCTGGAGGATTCCTGTGGCTTAAACCGTGCACGAGTGAGTAAACCTCCTCTGGGAATGGGAAGTTGAATTGGCCATGGGTAGGAGTAGGAGTGTTGTCGTTTATATTTTTCCTATTGGGTTAAAAATCTGGGACTATTCATTTTCCTAAGCTGCTGTTTTCTTTTGTCTTGAATTCTTTTCTTTTTTTTAATATGTTTTTATTGATTTTTTTTCTTTGTTAATCCTCACCCAAGGATATTTTTCTTTTCTTTAAAAAAAAAAATGTTTTTATTGATTTCAGAGAGGAAGAGACAGCGAGAGAAACATCATTGTAAGAGAGACACATTGATTGGTTGCCTTCTGCACATGCCTTGACCAGGGTCTAGGATTGAGCCTGCAACATGACCTTGACCAAAATCAAACCCACGACCCTTCAATGCTCTATCCACTGAGCCAAACCAGCCAGGACTGGTCTTGAATTCCTGAGTTAGTTTCCACAGCAGAGCAGATAGATCTTCCTTTCTATTTTTAGTCACATGTTATTTACTGGCAATATTTTGTTCATTGATTTTAGAGAGAGAGAAACAGAAACAGCCACCTGCTGCCTCCCACACGTATCTTGGCAGGGGACTGAACCCACAACCTGGGTGTGTGCCTGACCAGGAATCGAACCATGACCCTTCTGTGCATGGGATGATGCTTCAGTCAACCAAGCTAAACCGGCCAGAACAAGATGGTCTTTTCTTTTCTTTACTTTTCTTTTTTTTTGGGGGGGAGTGGGGTGGGGAGGAGACCTGCTTATCTCTGTATTGTTCCAATTTCAGTATATGTGCTGCTGAAGCGAGCACAAGATGGTCTTTTCTATGAAGTCATTATTTTGGCTTTAAGTATCTCTAAATAGCTCTGAAGATTGAAAGTATAATGAAGAAGTAGGTCAGCAGGGTGAATCCTTCCTGCCATTGCTCTCTAGCATGTAAAGTCCTAAATAAGCTAATTTGCAAACCTGAGATTTTTCAGTTCTTTGCTAATCAAATAAGCATTTTCCTTGGCTTCATTATGACAAAAGTTGTATTAATTAACCCGGCAATTAATAGATTGGTTGAGAGTACTGTGAGTGGGAATTAGGGCAAAAGCTGTCAAGGCTTAAGCTGAAGGGTGCTGGGTCAATTCAAAAACAAGATGAAATGTTTGTTGCCTGTCTAAATACTTTCTTTTGAAGCATGTCCAAACCACCACCTCATTGGGGTCCTGGGAGAGGATCTTGGCCTTTGGAAGGACATCCTCCGGGAAAGGGAGTTTCTAGAGCCTACCACTGCACTTGAGAAGAAGAGCCCTGTCCTGTTGCTCAGTGGTTAGAATGTCAGCCTGTGAACTGAAGCGTCGTGGGTTCGATTTCTCAGTCAAGTGCATGTAACTAGGTTGCAGGTTCTCTAGCCCTGGTAGAAGCGTGTGCGGGAGGCAACCAATGTGTGTCTCTCATGTCGATGTTTCTCTCTCTCTTTCTTCCTCCTCCCTCCCTTCCACTCTCTCTGGAAACCAATGGAAAAATATTCTCGGGTAAGGATTAAAAAAGAGAGGATGGTGGCAGGGGTCTTTTCCTTCTCTCAGGTCTCTGTATCACTTTTGCCATAACCTTGCAAATATCTAATAGCACTTTTGTCTTTTCCCCTTATATGTTTACCTTTCATTTTTGTTTTTCTGTAGATGAGCTTTTGTGTGTATAGCATTCTGGGTGTTGTGAAACGAACTTGCTGGCCCACTGACCTTGAAGAGGCCAAAGCTGGGGGGTTTGTAGTGGGTTATTCGCCCACTGGAAATCCAATCTTTCGTAACCCCTGCACAGAACAGATTCTGAAACTTCTTGACAATTTGCTTTCCCTTGTAAGGTGAGTCGGAATAGTGTTTTTACATTTTTTGTTGTTGTTTTTTTACCTTAAGAATCTTAGAAAGTTGAACCTGTTTTATTTCTTCAGGTCATGGTGGTAGTAAATGAAGCATTAGGACTTGTTTTTTTTTTGGGGGGGGGGGCTTTTTTTTTTTTTTTTAGTATGTATTTATGAGAGAGAGATAGAAACACTGATTTGTTGTTCCACCTGTTTACGCACTCATTTGTTGATGGTTGTCATGTGCCCTGACTGGGGATTGAACTTGCAACCTTGGTATATTGGGATGATGTCTTTAGCCAACTGAGCTACCCAGCCAGCATGGCCTTTATTTAAAAAAAATAACATTAGTTCTGCCCTGACCAGGCGGCTCAGTTGGTTAGAGAATCATCCTGTTCATCAAAAGGTTGCAGGTTCCATTCCCAGTCAGGGCACATATCTAGGTTGCAGATTTCGTCCCGATTGGGGTGCATACAGGAGGCAACTGATCCATGTTTCTCTTCCCTCCTTTCCTCCCCTTCTCTCTCTCCCTCTGTCTCTCTTTCTCTCTCTCCCTCTTTCTCTCTCTTTCTCAATAAAAACATATCCTCAGGTGAGGATAAAAGAAATAATAATAACATTAGCTCACTGGCATTGTCTTACATTCCACATGAACACATGGTGCTAATTTCAAAATGGCTTTTCTCAATTTGAACCTCCTCTGTATTCTTCTACTTTTTTATTCTTCATCCATACTTTTAAACTTGCTAAGTTTTATTTGCTCTAAGTTTTTTAGCTAATCTGAATTTATCAGCAATGACTCTTGATAGCAAATGGACCAAACACCCAGTGGCTGATCATGCCAAAGGAAGGCATGATACATGTTCCACCTCCCTTTCCTAGGTGTTTATTTTTCAAAATTAGGTCCTTAAACTGGCAGCATCAGCTTGTTTGAAATGCAGACTGGGGTCCCACCACAGACATATTAAATCAGAATCTGTATTATAACAAGATTCCAAGGTGGTTCTTGTACCCATTAAAGGTTCAGAATCTCCCTGGCCAGTGTGGCTCAGTTGGTTTGAGTGTTGTCCCATGCACCAAAAGGTCGCTGGTTTGATTCCCGGTCAGGGCACATGCCTGGGAAGTAATTGTGTAGGGATGTCTGTTGGTGATTCAGAGATGCTCTCCACAGAGAAAGATAGGCTTTGGGTAGAATTCAGATTTAATTAGCCAAAGCTAATTTCGATGCTTACATCTCAGTACTCCTGAGTTACAGGTTAGAGCTCTGTTACAATGCTTTTTGGCCTCTGATACAAGGTGTAAGAATGGAGTCCCAACTGAGCAAAACAAATTACTCATGTCTCAGGGATGCTCTGCTGGCAACTGACAGCTTAGACCATAAACTTAAGAATCAAAGCTTTAAAGAGCTTGTTGACCATGGTTTAAAGAGGAGTGTCTGAAAGAGTTGTCATTGTGGATGTGTCTATGGAAATAGGCAATATTCTGTTCTGATTTCAAAAGGAGAAAAGAGATTTCTGTAAAGAAGTATGGCTTGCATGTTGAGAGGGCAGTTAAATAGCCAAGGAAAGGTTTGCTTCTATACTGATGTTTTTAAAACCAAAAGGTTCTTCTTTAGCTTATAGAAATATGAAAGTAATGAAGTCAGAAGCAACAGACTCAAAGACCCAGCACCTTTTTAGGGCTGTGGCCAGAGGCCATGTGGTGAGAGCCCACACCTGGAACAGTTCTTTCTTGGTTGGATGAGGAGGCACAAGAACAGCATGCTTGTCACCTTGATGTTTTTCCTCAGAGTTCGGTGCTTTTGGGAAGTCAGTCAGAAGGTATTTTTGAAAATATTAACTGTAATTAAGGAGCATTTAGGTTCCTGGAGTAGTGTGCAACTGGAGCTGTTAGAGTTTTATCTTGTTTTTGTAGTAAATTTTATTTTGAAGTATAACATAAGGACAAAATATGTATATAATTAAAGGGCACAAATTAAGAGTGCACGTAGGTGGATTTTTACAAGATACACACATATAATCAGCAATCAGATCAAGAAACAACTTTATCCAACAACTTTTCAAATCATTACCTGCCTTTCAAGGGTACCCCTCATTCTGACCTTTAATGTTTTGCCTGATGGTTTTAGCTTTAATAAATGGAGTCAGAAGCATCCGCTTCTTGTTGGGCTTCTCTTGCTCAATATTATGTTTGTAGAGTGACCTGTGGTATTGTACATTCTCATTGCTTGTGTGGTATTCATTGTGTGAATATGTTGAAACTTATCCGGTTAGTGTTGATGGACTTTGGGGTAGTTTCTAGTGTTTTCTTATTACAAACAATGCTGCTATTAGCATTCTTGTAAATATCTTGTGGTGTACACATAATTTCTATTGAACCCTACACGTAAGAGTAGAATTCCTACTTTATAAGGTATGCATATTTTGTTTACATTAATAGAACCAGATAGTTTTCTCAAGTGGTATATTAATTAATTTACAATTTGCATTTCCACCCATTAGAGCTGGGTGTTTTGACTCCTTGTCAAATAGTATGATAATCAAAAAAATGTTGTGGGTTCAATTCTGGACAAAAGATCATACCTTAGTTGCAGGCTCAACCCCCGGCCCTGGTTGGGATGTGTGCAGAGGCAAACAGAGATGGGTCTCTCTCACATCAATGTTCCTCTCTCTCTCTCTCTCTCTCTCTCTCTCTCTCTCTCTCTCTCTCTCTCTCTCTCTCTCTCTCTCTCTCTCTCTCTCTCTCCATTCTCCTTCCTGCCATTCTCTTTAAAAATCAATGGAGCCGAAAAAAAAAAAAAAAAAAAAAAAAAAAAGTGAATAAATGGCAACATTCTTCAAATTGAATGTTGATGAAACAAAAAAAAAAAAAAAAAAAAATCAATGGAGCCGAAACCGGTTTGGTTCAGTGGTAGAGCGTCGGTCTGCAGACTGAAAGGTCCCAGGTTCGATTCCGGTCAAGGGCATGTACATTGGTTGCGGGCATATCCCCGGTGGGGAGTGTGCAAGAGGCAGCTGGCCGATGTTTCTCTCTCATCGACGTTTCTAGCTGTCTATCTCTCTCCCTTCCTCTTTGTAAAAAATCAATAAAATATATTTTTAAAAAATGAATTAGCTTTCATCCGTTTTATAAAAATCAATGGAAAAAAATATCCCCAGGTGAGGATTAATAAAACAAAAAACAACAACAACAAAAAAGGTGTTAGAGCTATGCTATCTACTATGTTAGTCACTGTTATAATTAGCTATTGAGCATTTAAAATGTGGCTAGTTTGATTTGAGATAAGCTGTATGATAAGTATAAAATACACACCAGATTTTGAAAACTTATTGCAAAAAAAAGTGTAAAATAGCTTGTTAATAATTTTTAATGTTAACATGTTGAAAATTTTTTTTGATGCATTGTTTTAAATAAAATGTTTCTTTTCCCTTTTTAAGTTTGGCTGGCTAGAAAATTTGTAGTGGTTTACATTGTATTTCTGTTGGACAATGTTGTTTCTAGTGGGTTGGATAAGGACAAATATGAGGAGCAGAACTCTAGTTCTCAAAAGGTACATTGTCATCATTATCTGTTTATAATAGCAGCTTTTCTGCTAATTTGAAGTTTGTTATGTTGTTTCTGTATATCTTTTGTATATTCTGCTAAAATCTTTATGTGTGTGAAGGCTTATTTAGCAGGGATTATACTCATAGCTGGTGATACTAAAAATATAGGGGTTGCCGAAACCAGTTTGGCTCAGTGGATAGAGCGTCGGCTTGTGGACTGAAGGGTCCCAGATTCGATTCCAGTCAAAGGCCCGTACCTTGATTGTGGGCACATCCCCAGTGGGGGGTGTGCAGGAGGCAGCTGATCAGTGTTTCTCTCTCATCGATGTTTCTGACTCTGTCCCTCTCCTCCTCTCTGTAAAAAATCAATAAAATATATATATTTTAAAAATACAGGGGCTGGCAAAAGTAGGTTTACAGTTTTAAGTACTCAAAAAAGTTTATTCTTTTTTTTTTTAAATATATTTTTATTGATTTCAGAGAAGGGAGAGGGAAAGATAGTAACATCAATGATGAGAATCATTGATTGGCTGCCTCCTGCACACCCCACACTGGAGATTGAGCCTACAACCCAAGCATGTGCCCTCAACTGGAATCAGCCTAGGATCCTTTAGTCCGCAGGCCAATGCTCTATCCACTGAGTGAAACCAGCTAGGGTTATTCTTGTATTATTATCTATTAATTACTAGAGACCCTGTGCATGAAAATTCATGCACTGGGGGAAAGGGGTCCCTCAGCCCAACCTGCCTCATCTCACAGTCCAGGAACCCTCAGGAGATGCCCTACTGATGGCTTGCTCTCTGCAGGGAGCAGGCCTAAGTCAGTCTGGCCTCCCTCTGCAGGAGGCAACCAGGCAATCAGGGGAAGGCGCCGTCCCCATTACTCCGCTGCTGCTGCCACTGCAGGCTGCCAAGGCTGCCAGTCCTCCTTGGCCCTCACAGCTGCTGCAGCTTTGCTAGAAGACGTCTGGTCTGTCTGGTCTAATTAGGATATTATCCTCTTACTAGAGGTCCCGGTGCACAAAATTGGTGCACAGGGCAGGGGGTGTGCCTCAGACTAACCTGCATCTTCTCCAATCTGGGACCCCTTGAGAGATGTCCAACTGCCTGTTTAGGCCTGATCCAGGTAGGATCAGGCCCAAACCAGCAGTCAGCTATCTCTCTCCCAATCCAGGACTGTTGGCTCCCAACTGCTCACCTGCCTGCCTTCCTGATTGCCCCTAACCACTTCTGCTTGCCAGCCTGATCACCCCCTAACCACTCCCTTGCCAGCCTGATTAATGCCTACCTGCTCTCCTGCCAGCCTGTTTGCCCCTAACTGCTCTTCCCTGCAGGCCTGGTCACCTCTAAATGCCTTCCCCTGCTGGCCTGATCACCCCAATTGCCTTCCCCTGCTGGCCTGATCCCCCTCAATTGCCCTCCCCTGCTGGCCATCTTGTGGTGGCCATCCTGTGTCCGCATGGGGACAGCCATCTTGTGTGTTGGAATGACAGTCAATATGCATATTATTCTTTTATTAGCTAGGATAGAGGACTGGTGCACGGGTGGGGGTCAGCTGGTTTGCCCTGAAGGGTGTCCCTGATCAGGGTGGGGTTCCTTTGTGGTATGGGGCGGCCTGGGTGAGGGGCCTGTAGTGGTTTGCAAGCTGGCCACGCCCCCTGGTGATCCAAGGGGAGCCCCTGGTATCTGGGGTTTATTTAGATTCTGTAATTGAAACTTTGTATCCTTAATTGGAGGCCAAGGCAGGCCAGGGCTGCAGAAACTTGGCTTCCTCCATCACCGGGGGCAACTCTCTCCAGCTCTGTGGCTGCTGCCATTTTTGTTGGGATTTATTTATCTTCTATAACTGAAACTTTGTAGCCTTAAGCAGAGGCCAAGGCAGGAGGAAATTTGGCTTCTTCCATTGCCAGGGAAACCAAGGCTTTCTGCTCTTTCTGGACCCACAGCCATCTTAGTTGGGTTAATTTGCATACTTGCTACTGATTGGCTGGTAATTGTGGCTTGTGGGTATAACAGAGGTATGGCCAACTTGCATATTATTCTTTTATTAGATAGGATTAGTATATATTGTATTATTTATTTGTATTGCAACTGTAAGCCTACTTTTGCCCACCCCTGTATTTCAGATAAGTACAGATTGTCCAGAAGTTAAAACTTTTATTACCTAATTGTCTTTTTATTTGCCAGCCAGTAACTAGTCCCTCTTAATGTGGAACCACAGAGCTCTAACTTGCATGTGTATCAGGAAAGGTGATAGTTCAGAAGCCTGAATATTACTAGGCTTTGTAGATGCCCCTGCCTAAGAACAACTACTGGAGTCAGGGATATCAGAGCAGTATGTACTCTGAGTCCTCCTCTGCTTGTGCTTTAGAGGTGCGGCTACTATGTTGCTATCACCCCTTGAGGAGGAGGAGAATACAAGGAATACAAGATTCTGTTGTAGCTCCAGGGACATTTGACATATAATACATTAACCCTTCTGTTTTCTAAATTTTCTCTTGGGATCACACCACACTTTAAACAATAAGAAACAGCCCATCAGCTTTCTGTCAAAGTTAAGACTGAATTTCTTCGGGAAACTGATATTATCAGAGATCATTTTATAGTATCAGGCATCTTCCAAATAAAACTTAATTCAGAAACTAAAATGATGGCTCATTGGAGCTTTTAAAAGTAAATAGTGCCCTGGCTGATTTTGGTTAGAGAGTCAATGATTAGAGAGCCTGCAAACCGAAGGGCATATACCTTGATTGCAGGTTTCATCTCCAACCCAGTTGGGACGTAAGCCAGAGGCAGCCAATTGATGTGTCGCATGTCAATTCCCCCTTCTACCCCCCTTTCTAAAAAAATCAATGAGAAAAATATACTCAGGTGAGAATTAAATAAATGGCACCTGTTACCTATTTTAGGCTTTACACAGCAGGTGGTAAAGGCTAAGGAAGAATTGTGGACAATCTCATAGAATACAAGCTGACTGAAGCCAACAGCCTGTTAAGGATTAGACACTATGACCAAGTGGAATTTATCCTGGGGATATAAGAGTGGTTCAACATAGAAAAATAAATAAATGTAATATACCATATTAATAGAACAAAAGAAAAAAACCATGTGGTCACCTTAATTGACACAGCAAAGGCATTTGACAAAATCTACCATCCTCTCATGATAAAAACTCTGCTGCCGAAATCGGTTTGCCTCAGTGGATAGAGCTTAGCTGCAGACTGAGAGGTCCCAGGTTCGATTCCGGTCAAGGGCGCATACTTTGGTTGTGGGCACATCCCCAGTGGGGGGTGGGGGGCAAGAGGCAGCTGATGGGTGTTTCTCTCTCATCGATGTTTCTAACTATCTCTCTTCCTCTCTATAAAAAAATAAATAAAAATAAAAAACAATAAAATATATTTTTTAAAAGAAATAATAAAATAAAAATCAAGTGAATTAAAAATCTGAGCAACAGAATAAACTGGTAAATATAATAGAATCAGGGGCATAGAATGGGAGAAGATTGATAATTCTCAGGGGGAAAGGGGTACGGGAAGAGTGGATGGGGGGGGGCAGTAAGGCCAGAGGGTGGAGTGGGAACCAGGTGGAAGAGAGCTATGTGTGTGTGTGGGGGGGGGGGAGGGGGGGGAGACAATTGTAATAATCTGAAAAATAAAAAATTTATTAAAACATGATAAAAATAAATAAATAAAATCATAAAATAAAAGCTTCACATTGGATTTGGAAATATTTCTTGGATATGATACCAAAGGCACAAGTAACAAAAAAATAAATTGGATTTCCTGGAAACTTAAAATTTTGTGCATTAAAAGACATTATTCCACAGAATAAAAAGGCAACCTACAGAATGGGAGAAATATTTGTGAATCACATTTCTAATGTAGGGTGTCTTAAAAGATATTTATAGAAGAAAGTTCTGCCCAGCCACTGTGGTTCAGTGATTGAGCATCGACCCATGAACCAGAAGGTCACAGTTTGATTCCCAGTCAGGGCACATGTCCAGATTGTGGGCTTGATCCCCTATGTGGGGTGTGCAGGAGGCAGCCAATCAATTCTCTCTCATTAATGATTCTGTCTCTCTTTCCCTTCCTCTCTGAAATCCATAAAAGTATATTTAAATAAGGAAAATGAAGAAAATTCTTTAATATGCTACAACATGGACAAACCTTAAGGACATTATGCTAAGTGAAATAAGCCAGTCATAAAAAGACAAATAATTGTTGAAAGACATTCCAAACCTAAAGAAAGGTTTAGAGTGTTTATTTGAGCCAAGGTTTTGGAGCTAGTCGGGAAAGCAAAATCTCAAAAGAATTGAGATATAATACTCCAAGGAGTAGCAGTTTTGCAGTTTATTTTATACATTAGAATCAAAGGAGAAGACAGGAAGGTTACATGAAATCCATTGGTGGCGAGTTAAGGGCGGAGAAAGTAAAGCAAGAGAAATCTCTAGGGTTGGATGCAAAGTAAAGTGGAGAGATACATGCTCCTTTCACATTGATAAGTGCAGGATACTTAACATTTAACATACATAGTTGACAGAGGTATGCAGATAAAAGATCATAATGAAGAATGTTGGGGTTGTCTGACCATACTGGGGTATTTATCCTTAGAGGTTTGTAGAAGAGATCATCTTGACATTTTATGTATATTATTCTTGGACAAAAACAATGGACAGAACTTGCTCCAGATAGAGATTAATCTATTGTATATATAGGCCTTAAGACATGACTTATTTCCATTATAATCTGTTCAGTTAGGAATTTTTACATGATCAAAACATCCTGTGGTTACTTTCAGTCACTGATCTTGTCAGGCTTGCCAAGTAGCTCCATTTTTGTTCACTTAGTATATGATTTCACTTGTATAAAGTACCTGACGTATCAAAATCATAAAAACAAAGTGTAATGGTGGTTGCCAGGAGCTCAGGGAAGGGAGGAATGGGGAGCTTTTGCTTAATATGTAGTTTGTTTTACAAGATGAAAATACTTATGGGGATGGATGGTGGTGATGATTGCACAGCAGTGTGAGTGTATTTATACCACTTAAACTGAATACTTAAAAATGGTAAATTTTATATGTATTTTACCACAAGAAAAAAAGTAAAGCCTAATGCAAATGTTAGTGTAAGCAAGTCAGGCCACAGACTGGGAGAAGATATTTGCAAACCATTTGCAAAGGACCAGTTTCCAATAATTCTACCTGTTTACATCCACCACAGAGAAACTGTCACATGTACACAGGGAGACCTCTTCAGAGAAGCTCATTGCTGGGCTCTCTATAAGCAAAAGACTGGAGACAATCTCATTAGCTTTTAGTAGGAAGACTGGCAATAACCCGGAAGTAATGTATTAACTGACATTCTAAAATGTAGTTTAAGTGAGTGTACAACAAGTGTACATAGTTAGATTTTAAAAACCATGTTGAGGATTGTGTTTTTTAATAAGCATGGTCTAAAAGGATCTGGGTGCATCTTGGTCAGGGTGCATCTTAAATATGTAACCTTGCTACTACCTGTTATATTTTGTAGCTTTCTGGATGTTTTGAGATGTTTTATAATTAACTTTTAAAAGAAAAAATAGGTAGTTATGCTCTTTAGCTGTAGATTGTTCAGTAGTGCCATTGCTGTGGACAAGAGGGGCTACTGTAGATAGCAGGTAGAGGGGTATCCATAGATGGCAGGTAGAAGGGCTACTGTAGATGGCAGGCAGATCAGGTCCACAGTCATTCCTGCTTAGTCATCCAAAACCAGTAACTGCTCAGGTAAGTCAACTTAGTGGGAAACAGGCACACATTTTGGGAACTGGACGTTCCTCCATAGCATCAGAGCATTGCAGGGTCCACTTCTTGGAATGGAGACAACATCTGGAAAAAGGGAGCGTATTCCCATTCACTGATCCCTCATGTGCATCCACATGCCTCTGACACTTCTCCCTGTGCATCCACATGCCTCTGACACTTCGTCCTGTGTCACTGGCATCAGAAGATGGAGTGCCACGGCACAGTCTGAAGTTTAAAAGAATTTTGCTTTCTAGCCTCAGACTGTGATATTGTCTAGCTATCGCAGGATTTGGTTTTCATCTTGATTGCTTTTAGGTTGTATACTATACAGCTGCACTTAATAGTTTCAAGTCTGTGCTCTTTTCCAGGAAAGCATTTAAATGTTTATACTGTGTTTTCTTCCCCCTGCCAGGAGTAGTGGTGACAGGGAGCTCTGTCTATGTGGGAGTGTAACTGAATTACGAGGTGAAACCCACTCTTGCCTTCTGCAACAGACTAGGAGAAGTTCACATAACATCCTTTTTTTTCTTTTAGAACTCACAATACTTTATATGCACCAGAAATGCTAGCCAAAATGGCAGAGCCTTTCACAAAGGCTCTGGATATGCTTGAAGTGGAAAAATCTGCTATTTTAGGTAAGACATCCAGCCTTTTGTTGTTGTTCACCTTATCTCTAATGGGCTCCTCTGGCAGCCTCAGTATGCCTTGTGTCTCCTGGTCATGGCACTACCTTGACCACCCGTTCAGAAACGCATGCATGGAGTTCCACAGGCACTTACGTCATTATTGGAGCATACAGAGAAAGTCTTCAGAAGCAGGTTCTCCCCCTAGCACCCCCAGCTCACATTAACCCCTGCAGGTAGTGATGTGTGTTAGAGTCTTCAGATTATAAACCATGGTGGTTTTTTTTTTTTTTTACCTGAAGTGTATTAGCATAATTTTATGCCTTTTATGTATAGGAAAAAAATATTAAAACAATTAAGCTCAAGTAGCTTTTATCAGTAATATGTTATCAAAAAATTTAAGGAATACTTTTTAAAGCCATGTTTTCTGGATTAGAACGTTGCTTTAACTCATTTTTCCCACTAGCAAATAACTATGCAGTCATAATTGTGACATGTGCTGTGAAGGAAAATGACTGAGAGGCTGTCATGGGGAGGAGTCAGAAGATTGCCCCCCAGTGGAGACTTGAAGGATGAGTAGGAGCTAACAGGTAGGGCACAAGAGGAGAAGCTGAGCATTCTGGGCAAACAGATACAAGATGCTAAGGCATGCAGGAATGGGAGGTGATCCTACAGAGATGTCCAGGAAATTTTGTTGACGCATATGGCTGGAACAAAAGGGAGCAAGGCCTTGATGGTTAGAACTGAGAGCTAGAAACATCCATAGTGTTTAAACCTGTGCCTATCGCTGAAGCTACATGCTGGCTCTGAAGCTTTGTCACTACCCCCACAGTATCACTTCGTTCCCAGCCATAACCTTGGGCCTGGCTATGGATAAGCAATCTAGTAAGCATGTTAATGAAAGGAAGGGTGTTAGATGGCCTTTCCAGAGCTTATGTCTGTCCTGGCCTACAGGGTCCTGGGCCATTTCCTTTGGCACCACTACACTTAAGGTCCATGTTGCATAAAACAGTAAAAGCTGCCAAGAAATGTTTTACCATTATAAAACGTAGTTGTTGCTTCACACACACCCTTGCATTTAGTTATTCACATTAAACCAGGAACTCCCGCTATAGAACTATATGACCAACCAAAACATAGTAGAATAGACAAACAGTTCCTTCTAGCAGCTTTCAACCACTAGCAAGACTTGAAATATAAAGTTACCTTTGATTAGATGTATAGCTCTTTTAAGGCAATTACTATACTGAGGTAAGTGGTTTTCATTTTGATCTGTTGTACATCTTCGGCTTTGCATAAAATTTTGCTTGAAAAAAAGGTTCCAAACTTAAAAAGGGAGGCCCCACTTCCTTATAGAGAGAGTATTTTGAGCTGTCATTGTATGTTTTGGTACAAATCCCATTTGGAGAAACCCAAGCAAAAGATGGGGTATCCAGGTCTAGTCTCGAGCCCTGGGTACTTCAATAGCTTTCATCTTTTCCGACCAAGACAGGAGAGCTCTTGCACTTCCAGCTGGTAGAAGACTTGGCCAGCTGCTTGGCATTTATAACACTCCTCGTCCCCCACCCCCAAACCACATCTGCCTGTGATCGCATGTTGGTAAGTTGAGACTCGGCAGTGGAGCAGCCTGTACCTGACCTGCGTTTCTCTGTAGGATTACCTCAGCCTCTCTTGGAACTGAATGACTCTCCTGTTTACAAAACGGCCTTGGAAAGAATGCAGCGTTTCTTCTCCACCCTCTATGAGAACTGGTAATGAACCAATGCAGCCTCCCCATTCTCTTCCTAGATACATTATATAGGAATGGCTATGGGTTGGACTTTTGATCTAGAATTAGAGTCACGTAAGATGAGGCAAAATTTTGACAAGGAACTAACTCGTGTCAAGTCAAAATGAACAGTTTTCTTACTTGCTTTTTTATAGTTGTCATATGTGCCTCAGTCCTAGCTGTGACTCGATCGTTTATGTCCACCATGTCTGTTTCTGATACTTAAAATGAGACCAAAGCAGAAGATATAGTGGTAGGGATGTATTTTTTCAGACCCCTCATGACCCAAAGCCTGCTTTTTATGGGATACTGGGAGTAGCTGGCCAGATTTTGCTTTCAGGTCCTAGTTGTGGGACAGGGAGGTAAGACTGCCATAGCCTCAGCCTTGGCCTCACTAACCCAGAGCTCTAATCAGCCAAGCTAACAAGAGATTTTCCATCGTAAATCTGTATTACTTAGGAAATAATGAAGGCTACTGTTGATCTTGGGTACCAAAGGATACCAACAACCGACTTTTAAAAATACTGAATCTGCTATCAAGAAGTTTCCTTAAGAGTGGAAGAAAAGGGGTGTTATTTTCACTTTTGATAAAAGATTAAGTCCACATCTTCAAAATATACTAATTACATTAAATTTCTCTTAAAGAGTAAATATAATTGTTTTTCTAGCTGAAAAGTCTTATTGTAGACTAGAAGTCTCTATGCCAAAAATCCATGGCACAGAGATTTCCCAGGGCAATTGGGGCTGGCAGTAACAGATGTTGAATGTGTCATTGCCTATTATTTCCCTTACAGTTTCCATATCCTGGGGAAGGCAGGCCCTTCCATGCAGCAGGACTTTTACACCGTGGAGCACCTGGCTGCCCAGCTTCTCAGCTCAGCCTTTGTCAATTTGAACAATATTCCTGACTACCGACTCAGACCCATGCTTCATATCCTTTCAAAGTCCCTAGCTATCCCAGAAGATTGAATGCAGAAACAGTACATAGGCACCAGAGGAGGCAGAGCTGAGCTGCATGGAATAGATGGGATCATATATCTAAGTTTATAATAACCATGTTAAAAGGACAGGAAGATTGTCCAGCTGGGTGGCTCGGTTGAGCATCATCCCGTTCACCAAAAAGTTGCAGGTTCGATTCCCACTTGGCACATACCTAGGTTTCAGATTTGATCCCTGGTCAGGGCACATATGGGAGGCAACCAATCAATGTTTCTCTCTCCCTTCCTCCCTTCCTGTCACTCCCTCTCCTTCTCCCTTCCTCTTTCTCTAAAATCAATAAAAATATCCTTCAGTGCCCTAGCCAGTTTGGCTCAATGGTAGAGCATCAGCATGTAAACCAAAGGGTACTAGGTTTAATTCTGGTCAAGGGCATGTACTTTGTTGCTGGCTCCTCCCCACCCGGGCCCTGGTCAGGGTGCATGCAGAAGGCAACCATTGATGTGTTTCTCTCATATCGATGTTTCTATTTTTCCCTCTCCCATTCTCTCTAAAAATCAATGGGAAAATATCATTGGTTGAGGATTAACAACAACAACAACAAAAAATAATAATAATAATAATAATAATAATAATACACATACACGCACACACACTAGTGGCCTGGTGCACAGATTAGTGCACATTGAAAGGAAATTAATTAGAAAAAATAGTTTAATATCACCATTTGCCCTTTCTCTATAATAGAAGTGTCAACCAAATTCACGATCGACATAACAGATCAAAATACATTCGTGCTGAAGCTGGTTTGGCTCAGTAGTAGAGCGTCGGTCTGTGTACTGAAAGGTCCCAGGTTCGATTCTGGTCAAGGGCATGTACATTGGTTGCGGGCACATCCCCGGTAGGGGGTGTGCAAGAGGCAGCTGGTCGATGTTTCTCTCTTATCGACATTTCTAGCTCTCTATCTCTCTCCTTTCCTCTCTGTAAAAAATCAATAAAATATATAAAAAACAACAATACAAAACAAAAAAAATACACACATGTGATTGGCACCAGCAAGAGCTTTATATGTATTGCACATGCCCAAGTCAACGTTTATTTTTAAATTACCAGTGCGCATCATATGTAAGAGTCAGTCGGTCAGACATATGGTCAGTCACTTAGTCTTTTATATATATAGATATGTTTTTCTTGAGGATTGAAGAAAAAAAATAAGGACAAGAAGATTGAAATAAATAATGGGAAGGCAGTCCAGGGGGCCTTGAAAGCTCGTTGCTGGGCACAAATCCTTACCATGCCACTTCCCCCCCCCCCCCCCCCCCCGAGGAAAGGGGGAAAGGGGGAGAGAAACAGAAACATCAGTAATTAGAAAGAATCATCAATAGACTGCCTCCTGCATGCCCTATACAGGGGATCGAGCCAGCAACCTGGGCATGTGCCCTTGGCCGGAATCAAACCCACGACCCTTCAGTCTGCAGGCTGACCCTCTATCCACTGAGCCAAACCAGCTAGGGCTACCATCCCACTCGTTTGGTCATTTCATCATTTTTGTATATTTTGTCAGGTGCTTCCTCTTTGAAATTGCACTCTCATACTTCATTGTCATTTGGATTCTTCCTTGTTCAGTATCTTTTCCCCCCGCATTATAAGGAGAATAATGAAGGAGAGTTTATTACAAAAATGTCCCTCCTGTTTTCTGCCCTGCTTTCAGACAACCCAGTGCCTATAACATGCAGCCTGGTAGAAAGGATAGTGAAACTGAACATATAATGGAAATGAGTATCCATGCAGTGTAGGATTTTCAGAAAAGGGCTTGAAGATGAGCACAGGATGTTCTTGGCATCTTGCAAGTCCTTTGTCGGTTGACTCTGCCCAAGGATTCTTCCTGTTGCCTGACACTCAAGGGGAGCTCTAGAATGAGAAGGGCATGTGCTCATGTACTAAAACTTCTTAACCCGCTGTGGCATGGGTCTTTGTGAAGCCTCTGGTGCTCTTCTGTCCCCCAGAGCACTATGAAGCCCTGGTGTCTCCCATCCTCGGACCTCTTTTCACCTACCTCCACATGGTAAGAGATGGGTCAGGAACGGTGCGTGGCCTCTCATGAGTCTTGCAAGTCAGGAGCTTCTGAAAGTGTTGGTTCCTAGCTTTGCCAGGATGTCTGTGCAACCAGCTCGTCTTTGCTACAGTGGATTAAGCAGCCCCCCAAGAACTAAACTGGTTTAATTGACACAAAGCACCTACAAAGTTGGCTTCAGCTCCTAACTTCCTGTTACCTGAGGAAAGGTGATCAAAGGAGTGCCTCCCCTGGTTCTGTTTCTCTGACTCTGGAATTAAGCAAGGGAACCAGCTGGGTGGAGAACAGATGTTCAGAGTGACTCAGGAGTTCTAAATTATTGATCCTTTCCAAGCAAATATGTGTAATTAGCTGCCCTTGTTAGGGGTGTGAGAGGTTATAGAAACCATACCTGGTTTTTTAGCCTGTGGGCCTCCTAAGGTTCTGTCTTTGATGCCTGCAATCATCCTTGGCTAATTTTAATCATGAAGTAGACCTTAGCTATTATCTGTTCCCACCTTCTACACAGTGCTAGCACTTCCTTTTTGTTTTCCCAGAGGCTTTCCCAAAAATGGCAAGTCATCAACCAGAGGAGCCTGCTGTGGTGAGGAGCATCTCTTCTCCTTGGTGGATGAGCTGGAACCACGCTGGGGAGGGGGAAGATCAGAGGGGAGAGGCGGTTTCCGCTGTCTCTGGGTTAGAACAGCAGTGGGTGATAGTCATTCTCAGCCTAGAGGAATGATGGTGGCTTGCCCGTGACCTTTAGGCAGACTCAGATAAGATTCAGACTGCATAGGGGGTACCTTCACCGTCTTAGGAGAATGCTGAGCCATCTTAGCCACTTAGGATTTTGATCCAGTACTCTGCCAACTGGATGTAGTCACAAGTCATGGTCCTCAGTGGATCATTGCTGTCCATTCCCAACATTTGCATGGAATGTAGACCAGAAGCACGCCAGTAGAAGGAACAGGGCACAGTTTAGTTAGGATCACTGCTTTTCTTGTTCTTCCCTTTTTTGCACTTCATGGAATCTTGGCCCTCTGGTGTTCTGTAGTGGAGAAGATGAGACTGCAGAGGAAAACCCAGAGTCTCAAGAGATGCTAGAGGAGCAACTGGTGAGGATGTTAACCCGAGAAGTCATGGACCTAATCAGTAAGTGGCATCTGGGAACCAGGGGAAGTAGAGAATTTTTCTGGAGAAAGAACTGGTCACCCACCCAACCCCATTAAGGCATGTTTACAGCTATACTAACAGGTTGATGAGAAATAATTAAGTAGAAACAAGGTAGTCCTTAAATCGATCTCAGGACATTTTATGAAGGGCAAACTGAATTATATTTGTTCATACTAAGGCCAAAATATCAGAAAATGGTCTAAAATAGCAAGAGAAATTCAGATTAATGGTAGGAATAACTTCTAGCTTTGTCCGAATAAGGGAAAATTTTTAATCCTTGGAAACAAAGGTGGTTAATTTTTATTTTTTTTGGTCATTTCGTTTGCAATACAACGTAGACCAAAGATGTATCAGGTATCCTTTCCTAGTCACTTAGTCTCAGAGAATCTGTAATTTCTCTCGTTACTCTAACTTGAAGAGGGATCAGAAGTCTGGTCAAATGCCTTCATTTCTGTTGGTGAAGCTGATGTTCCTGGACTGTGCCCCACCTCCTCCCCTCCTCATCTGCCCAGAGACAGTTAGGGATCTATTGGCCTGAGATGGCTGTTGTCTGGTGTTAACAAGCCAGTAACCCTGCTTTCTTGCTTTAGCGGTATGCTGTGTTTCCAAAAAAGGTGCTGACCACAGTACTGCTCCCCCCGCAGATGGAGATGGTGAGTCTGTTGCATGGCCCTTAGAGAGGACTACTAGGCTCCTAAATATTGTCCCTTCTGTAGCCTTGTCAGTTCTGGAAGAAACTCCCCCAACAGTCTGGTGTGGATGAGATATTGTACATCTAGATTTCATCTCTGCTGGCCTCCTTGCTGTATATCTCCAAACTAGATTCCATCTCAGAGCCCTTGCACTGACTGTTTCCTCCAGAATGATTTTTCCTCCCAACTATATGCATTGCCTGTTCCCTTGTTTCATTTGGGTCTCTGCTCAGATGTTACCTCCAAAGATAGCAACTCCCACCATGCTATATTCTCTGCTCTATTTTTCCGTTTTGCTGTTAATCCTCACCCAAGGATATTTTTCTATTCATATTTATTTAAAATAAATATTTTATTGATTTTAGAGAGAGGAAGGGAGGAGAAAGGGATAAAGAAATAGAAACATCAATGAGAGAGAAACATCGATCGGCTGCCTCTTGCACGCCCCCCACGGGGGATCAAGTTGGCAACCCAGGCATGTGCCCTGATTGGGAATTAAACCGTAGCCTGGTTCATAGGTCCACGCTTAACCCGTGAGCCACACTGGCCAGGCTTCCTTGATTTTTAGAGAGAATGGAAGGGGAGGGGTGAGACAGAAACATTGATGTGAGAGACACAATCAATTGGTTTCCTTCCACACGTGCCCGAAGAGGGCCTGGAATCGATCCTGCAACCAAGGTACATGCCCTTGACAGGAATTGAACTCGGGATCCTTCAGCCCTCGGGCCAATGCTCTATCCACTTAGCCAAACCAACTAGGACATCCTCTGCTCTATTTTTCTCCAGGGCACTTATCACTACCTGATGTTACTTTGTTTTGTTTTGTTTTGTTTTATGATGTCATGTATTATTTATGAATTCATTTATTATTTGTGTGTCTCATTAGAATGTCAGCTCCCATAAGGGAAGGGAGTTTGTGCTATCCTGTGATATCTCCAGTAACTAAATTAGTGTCCACTACAATAGATCTTCATATATTCGTTCAGTGACAAAAGTTCCTCACCCGTGGCAGCTTTTTAGTAACAGTCCAGAAAATCTCATTTCCCACTGTTTCCCAAATGTACAGCTAGATGCATCTCTAGATCTGCCAGGGGCAGTGGCTTCTATACCCTTTCATGAGGCTTGGGGGCCATCCAGTGCTACTCAACCACCAGGCAGTTCAGATACTGAACTCTCCTGTGTTCTGTGAGCTTCCGTCAGGACAGGAGAGTCTGCTCTGTTCTGAAAGGCTGGAGTTAACATTCTGCTCTCTGCTTACAGATGAAGAGATGATGGCCACAGAGGTAACCCCCTCGGCCATGGCAGAGCTTACAGACCTGGGCAAATGCCTAATGAAGCACGAGGTGGGTGGAGGGCAAGGTGATGTTTCTCCTTTTCAAGCTGTGGAGCCAGCTTCCACTATTCTCACTCTGTGATGCCTTCAGAAAAGTTTTGAGGGTAATACTCCTTTATATGAGTTAAGTTCTAGTTCCTAAAGTTCGAGAAAAGAGTGGGAAGAGCTGAAGGCCATGTCTCCCTTATTGATATGGGCAAAGGCTCTCAGAAAAACTCAGCAGCAGGCCGGAGCTCTGTCTCCTTCCTATACATAGGTTTCCTCTTCGGTATTGGTTGTTTTTTCTTTTTGACTGCCTAATTTACATAGAGAGGAAATAAGCTAATTTTTCTTATCATTTTCCTGCCTACCTGGTTTAAAACTCCAGCTCCTGATATTCAGAGAAAGTTGTGCTTACTTTCCCATTGTAATCTTTCATCCTTTCCATTAGGATGTTTGTACGGCGCTATTAATTACAGCCTTCAACTCCCTGGCCTGGAGGGATACTCTGTCCTGCCAGAGGACGACTACACAGCTGTGCTGGCCCCTTCTCAAACAAGTATGGTTATTTGCCCCTTCTTGAAAGGTTTGGGTCATAAGGATTGACTGACTCATTTGGAAGAATTGGGGTGCTGGGGCCGTCAGAGTCCCACTTTGTTCCTCAATAGAGCTGTCTCCCCAGGTGCTGACAGGGACACTGCTCGCAGATGCTGTGACATGGCTTTTCAGCAGTGTGCTGAAGGGCTTGCAGACGCACGGGCAGCATGAAGGCTGCATGGCTTCACTGGTGCACCTGGCTTTTCAGATCTACGAGGCGCTGGTGAGTTGGGCAGGACAGCCGGCTTCATCCTTCACAGCCGGGCCATACTCTAAACGTAGGCAGCTGCCTAGTTGCTAGTGCTGCATGGGGAAAGTGGCAGAGCCCAAACCTACTCCATTTAGTGGGTTTATCCTTACTTCTCAGCGTCCCAGGTACCTGGAGATAAGAGGTGTTATGGAGCAGATCCCTGACATACAGAAAGACTCTCTGGACCAGTTTGACTGCAAGCTTTTGAACCCGTCTCTGCAGAAAGTTGCTGACAAGCGCAGGAAGGACCAATTCAAACGCCTCATTGCTGGTTGTATTGGGGTAGGTCATGCACCTTCCTTTGTGCTCCCAACCACCTTGCGGTCTTAGACGATGTGTTCAGAAACCAGCTGTATTCATTGACCATTCTGTTGAGATTACCTTTAAAACAACCCACTGTCAGGGTCTAGCATTAGTTCTTTCTCATTTGTTTTCCACAGAAACCCTTGGGAGAGCAGTTCCGAAAAGAAGTTCACATTAAGAATCTTCCATCACTTTTCAAAAAAACAAAGCCAGTGTTGGAAACGGAGGTGCTAGACAAAGAGGAAGGCGGCCTGGCCACCATCTTTGAACCGTGAATCAAGCTTTTGGGCATCCTTCCTTGGCCTTTATTGTCATCTCTTCTTCTCCTTTGTAGCTAATCTCTAGGCCCCTCTCCACTGCCACCTCACCACCATGGTCAGCCTGGAGAGACCCAGGTCTGGAGCTGGAGAGTGGCCCTGTGCAGGGCTAGAAGTAATTATACTGAAGTCCAAAAAGGGAGTTAGGGCTTACACCACGCCGTCTAGACCTCCCAGGTATCTCCCATTCTACTTGGAGTTTTGGCTTTTCCAAGAGAGAAAAGCTAGAGCAGAGCAGCCCTTCTCCCAAGCTCTCCCGCCCCCATGCAGCCATACACGTGTGCAGAGTGGAAACTAGGGGTGCTATACCCAACACTGCAACTAGCCAACCTTGTGGCAAGGGCTTAGCCCTGAACGACTCGTCCAGGTTCTCCTGGACCACAAGTCCCACCGAGCCCCCAAGCTGCTGGGCCTAAAGACTTCCCCTCCCCAAGGGGCATGTGTGGGTCAGGTGCTGAGTGCTGAATTTGGCCAGTTCCCTCACTGTCTGAGCAAGAATCTGGTCAGCTGATGGGATCCATGGTATAGGCTAGTGCTAAGCCCTGGATGCGTCCCAAGTGTATCAAGTGTACCTTCAGGGACCGGGGCTGGGTCAGCATCAGTAGTGCTAACATTCCCCTTAGAGCTCACACATGCCCTTCCTTGAATGACCTTTCAGTGTGGTTTCCCCAGCACCAGGGTCTACTCAGGCACAAGAGCCCCAGTACCCAGTGTCACGTGATGCCATTGGCATCTAAGGATAATCCAGACCAACTAGGCTACATCTGTGACAAGCAGCTAGCAAAGCCACTGGTCTTTCGTAGGACTAGCTGAGTCCAGGTGCCTTCAAAAATCTCATGGCCTTTCAGGTCCCTGGCCACTTCTCTCATTGGGCCGTTTCCTAAAGGAAATATGCCTTCCTAATGTGAGTCTCCAGTCCATCCTAGAGATCATAGGATGGCCCTCTAAGCATAGGATACATAGATACAGGACCCTAGTCTTGAGGTCATTGCTGGCCATAGACAAGCATACTCCATACAGAAACTATATAGTGTGTGTCCTGCAAAAAGACAGAGGGCTGTCATCAATCCACTGATGAGGGTTTCAGTGAGGACTGAGTGGAGCAGTGTGGGCTAAAGCTCCAGCTTTTAGCTGGTGCTGGTCCTCAAGCAGGAGAGGTTCAGGAAGAGAAAAGCTGGGGAAACAGGACTTAGTGTCTGGTATAGCTGTTTCTATGGCACATTCTTGTCCCACATCCCAGGGGTGGTACTCTGGGCTTGTCAACTGTGAAGGCCATCTCAAAGCATGGTTCCCTCCAAACTTGTTAGCTGTCTATTCCTCTCTGTCGTCGGGGCTATGGAGGGCATAGTTGTATTTATTGTGTTGTACTATTTTTAACATCTTGTGACTTCATGCTAGAAGTTTTCTATTGTTTATAGAACCTTTTTGTAGAAACATAACTCTAAAGCACATCTGCATGTCAGTAAAAATCTCGATTTCATACAGAAAGCCCCATCTGTCTGTTTCAACCTAGTGACATACTTCAGGGTCACTGTTTCGTAAGAGTGAACAGGAAGAACTGATGGACATGCTCTGTCAGGCTAGAAAGAGATTTCTACCCCTGACAAATGCAGACCAGGCAGCCCATACCGCTCCCAGTGCTGTCATTAGTGGCTCTGGACCTGTCTCTGATAGTCCAAAGGGAATTGATATTCGTCCTGTGTTTATATATATTTGTATTGCTTTCAGAAAGGGAGAGGAAAAAAGAAACATCAATGAGAATCATTGATTAGCTGCTTCCTGCATGCCCCCTACTGGGGATCGAGCCAGTGACCTCGTAGTTCCTGAAAACACCTCAGTTTGGTGTTTCTCATGTAGGCCTTGTTGGCCCTAACCTGCAATGACATCTAAGGCCAGTATGCTGTTAACGCCAAAACTATTTGAACTGAGGCCCCATATTTGTGAACCAAACCTGGAGAAGTGGTCTCAGGCAAAACACGTTTTGTTTGAATGTGAATTTATTTACATGGAGGCCTTATAAAGGCATAAAAGTTGCATTTTGTGACACATTTAACAAAATGTATTTACTAAAATGAAGCTGGAATTGTCCCAGTCACATTAGGCTCTCCACAGCAGTCCTGTGGCAGCAGGTCAGAACCCAAAACTGTCAGCGTGCCTCAGGAGCGTCCAAGCCCAGTCATGCCAGTAAGTCTGCAAGCCTCAGTCCATCTGAACTGCATCTAGTTCATCCAAGAACCGCCGGCACTTGCCCATCAGTACCTTGATGGCTTCGCTCACCAGCACATCAGGTGGTAATACCCCGGTTGACTCAACAGAGACTGGGAACCAAAGAGACAGGTTAGCCTAGACTGCTTGCTATATTTTACATCTGAACTCTGCAAGGAAACTGTAACACCAAAGAGCTGTCCTCCATCACTCCCTGCAAACTGGATACTCACAGATATAATGGTCCCGAACCCGAGCAAGCCGCACAACCTTCTTTAGCTTCTCATTCCGGAAGACTTCCCTGCTGAAGGTATCTAGCCGGGGATTGGCAACTCTGGCCACTTTTTTACCTAATGAAAACAAACCATGTTATCAACACGTGAGCCCAGAGCTTTCATTCTCTCTGCTACTTTCGAAGAAAATATACCTTAAGCCCTGACCTGAACAGCAGCCCAAAAACCATATACCTTGGACTTCATGCACCTCGATCACACCAGGTGAGAAGCACCGGCTCAGCTCTTCAGCTGCCTCCCCTTCCACGGGCTCCAACAGTGTGATGTCCGGCAGGAGCCTGTAACTGGCTGTTGCCACAGGTGAAAACTTGGCATGATCTTTACCTGGAAGGAAATCAGAGCCTGAGGGAAAACCCTTCTTGACATTCCCAAAGCCTGTTGGTGACATCTTAGCCAAGTCCCTTAGCCACGCCTCACCCCACTGTATTCAAACTACCTTCCTCCCAGGGCAGCTCATGGGGTTCTCACCAATGCCCTTGACACAGTGCATGAGCAGGTCAATCTCCTGGCCAGGCCGCAGCTGAGCGATGAGGATGTCGTCATGCACTGGTCGGATGGTGCCCTCCGGGAAGAGGTCAGCCTGGTTCCCCAGGGGAACCCATGTCATGTGCCTGGTGTACACTAGAAGAAGAAGCACATCAAAACACTCGAGTTCCTAAACTTGGCACCCAACAGGTAGGCCCTCTCTGTCACACCACCAATCCTCACCTTTGTGGTTCACATAGAGTTCATTGGGGTCAGAGGAATCTTTTGCAGCATGGGGGTTCCGAGTACACCTGACGTGAAGCCGAAACTGCAGTGTGTCTATTTCTGTGCCTTCTTCGTCTCCTGCATGAAGAGGGGGGTGGCAGCTCTCAAAGGACTAGTGCACATTTGAGTGCCAGGCACCATACTGAGTGCGTTATATTTCTCATTTAATACTCAACATATTCATTAAAATCAAGGCAAGTGTTCTCACAGATAACTCTAATGTACCAAAGGTTTAGTATAGTCAATCCAGGATTTGAACACAGGCAGTCTGATTTCAGAATCTACTCAGCAGAAAAATAGTTGCTCCCCTTCTCCCACAATTTCATTTTCTCAAGCCCTCACCTTGGTTCCGATATTCAAAAAGACGGGGATCCGCATGAATGGGAATGAGCCCCAAGCGATGAGCGAGGATCTCATCCTGGACAATGGATGTGTTGTTGTACACCAGGACCTTTTCCACAGCCATGGTTGGCACCTGCCCAACAAAACAGCATCACCTATCAAGACATAAATTCCCTGACAGCCGACATAGGTAGGGAAAGGCCTCTTCCTGTAAAAATGCTTGATGAAAAATTTATACATGAGCAGGAGCAGGAGAAATGCTCAGCAGAATTTCAGGAAAACTAAGCCTTAAGACAATTCTTCAAGCGAGATAATAGCAAGATCTCCCCACACACCGTGTCACCCCTGCCACCAGGCCCACCAAATACCTCAGCTAATAGAATACGCCGAAAAGCATTGGCAATGGCTGCATCAATTCCCACCATGTCAAACTCCAGTTCATTTTCATCCATGTGTACCACATCCACACGGAAATTCTAAAAACAAACACACACACACAAAAAAAACACTAAATGAATCTTGCTCTCCGTATAGTCAATACCTTCCCCTTAAAGTATTAACATTCTTTTAGATGTTCCTTTCTCCCCCAATTAAAAAAAAAAAAAATTATTGATTTCAGAGGAAGGGAGAGGGAGAGAGAAATATCAATGAGCATCATTGGACTGCCTCCTGCATACCCCCCACTGGGGATTGAGCCCACAACCCAGGCATATGCCCTTGACCGGAACTGAACCCAGGACCTTTCAGTCCAAAGGCCAATGCTCTTTCCACTGAATCATACTGGCTAGAGCTCTCCCCTAATTCTTTGTTTTTTGTTTTTTTAATCTATTGGGGTAACATGGGTTAGTAAGATCATATAGGTTTCAAGTGTACACTCTTGGATACATGATCTGCATATTGCATTGTGAACCCACCAACCAAGTCATCATCTTCTATCACCATATATTTGTCCCCCTTTACCTTTTACTAACCCCATACACATACACCCCTTCCCTCTGGTAGCCACCATATTATCATCAGTACCTATGAGTTTTATTCTTCTTGTTTGTTCATTTGCTACTTTCAGTCAGGAGAGAAACATCAATGATGAGAAGACATCACTGTTCGGCTACTTCTTGCACGCCCCCTATGGGGGATACAGTCCACAACCCTGGCATGTGCCCTGACCAGGAATTGAACCATAACCTCCTGGTTCACAGGCCAATGCTCAACCACTGAGCCATACCAGGTGGGCTGTACCACCTCTTCTTTTTTCTTTAATTTTTTTTTCTACCTCTTCTTTATCCAATCATCTATCAAAGGACACCAGTTGTTTCTGTGTGTGTCTGCACTATGGCTTTCAGCCAGACCATTCAAAGAGACCTTTCTAGAAAACATGCTTCCATACTGCTTAGTCCAGTTGACACTAAAGCCATATCTTGTTAGCCTTTTCTGGTGTATAATATTTAGCATTGATAGGTCCCTTCTTTTACAAACTAGTGCCTTGATTTCTGAGCACCAATCTTTTGGTTCTCTTCCTTCTCTGATGAATCCTAAATTCACTCACTACCTTCCACCTACACTGTAAACATTACTCCCCAAGTTTTCCCTCCAAAGTGACCTCAATCACACTTAGTCTTAGCAATTATCTGTACTGACAACTCCCAAAATATCTCATTTCTCATCTCATTCAAACATATATTCTAGCCTGATATCTGCTTGCAGGAAAGTGAATGCATCATCAATCCCCAAATCTATTATCAATGAATGATGTCCCCATTCATCAGAGTTCCCCAAACTAGGTCATTTACACTCCCCCCTTACACCCATATCAATGCAATCACCAAACATACTTTTATATCCTCTTTGCTCTATCACCTACAGTCCCTAAGACACATTTCAATCTTGCCCACCACTCATGCCCATCCATTTTATACTTTTATAAAAATATGTTTTTACTGATTTTTAGAGAGGAAGGGAGAAGGATAGAAACATCCGTGAGAGACACATCAATAGGCTGTCACCTGCACGTCCCCTACAGGGGATGAGGCTGCAACCTAGGCATGTGCCCTGACCTGGAATAGAACTGTGACCTCTTTGTTCATGGGTCAACGCTCAACCACTGAGCAACAGCCACCAGGCCATCCACTATATGTTCTAGCAATAATGAACTGCGTGGGCATTCCCACAGCACCGCTCACACAGCCCTTGTAATTTAGCTTCTCTTCTTAGTTTCTCCTCATCCTAGGCTCAATGTAGATGCCATCCCTTTAACGAAATCTTTCATTCCTCCCTCTTCCCTCCCATTCTAGATTAAGTGCTTCTGCGGGATGGGATACCTCCACCCCACTCCATCCCCCTCCGTCCTTACTGCTATCAGCCGGCGCTTTCCACGTTACACTGAAACCGTTCGTTTATGCGCGCTCTTCTCCAACCAGACTGAACATCTTGTTCGCAGAACTGGGCGGAAACCACGTGTACACGGAGCACATTGCTCAGTAAACCTTTTAAGAACCGAGTCAATCCCCAGGGACAGCTTCTGAGCACAGGCTGCCCAAACCACTAGGCTCGATCCTCATACTCTCTCCGACAAGTCCAGCTCCACCCACCTTCTCAAAGCGGTCCTGGTCCCAGGCATCATCATAGCCCCAATAGTTCCCGGGAAAGTCGGTGGTATGAACCTAAAGGAAAGAGAGACGAGTCTGACCGAGAAGGGGCAGCGAGGCTAAGCCCGTCCCCACCCCCGACCCCCTCTCATTTTTCTCCTCCCGACCTCAAGGCCACAAAGCTTACATTGCGAACTCCGAACTCCCCTAGAACCACGCGGCTCCGCATCTCTTCCACCGCCTGCGCCGCCGCCATCTTCGAGCCCCTCTGCACACGTGACTGAGGTTGCCGCCGGCGCGTACGTTCTACTCGCCCTCCTCTGTCTCCGAGGCAACGCGTCCCCGCCTGGAAGATTAAATATCGCGAGACTCCGCCCTATTCCACGTCCCCAGCTTCCGGAAGTCAGTTTGAGCCAAACATCCGGGTTTCTTTTTTTTTCCTCTCTCTCTCTTTTGAGGTCCGGTTGATTCCACCTCTCGCCCGTGAACCTTTCCTCCTCTCGGGCCCACGTCTCTCCCCCTCGCCCTCCGCGCGGGGAGTAGCGCGGGATTCAGCGACGGGAGCCCCCGAGGGACATGGCAACTACGGCGACGCCGGCCGGCGGCTCCCGAAATGGGACTGGCCCGGAATGGGGAGGGTTCGAAGAAAACATCCAGGTAATGGCCTCCAGGCTCCGGCTGCCAGCAGCCCTGGGGGCGGCAGTGGTCAGAAGTGTCGTGCGGACTCTCCCCCGAGCCCTAAAAGTCCGCTCCATTTGCAGCACTTTTCCTCTCCTTTGGGTCTTCGTGTTCACGACTAGTGCTGACCCAAAAGGGCGGACAGGACATGTACTCCAGCCAGAGGCCTCGGGTCTTTGGCCCCACACGCTTTCTTTCGAGACAAGTTAGGAGATCGGTCGGGGTCCTGGGGAGTAGTGCAAGCTAGAACCACACTGTGCACAGTCTTGTTTGGAGTTGGGAAAGACAAAGGAAGGGGGCACTTTTGCAGTCCTTTGGGCTATGATAGGGAAGGTAGGAGAAAGACATGTATGGGAGGCAGGGAGTAGTCGGTTCCTCAGGCTAGAAGAGAGAGAGAACCAAGGTTCTGAGAAGGAAGGGGTGCAAGAGAATGGCCTGATCTGTGGTGATTCCAGGCCAACTCCTCCGTAGTGGAAGAACAAAGCCCCAAGTCCTGGGATGAACAAAGAGGGACGCAATGGAGGGAGCAGAAAGGTCCTGCATTCTAGGAGCTTATTGTCTTCACAGGGTGGGGGCTCAGCCGTGATTGACATGGAGAACATGGACGATACCTCAGGCTCCAGCTTCGAGGACATGGGCGAGCTGCACCAACGCCTGCGTGAGGAAGAAGTAGACGCTGATGCAGCCGCTGCTGAAGAGGAGGATGGGGAATTCCTGGGCATGAAGGGCTTTAAGGGACAGCTGAGCCGGCAGGTGGCTGACCAGGTAAGAAAGACGATCCCTGGCAGGTGGAGAGTACACCCAGAAGGCCCCAGGTTCTGGCACAGAATCATGTAGAAACCCAACGGAAAAAAAACAAGAGGGCCGAAACCGGTGTGGCTCAGTGGATAGAGCATCGGTCTGCGGACTGAAAGGTCCCAGGTTCGATTCAGGTCAAGGGCATGTACATTGGTTGTTGGCACATCCTCGGCAGGGCGTGTGGAGGAGGCAGCTGATCACTGTTTCTCTCTCATCGACGTTTCTAGCTCTCTATCCCTCTTCCTTCCTCTCTGTGGAAAATTAATAAAATATATTTTTTTAAAAAGAAAAGAAAATACCAAGAGGGCTTAGAGCCAACAGTCTGACAATACCCATCCACCCCACCCTTGTCTTCCTTCCTTCAGATGTGGCAGGCAGGGAAGAGGCAAGCCTCGAGGGCCTTCAGCTTGTATGCCAACATCGACATCCTGAGACCCTACTTTGATGTGGAGCCTGCCCAGGTGCGAAGCAGGTGAGGATCCTCCTGGCAGAAGCTGCCCTCCTCACATCTAAACTACAGCCCGAGACCAAGCCCTTAGAGCCCCCTCTTCCTGACACCACCAGCCCTCATCGTCACATCTGTATTCCTGCTGCACCATTCCTCTCACCAGTCCCGGAACAGGATATGGTGTTCACACCACCACCTCCTCTTTTCATCTAGTAAACCACTCATCTTCCCTCGGAACCTAGCTCAGATGTCGCTTCCTTTGTTTCTCATTCCTCACCCTATGCCCAGCTTGTCCCTTCCTGGTGCCCCCATGGAAGTCTGTGCTTCCCTCTAACAGATAACGCTCACCAAACACACCAAACTCACTGCTGGCAGGCCGTGTGCCTTGTTTGTTTAAGCAATCTATACTTCTTTTCTTGTGTTTGTCTCCCCAGAGACCTCCTCAAAAGCAAGCTCTGTTTTGCTTATCATTTATTCCCAGCAACAGAACAGTCTCTGCACCAGAATATCAGTACATAGTTGTTGACTGAGTTTTCAAGAACTGGAATCAATCTTGGTTCTTTGGTTCTTTGTTGATCCTTTAATTTAACCAATACTTAGCAAATGCCCAATACACTCAGCAAGTACTTACTAGGCTTTTTTCTCTGCATCCTCTACTAGTTGTGTCTGAGTTAGCGGGGAAGACACATGGGAGCCTGGCCCTGGAGGGCAGTTATAGTACAGCACTCATTTGCTTTGAAGGGACACATAGGGGACATCTGACCCGGAGCAGGCTAGAGGGGGGACAGGGTGGGTTTCCCAGGAGAGTGAAGTCTAGTCAAATTCCAAGGTGGTATTGGGAGCAAGCCACTTAAGAGAGTGAGGACTTGTATTCCTTCTGCCTGGAATTTCATCCCAACCACTTCAAATACATTCCAAGAAGGTACTCAGCAGTGCCTGGAGGAATGACAATCAGAAGAGAGGCAGGAAGCACACTGGTCCCCTCAAGTGCCACCTTCAGAACCTTTCCCAGAGCTTCACCATCACTATTCGGAAATCTGGGACTCTCGAATTTTGCCTTTTAAAGGAGAGCAGTTCAAATAGGTAAACTCTCAAACCCTCTGCAAGGCCCAGCTGGGCTCCCTGAGCTCTCCACATTGCTGCTGCGTCAGTCAGCACGGCATCAGGGGTGGTCCTTCCTGGGAGCATTTTTCAGGCAAAGAAGTGATTTCTTCATTCCCTGTCCGTCTTTACTACCCTCTTCTCCCTTTACCATCTAGCATGTTTCCTGGAGTTAGAGAGATGAATAAGATTCAGGCCCTCCAGAACCTCATAAGTGCTGCCTCTGCTCTCCTCTCTCCTCTCCCAGGCTCCTGGAGTCCATGATCCCCATCAAGATGGTCAACTTCCCCCAGGTGAATGGAGGGGAGGCCCTGGGGCAGAGGATGGGGTCATCCGGCCAAACCTAGGAAGTAATAAACGGAAGAGCCGTTGTGCCCTCCAGCCTGAATGAGTTGGTGTTTTGACAGAAAATCGCTGGTGAGCTCTATGGCCCTCTCATGCTGGTCTTCACGCTGGTTGCCATTCTCCTCCACGGGATGAAGACGTCTGACACCATTATCGTAAGCTGGACAGAGGCCTTTGGGGGGTAGCTGAGCTGAGCTGCCCAATGAGAAAACGCTGTAGTGAGTTAGAAGCAGCCCTGCGGATAGCCCTGGGTAAGGCTGAGACCAGAGGCCTCCCCGGACTAAGCAGAGCCTTCACCCCACAGCGGGAGGGCACCCTGATGGGCACAGCCATTGGCACCTGCTTTGGCTATTGGCTGGGTGTCTCGTCCTTCATCTACTTCCTCGCCTACCTGTGCAACGCCCAGATCACCATGCTCCAGATGCTGGCACTGCTGGTAAGGAGTCCAGCGTGGTGGTGGGCAAGGGTGACCTTATAACACTAACCAGGCCCTGGTGTGCATCTGTCCTGCGGCTCCACGGCCTGGAATGGGATGAGCTGGCCGGGGGGGCCATTTCTTTCTCAGGGTCCCCAGGAGGGTCCAAAGGCCAGCCCCGCTGAGAGGTTTTCCTCTCCACCTTCCTTCTAGGGCTACGGCCTCTTCGGGCACTGCATTGTCCTGCTCGTCACCTACAACATCCACCTGCATGCCCTCTTCTACCTCTTCTGGCTGCTGGTGGGCGGGCTGTCCACCCTGCGTATGGTAAGCTGGGCAGATTGCCAGGGTGGGGCTGTCCTCCCGGGGAGCTGGGGAAAGCTCATAAGAGGCTCTCAGTGGGGGAGAAGGGCCCGAAGAGGGTTCTGATCTGGGAGGAGTATCTTCTCCACACTGCTCACTGGAGCCAGGCCCTCTAAGCCAGCGGTCACCAGCCTTTCGGACCTCACGGGCCACCACTGGTCCACGGACCACCGGTTGGCCACCACTGCTCTAAGCTACGTTGCTGTTGCCCTAGGTGGCAGTGCTGGTGTCACGGACTGTGGGCCCCACACAGCGGCTGCTCCTCTGTGGCACCCTCGCTGCCCTACACATGCTCTTCCTGCTCTATCTGCACTTTGCCTACCACAAGGTGGTAGAGGGTAAGTGACAGGAGGCCCGGGTGTGGGGGGAGGGAAGCACAGCTGCCTAGTGCAGGATCCAGCTAGCTCTTGCTCACATTCCATCCTCCTCCTCCTCCTCTCAGGGATCCTGGACACACTGGAGGGCCCCAACATCCCACCCATGCAGAGGGTCCCCAGAGACATCCCCGCTGTGCTCCCTGATGTGAGGCCTCCAGCCAGAATGCTCAACACTACAGTCAAGGCCGTCGAGGTGATCCTGCAATCACACTGACCCCACTGAAACCCGTGGCCAGCCCCCCTTAGCCCTGCTGCAGAGTGGAGGAAGACTCAAGGACAGAACTGAAGGCACGTCTCTGATGGCTCTGCAGCTGCCAGAGCTGTGGCCGCTTAAGCACCTCCTTCGACGCCGGTTGGGGCTTCTGAAGAGCACAAGGCCAGGCACCCGGCCAGGACTGCAGGGCTCTGCAGCCAGTGCAGAAAGTGGGTCAGCGCCCCTGAGGCCCTCTCACCGCCCACCCCTTCCTTCCTCTATTTCTCCCACATTGTCTTGTTAAATATAGACTTAGTAATTAAAACACTGATTGAGGTCTGGGACTGCAGCACCCTTCCAGTGGCCCTCCCTGCCACCCCACTTCCTGTGCTCTCTGCTGTTCTGTCAGTGGCGGTAATGTCACACGTTCCCTCATTTATACCCTCAGGATGGAAGGTGGGACAGTCGGGATGAAGGTAGGACAGCCCAGACTACCCTGAAGCCAGTGATTGAATATGGAGCCTGTCCCTGGGTGCAGGGGACAGCTGCCCACAGAGCAGCAGGGAGGCCTCACACACAAGAACCATTAGGTGGAGCAGTGCACCCAGCTTGAGTCTGGGACACCAGTGGAGCGATGACAATGGACAGAAACTCCCAGGCTCAACCCCATGTCGTCATAAGGCCCTTATACACCTGGGCCATGGTGTAGGAATAATTTTCCTGGGTTGGCCACATGTGAAGCCAAACTTGGCTTTGCCCAACTACTCAGTGGTTGAGCATCGACTTTAACGCAAAGCTAAAGTCTCAACAGAGCTTTGAAGAAAGGGGGCTTCTTGGCTATAAATCTGGAAGTCCCTGGGGCCTGCTGAGGTGACACAGCATTCTCAGACCCCCAGCACTGTCCAGACAGGACAGCTGAGGTAAAATAGGAGTCCTGGGACATCACGGCCACAAAGTGCTGCAGCTGGACACAGTGGTGGCTGCACAGCCTGGTGGTTGCCAGAGGAAAGATGGGGGAGTAGAAGAAATGGATGGGTTGTTTTTAGTTTAAATAAATTGAATAAAAGTAAATAACTTTTTAAATTAAAAAAGAAAGAGATGCCAGGACCCGTTTGGCTCAGTGGATAGAGCATCAGCCTACGGACTGAAAGGTCCCGGGTTCGATTCCGGGCAAAGGCATGTGCCTTGGTTGTGGGCACATCCCCAGTAGGGGGTGTGCAAGAGGCAGCTAATCGATGATTCTCTCTCATCGATGTTTCTAGCTCTCTGTCCCTCTCCCTCTCTGAAAAATCAATAAAATATATTTTTTTTTAAAAAAGAAAAGAGGCACAGTGAGCCCTTTACTGTGCCCTTTTAAGGTTGACGCAGCGCCTTAAGAGGCTAACACAGAAGGGTAAACTAAGTCTCCATAAAACCCAGAGAAGAGATGGTAAAACTCCTCTTTGGATCCTATCTGGAGTCACAGCTGGAAAAAAAGAAAGAAAGAGGCACAGTGAGGCATACCTGGGGAATGGGGTCTCAGCTTGTCAGGGACCCTCACTGGGGACTGGTGCAGCAGGAGGGGAGAGGCCATACAACCAGGACATAGCATTAACCCACACTTGTGAGGCTTGCCAGCGACCTAAGGAAGGCTGGGGCAGATTTTGAGCTGGCTATCAGGCCATCTGCGGGAGCAGCTGAGCCCTAAGGATTGCACCTGCTGAATTATGCTCCCCCAGGAGGGCAAGATGGTGTCTGAGTGTCCCCGTTCCAACCCCCCTTGCCTTTGTGTTCTGATAGCCTACGTCAGCTTTGGAAACGCAGTTTACGTACAGACCTGTGTCATCCTCTACAGCACGAAACACAGTACGGGAGGTTGAATCTGGGTGGTCCATGGCAGACCAGAACCCGAGCCAATGGAGTCCTTTCTGGAACAAAAAGGCAGTACATACACACATGCATAGGTGGGAAAGGAATTTCTGTTGTCCCAACACCCACACTACCAGCAGGAGGTCTGCAGCAGGACTTCAGGATAGATGACTGACGCCCTTGGTCAAGAGCATGCTTCTGTCTCCTCTAAGGGAAGGGCACGGACTCACCACCCTCCGCTGCCTGAGATCCCTTTTCTCCCTTTCACCTGCTCTTTCCCCCGCCCCTCCCCTGTGTCCCCCCTCCCCCTGCCTCCATTTCTTCAATGCCCACTCCCATTAAACCACTGTGTTCAAGGTCACGCCCCTATCTCTTACTGGAAGTCCTTGAGCAGTCAAAGATGACCTTTCTATTGCCAGATGCAATTTTTTTTAAATGTATTTTTTATTGATTTTTTACAGAGAGGAAGGGAGAGGGATAGAGAGCCAGAAACGTCGATGAAAGAGAAACATCAACCAACTGCCTCCTGCACACCCCCTACTGGGGATGTGCCCAACCAAAGTACATGCCCTTGACCGGAATCGAACCCAGGACCCTTCAGTCCGCAGACCGACGCTCTATCCGCTGAGCCAAACCGGTTTCAGCGCCAGATGCAATTTTTTAATTGAACTTTTTGAGGTGGCATTGGTTAACAAAATTCAACAAGCATTTATGATAAAATCTCTCAACAAAATGGGTATAAAAGGAACTTATTTCAATATAATAAAAGGCATATTATACTCAATGGTGAGAAGCTAAAAGCTTTTCCTCTAATATCAGGAACAAGACAAGGATGCCCCCTCTAACTGCTATTATTAAATATGCTTACTGCCGGGACCGGTTTGGCTCAATGGATAGAGCGTCGGCTTGGGGACTGAAGGGTCCCAGGTTCGATTCCGGTCAAGGGCATGTACCTTGGTTGCGGGCATATCCCCAGTAGGGGGTGTGCAAGAGGCAGCTGATCGATGACTCTCTCTCATCAATGTTTCTAGCTCTCTATCTCTCCCTTTCTCTCTGTAAAAAATCAATAAAATATATTTAATATATATATATATATATATATATATATATATATATATATGCTTACTGACAATCCCAACTACAGCAATCAGACAAGAAAAAGAAATAAAAGACATCCAGATTGGAAAGGAATAAGTAAAACTGTCACTATTTGTAGATGGCATGATACAATTATAGAAAACCCTAAAGAACTCACCAAAAAAATTACTGGAATTAATAAATGAATTCTGTAAAGTAGAAGAATACAAAATTAATATACAGAAATCCATCATGTTTCTATACACTAATAACAAATGAGTGGAAGGAGAGATTAAGAAAGCAATCCCAGCCCTGGCCAGTGTAGCTCAGTGGATAGAACAAACCATCATGGAAATGTAAATCAAAACCACAGTGAGACCACAACTGGCATGGCTCAGTGGTTGAGTGTTGACCTATGAACTAGGAAGTCACAGTTCGATTCCCCCTGTCAGAGCACATGCCCAGATTTGAAAGAGGCAGCTGATCAATGATTCTCTCTTATCACTGATGTTTCTACCTCTCTCTTCCTCTACTTTCCTCTCTGAAATCAATAAAAATATATTTAAGAGGGCTGACACTGTTTTGGCCCAGTGGATAGAGCGTCGGCCTGTGGGACTGAAAGGTCCCAGGTTCCATCAGGTCAAGGGCATGTTCCTTGGTTACCGGCACATCCCCAGTAGGGGGTGTGCAGGAGGCAGCTGATAGATGTTACTATCCCTCTTTCTTCCTCTCTGTAAAAAATCAATAAAATATATTTTTTTAAAAACAAAAAACTAAAAACAGAACTAGTATATGACCCAGCAATTCCACTTCTAAGTATTTATCTAAAGAAAATAAAAACATTAATTTGAAAAGATATATGCACCCCTATGTTCACTTCAGTATTTACGATACAATATATGGAAGCAACCTAGCTGTTCATCAGCAGGTGAATGTGTAACGAAATACGGTGTATATATACAATAGCATTCTGTTCAACAAAAGGGGCGGTGGCCTGCCGCTGACCCTGGCAATAGTTCCTGGGGATGGAGGAGGTCAAGTCCACTCAGCTCTCACGGCTGTGCTAGCTCTCCACAGGCGCTCCTGAGTCCAAGTAAGTTAGAGGGGCGCTCTGTCTCACCGCAGCATCCGCAACCCTCTTTCCCACATTTTCTGTTCTGTGTCACGTGTCCTCATACTCTGAACACACACGTGCACACCCACATATGTGTACACACACAAGCAGACACACATGTCACTGTACACACACAATCACATCCACACCCCGCTGGGAAAATGGCAGAGACAGACATGAGAGCACAGAGCTGAGAAGGCGGAAGCAGAGGGTTGGGTAGAGTAGAAAACAACCTGCTGAGGCAGCTCAGGTTTGGATCTGGGTCACGGGTGGCCCGAATCCCAGCTCCCTCCCTGGCCAGCTTGGTTACTGCTGGGCTAGGAACTTCACCGGAGGCCTAGTTTCTTTCTTTCTAAAATGGGGGTAACACCACCACAAAAAAAAAAAAAAAAAAAATCAGGATTTTTGTTTGTTTATTTGAGAATTAAATAAAATATGTACTAAAGTTCTTTATAAATTGCAATGCTGTGAAGAATCATATGGAAACAAATATAAGGGGAAAATGTTACCCCTAAGTTCACCTAGAAAATATTCACTTATTGTGAACCAAGGGTAAAAAGCTATTGAAGCTCTACAACTCCGTCGCAAGGCAGTGCTGCCAGCCACCTGTGCACATCACCTGGGGGGGCCTGAGGCCTGGAAGCCCTGGGCTGGCTGGTAACCACTGTTCCACTGCACAATAACAGGGTCATAAGACTAACACATTATCTTTATTTTCAATCTTGACATTTTGTTCATCATGGATTTTTAAAAAATATATTTTATTGATTTTTTACAGAGAGGAAGAGAGAGGAACAGAGAGTTAGAAACATCGATGAGAGAGAAATATCAATCAGCTGCTTCCTACACACCCCCTACTGGGGGATGTGTCTGCAACCAAGGTACATGCCCTTGACTGGAATCGAACCTGGGACCCTTCAGTCCGCAGGCCGATGCTCTACCCACTGAACCAATCCAGTTTCGGCCATCATGGATTTTTTGCATTTATTTTTAAAATATTTTTTTATTAATTTTAAAGAGGAAAGGAGAGGGAGAGATAGAAACATCAATGATGAGAGAATCATGGATCAGCTGCCTCCTGCACGCGCCCCTCTCAACACACACACACACACACACACACACAGCTGGGGATCGAGTTTACAACTCAGGTATGTGCCCTTGACCAGAATCGAACCTGGGACCCTTCAGTCCACAGGCCGATGCTAGGGCTGCATTAAAATATTACTCATCTTGGTTACTGTGTTTCTTTCGGTGCTCCTTAAATTCCGCATGGGAGGTGAGGTCTCCCTTGCTTCCCACCCCTTCGAGGTGGAAATGAATGTCACTCATTATTGCCGTGTTTGGTTCCGGTGGATCACCTGTGTGTTCTCAGCCACGCCACTTTATCTCCTCTCCCCATTTGGCAATCTATGAAGTAAAACTATTGCAAAGGGTATTAAAGAAGCCAGAAAGTTAGTCTTTCGTGTCAATGACCTTTCAGTCTGGCAAGGAGAACTGAGGCAGTCTGAGGACAGTCTGAGGGCTTTTGAGAGCCACACCCCTCTCCAATGGCTTCAACCATGGGAACCCTAAGTGGAGAGAAAAAAAAAAAAAGTGGATTAGCACAAAAAAGGGAGAGACATTTTCAACAGAAGAACATTGCATGCGCCGAGATGGTCCACTTCCTTTTGTCTGGCTCATGGGGCAAAGCTTGGTTCTGAGTAACCTGGACACACGCAAACCCTAGAGGAGTCGCCTTTCTTCCCTCCCCCTCCCTCTCTCTTCCTCTCCCGTCACACACACCCCTCTGCGGTTGCTCCTAAAAACTCACAGCAGCTGGCAACTGTTTTTGACCATTTGGCCATTTTAGCACTAAACCTTGAAATGCGTCTCAATGATATATATTTTTGGCCACAATGCGAACAATATGAGCTCAGGGTCTGGTCCTTAGGAATGGGGAGAAGAACCCGTTTATAGCCTCAAACATCATCTCCCTGTCACGTGCCTCCATCCCCTCCCCACCCCGGCCGGTCGCAGGCCTCCGCCCTGACACCTATTTTTACCTGCAGCCGGGCCCGCACTCAGGGCGCGTCCTAAGCCGCCGGAGAGGGGTCCCCGCGGCTCGGCACCGCCCGGCGCGCGGCACCCTCGTGGGCCGCGGGCTGGGGCCGGGCAGGGGCGGGGCGAGGGGCGGGGCGAGCGGCGGTGACGCGAACGTTGCCATGGGAACTCGCCGCCCGCTTCGGCTCCGGATCTGAAGCTGGAGCTGCAGCCCCATCGCCCGCCGCCCGCCGCCCGCCGCCCGCCTCGGGCTCTCCCTGCGGCCGCGGTGGGGGAGCCGGGCTGGAGGAGGGAGGGAGGCAGTGGATGGGACTCCGAGCGGTGACCCGCCCCGCGCGCCCTCAGCCGAGGCCCTAAGCGGCCGCCGCCGCCGCTAGAGACGCGGACAAGCGCGCAGCAGCCCCGACACGGACCGCACGGTCCGCCCCGGCGGGCGACTTCGGCGTCTCCGCCGCCCCGACCGGCTCCGCCCCGGGCCCCGGCGCTCATCGTCGCCTCCGCCACCGCCGCCGCCGCCGCCGCCGCCACAGCCTCCCGCGCCTCCGCCGCCGCCTCCGGCGCCTCGTCCGCCGCCGCTGCGCCCGCTCCGGCCGCGCCCCCAGCCCGGGCCCCGACCGGAGCCCCGACCGCGCCCGCGGCCCTGCCAGCCTCGCCCGCGGCCCGGGCGCCGGCCCGGGCCCTGGAGGTCCCGCCGCGGGCACGATGCTGCCCAGCTCCATCCAGATCTCCGGGGAGCCGCTGTCGGGCGCCGAGGTGCGGGACATCTGCCGCGGCCTGCGCGACAACGCCGTGCGCCTGCTCTCCCTGCGCGGCTGCCGCCTCTGCGACCGCGACTTCGGCCGCATCTGCCGCGCCCTCGCCGGGGCCACGTCCCTGGCGCAGCTCAACCTTAACCTGGGCGTCGTGTCCAGCCCCAGCCGCATCAAGCAGCTGGCCGAGGCGCTGCGGACCAACCGCTCCATCCAGTCCCTCTTGTGAGTGTGCTGCCTCCACCGGGGGTCCCTTCGCGCGTCCCTGCCCCCTCTTCCTCCGCGCTCCGTCCTGTGCCTCTTCCCACCGGCCCCGCTCTTCCCGCTCACACGCCTCCCTCTCCCGCTGCCCACGCCTTCGCAGCGCCCTCCCAGCTCATCCTTCTCGGGATCAGCACCCGCAGCCTCGCCCCCAAGGAGACAGGATACCCTCCCTTTCCTGGTGGGCAGGTGCACCGCTCACCCGGTCACCGCATTGACCTCGGGGGAGCCCCTCAGGTCCCAAAAAGGAACACTGCCCCTGGACTAGAGCCCTGCCCGACCTTCTCCCACTGAGGAACCCTAATCCACTCCCACCCCCTTCTCTGCCAATCCTGGATCCCAGTCCTAGAAAGGAAACCTACCCGTGTTCCGTTAGAGGCTAGAACTTCCTTTCTCCCTTCCCAAAGCCTGGCCTCAGAGCTGTGCCTGAGTGCCCCCCTCTCCTCCAGGGCTCACCTCTTTCCCCACAGACAGGGCCGGCGACTGCGTAACCTCTGCTCTCTGGTCTCACCCCCCAGCCTGCATGGGAGCCCCCTGACAGATGCGGGGTTGGCCTTGCTGAACCCAGCCCTGGCCCTCCATCCTGCCCTTGTGGCTCTGGACCTGGGGGACTGCATGTTGGGTGATGAAGCCATCAACCTCATCTGTGGCCTCCTCCCCCCAGATGGGGCCAAGTCTGGTGAGCAGGGCCCTGCTGAGGGCATGGGCTGGTGTGGCCTTGATGAAAAGTTAAATGCAGAGGGCAGGGGACTTGGCCCTGACAGTGGGTGAGAACGTATTTTAAGTATTTTCAGGAAGGAGGAGAAGGAGGGGTTGAACAGGATCGAGAATCTGAAATCCAGTTCTGGTGGGCAGGGAGGGCAGGGTCTCCAATGGCACCGGAGTTCTGTAGTGGGGGTGGGGTGACTCCCAGCCCCTAGGGACACCCCAGAGATCTAGGGCAGGGTAGGAGCTTAAAGAGGGCCTGACATTTTTCCATCCTGGCTTCTCCTCACATTGTTGCCCAGGTCTGAAGGAGTTAACGCTGAGTGCCAACCCTGGCATCACTCCTAAGGGCTGGAGCCGCCTTGCCATTGCTGTGGCCCACAGCTCCCAGGTCCGCGTCCTCAATTTGGACTACAACCCCCTGGGTGAGGCTCAAGAAAACTTCCTTAGGTTCTCACCACCCCACTCCCCTTCCAAGAACCTGGGACCATCAGTTGCCATGGTAACCCCCACATTGGGGAAGGGGAAAATGGAGGGGGGCGGGTCTGGGAGGTAATAGAGGAGTCACCTGTGTGGAGGACCAGATAGATGACCAACAGGTAGATCAAATCACCCATCACCACTTCCGGCTTGCTTCATGCATTCACTCACCAATCACAATGCTCTGCTCCTGGCTACCTACTAATTGTCAGCGTTTCCTGGCCTGGGGGTGGGATCGAAGGCTGTTAGGGCCGTGGGGAAGCTGTCTGGGAGAGGAGTATATGTGTGTGCATGCTGTCTCCCAAGGTGACCATGTGGCAGGGATGCTGGCTGTGGCTGTGGCCTCCAGTCGCACCTTGGAGGTTCTAGACTTGGAGAGCACAGGGCTCACCAACCAGTCCGCTCAGGTGAGACATCTTCATGTTTGGGGAAGGCCAAGGTGTCTGTGGACATAAATGAAGGGCTGGCAGGCTGGAGTCAAGGAAGCCACCTTAACTGAGTTTATTCTTTTCCATACTCTTCTACGCCAGACCCTGCTGGACATGGTAGAGAATTACCCCACAGCTTTGCGGAGCCTGGTGTTGGCTGAGAACAGCATTAGCCCGGAGCTGCAGCAGCAGATCTGTGACCTCCTTTCTGAGGGAGAAGAGGAGGAGGAGGTGGCAGGAGGGCCTGGTCACACCCAGGAAGGAGAGAGGGGGCGGGAGCCTGCCCCCCACCCACGGGGAAGCAGTTCCTGGATGTGCCCCAGTGGTAAGAGCCTCGTGGGTTGATGAGAGCCAGGTTGGAAGAAACTTGGGATCCGGGAGGATGGGTGTGGGAAACCTAAGGCCACTTTCTTCCTGTGGATAGTCCCCACTGCAGGAACAAATGGTGGTCTGAACACCCCTCTTGCCTTCCACAGATCCCAGCTCTCAGATGGTGCTAATGACATCAGGACTAGGGGACAGTCTGTTGGCTGAGACCGAGATGTGACTCTCCACTTGGGCTTCCACACATTATTACATTTGCCTCTGTCCCAGCACCTTGCCCCAGATACCAGGGTCAGGCCCTGGGGCTTGGGAGGGAGGGGGTTGCCTGGGGCTCTGGCAGCTCGTGGCAGTGTGATGGGAGGCTCTGGAAGCTGTGAAGAGCAACAGCCTTGCAGGCACTTGAACGCAAGGCAATGGCTCTGGACTTGTTGGCAGCCCTGGCTGCAGCCCGCTGGCTCGGAAGAGATTTTATGAACTCTACAACCTGGCGTGTGGCTGTGGTCACTGGGGGCTGGCAGTAGGGGAGGAAATGGCATTACCACTAGGCACCTCTAGGGGGCAGTGCCACCCCACAGCCAAAGCATCCCCTGGTCCCAAGTCTCAAAACCAGACTGACTCAGGCCTTGCACTACAAGGTGATAGATACCAGGTGTGATTCTGAGGTGACACCTTATACAGGTAACTAAGATAAAGAGCTTATCTCCAGAGCGGGGCTGGACTCAACTTAAAGGGGAGACTCAGGGGCCCCATCCTCTCCCACTGCCTGATGCTCTGTGCCCAGGGAAGGCCCATGCAGAGCGGGGCAAGGGAGAATCACCAGCAAAGAGTAGGGCATCACAGAACTGGGAATACTCAAGAATGGAGAGCAGAATAGTCAGTAACAGACAAATTAGTCCATAACAGTAAAATAGTTTCATTTAATTTTAAAATAGTCATTAATGTGAAAATTTCCCAAAGCTGGGAGTAACAGTCTAGAGCCAGGAGTGGGAGGGGAGGAGGCCTCCTTTAGAGCCCAGCTGGAGGCCCCAGGCCCAGCCTCCACTCCCTTCCCGAGGGAACAGCTGAGGAGAGCCCTGAGTCAGCCTCTCCCACCCTGAGGGCGTGCTGTGCCAGACCCTTAAAGGCAAAGGCTTGTGCAAGGGGTTTTGGGAGGGAGGGAAACAGGTAAAAAATAAAAAGGTTAATAGAAAATAGGAATTAGAGGTTAATAATCCCAATAATAGCCCCTCATCAAAAAACAAAACAACACACCTCATGGCTAAGAAAGGAAGGAGGATGAACACTGATGTGATAAGCCCCTCAGCTCCCAGAACAGCCCGATTTGGGCTGGCCTGATTTGGGGAAAGATGCTGAACACTGGCTGCATGTTACCTTTGGAGAATAAATATTTCAACAAGGGGAAAGCCATGAGGCAAGCTGGTGCCAGGCAGTCAATGCAGCTGGAAGGCCTGGTGGGGCCCACCACCTGGCGCACTCCATACAAGGAACAGAGCTGTGCAGGCCTTGTGGGATGAGAGTTCAAGGCTTGGCTGGGTAGGAACAGCTGCAAGGACCAGGTCTCCTTGCAGTCGCAGTGCAGCAGTGGCAGGAAGGCAAGCAGGGGCCTTAATTGAGCAGATTGCCCTGCTCCTGGGCCTGGGTCAGGCTGTCCTTGCGGTGTAGGTGGTGTACCCCCATCCTCTTGGGGCTGCGCTGGGGACGGCTGGAGCCGGGGAGTGCCCAGGTCCTGCCCTCCGTGTGGGAAGTACCAGGCCCTGTCTCTCTGCCAGTATCCCGGGGCAGCAGGCTCTGTTGTTCTTCCTCGGGGCTAATGGGCAGATTCAGCTCCTCCTCCTCTTCCTCCCTGGCAAGGCCAGCGTCAGGTTCTGTTGGCAGCAAAAGCCGGCTCTCACCAGGTGGGGAGGAAGGTGCCTGAACCTCCTCCTCTCTGTCAGCGGGGCTCAGAGCAAACTGGAGCTGCAGCTCAGGGAGCTCATCATGTCCGTAAGCTGTGCTCTGGGCCACAGTGGCTGGTGGAATGCGGTCAACAAACGCCCGCTGCCAGCTGGCCAGCAGGTCGTCCTCGGAGCTGGCAGAGCTGGCTGGGGCACTGAGAATTGGGGGGGCTGGGCTGGGCTGGTGTTGGGGTGAGGCCTGGGCCGATGCATGGCTGCTGGGCACTGGGCTTGGACGGCCCCGCTCACTCCCCTCCTCCACCAGGCTCAGGGAAATGGCCTGGCGGGTAGCATACGTGCAGTTGGGCAGGGGGCTGTTGTGGGGGATTCGCACCTTATCCTCAGAGAACTCTATCACCTTTCGGCCAGGATACAGAGGGTATGGTGGAGATGGGGTGGGGTAGGGGCTTAGTTTCTCAAAGGCCGGCAGAGGCACCTCCTCATCTGGGGAGCCCTCAGCAGTGCTCAGAGAGTGGCACTCCCCATTGGGTTGAGGGGTGGGGCTGCCAGGGACTGGGGGACTGGCCAGGTCACCTGGGTCACCCCCACTCATGTCTACATGAACGAAGACATCCTCAGCCAAGGGGCGCCCAGCACTGCCTGACTGGGCCGAATTGAGCAATAGAGACTCTGGCTTCTCCAACACGCGGGCAATGACCGAGGTGGGTACCACAGCCCCTGGTGCCAGGCCAGGGGCAGGGTCCGGGCTGGCAGCCTCTTGACCACTGTGCAGATGTTTCCGAACCATGTCCTGTAGCTCACAGGGCAGCTGGGGTAAAGGAGTGGAAGGAAAGAGAGACATGAATGATCCCAACCTAAGACAGGTTGACTCATGGCAAAACATGGCTACCACATGCAAATACCACTGTGTGCTTGGCACTTTGCTGTCTCTTGTGCTTGCAGCACGCCCAGGTATATTCTCATTTCACACAAACTGAGGCTCAGTAGGGCTAAAATAACTTGAAGCTTTTGATTAACACCAGCAGGAACTGAACCCAGAACTGTTGCCAAGGCCGACGTGCTCTCGAATTTCTCTCTCTCCCATCTTAGCGGTATCTTCTGCCCAAACCAGACATAAGTTTGAGGCTCTGTAGTGACCGCAGCCTTGGGAATGTCCCACCACTTCTGTAGGCCCCATCAACCTTGAGCCTGAGGATCTGGGGTCTGGAGTTTGCCCTTTGGGGTCAGGGGATCAGTTGGACCTAATGCTCTCTAAATATTCTTATGGCTGATAGCTATGGCCACCCCTCCTTCCTGCATGGGATCCTGAAACTGAGTCCCTCTCTCCCTGTCTCTGTTCAAAAATACCCTCAGTCCTAATGATCGGCAGTGACAGCATACAGGACACCAAACAGTGACAGAGTTGACTGCTTGAGAGGAGACACAGGCCAAGGGAAGGCAAAGCAGCAAGGGTAGTGAAAGGCAAGGGGATGGAGAGAGAGGAAGAAACTAGAGATAGAGTCCTAGGAAGGCTGGACTGGCATTGTTGGGGCAGGTATTGGACTCACATCAGCAAATTTGTGGTTACGGAAGTGAGATTTGTTGCACTTGAGGAGCTGCACAGCCAGGTTGCAGTCCAGCCGGTACCGCTCCTGCAGATACAAATATGGTTCAGAGTCCAGCCCTGTCCCAGGGAGCAGAGCTGGGTCAGGACAAAGCTGGCCATGGGCAAGGAAGACCCCGGAAGTGCACATACGTTGAGCTCCTCCAGCTTGTTGATGGTGTTCTTGGCATCCAGCAGCTTGTTGGTCAGCTCTACAATCTCCCAGTCCAGTGTTTTCCTATCCATCTCAGCCTTCTTGATCTGAAGCACAAGACTTGTGGTGAACTCACCCCATGCCCCAGCCAGCCCTTCCTCCCCCCTTCCCTCCTCCCAGCCCGAGACGCAGGAAGCCACAAGTGCTAGGTCAGCCAAGGCAGATGGAACAGACAGACAATGGACAGACAGAAGGAGACCAGACACTGCTGTTCTCCGGGCTGACTGTGGGGCAGGAGCTTTCCGGCATGACCTGGGCCCAGCAGTATAAGAGGCTGTCCATCCCTTGAGGGAACTCTACATACCGGGCAAGGGGCTGTACCTAAAAGGAGAAACAGTGCAAACGCAGGCACTGAAGCCTATGTATGGGGGTGTTTCCAGGATCAGGCTAGGAAGAGGGAGGAGGGAGGAGGCTGAGTGGCAGCTGGGGGAGCCTGTGAGATTATCTAGATGAGCTGGAAGGGAGCCGCAGGCTCTGATCTTCAGGTCATGGCTGCATCGACAGCCCCTTCCCCCGGAAGGCTTGGGCTTGCTGACAGTGCAGCCGAGAGGCTGTGAGAGTTCAGTAGTGACATCCATCAGGACCTCTGCCTAGGCCAAGAGCAGGCTCCCAGCTGTCCCCTAGGAAGGAGGCACTGACTACCGAACAGGCCTCACATAAGTAAGAGAATAGGATCGGGCAGAGGGAAATGACCAGGGCCCCGGCAATCCCAGGTCTCTGCTGAGGAGGAGGCCAGGGCAAGGTAGAAAACACACAACTCAGACGCAACTGCAAAAATCCAGCTGTGGCTAAGAGAGGCCTGAGAGGAGAGTGCAGCAGCAACGGTGGCAGCATGGGGGGAGGCGAGGAGAAAAGAGAAACAGTGTGAGCATTAAGACAGTCCTGACTTGCAGAGCACATGGCAGTCCCCTTCCCTCCACTGCCCCCGCCTCCCTCCCCAAGCCACAGGGCAGAAAGGCATTCCCTTGGCAAATCCTAGCCCCCTGCTATGCTGTGAGCACAGTGCCAGCCAGACTGCCCTCTTGGACAGGTTACCAGTGTGTGCAGCTTGTCCTCCAGCTCCTGGTTGGCCCTCTGGGAAGCTGTGTAGCTGTTCTGCAGCCTGGAGAGGAAGACAAGGCCCTAGGTCAAAGTCCAGTTCTTCAGGCCCTGAAAGATCTTGGGCAAGTCATTCTCCTTCCCGAACTTCAGTTTTTTTCACCAGCGGCCTCTTCCAGCTAATCCCCAATGATGGGAGATGTGTGCACGTGTGTCCTAGCCCCTTGTTCCCATACCTGCGGAACTTGTCCTTAAATTTGTCCAGCTCCTCGCGGCTCTGGCCCAGCTCCACCTCCAGGCAGTCCTGCCCAATTTCCAGCTCGCGTTCCAGGTCCTCGGTGCGCCTGGTGGCCAAGGCCAGGCGCCTGCGAAGTTCTTCATTCTCCTGCTGCAACAGCCTGGCAGGGGAGGAGTCAAGGGCAAAGGGGCATCAGAGATAGAAGGGCCAGCCCTAGAGCCCTAGGCTGGTCAGGGAGGAAGTAGGGATGGCATGAAGACAGGCAACTAGGGGGAGGGCACTCTTGAAACTCACTCAGCCCTTCTGGCTCAGAGAACACAGCCTGGCTTGGAGAGTGGGGGAGGCAGAGGGGATGGATGTTAGTCCCCAACCCTCCCCCTCCCTGGAGAAGATTTGAGAAGACAGAATTGGGTGGGGGGATTCTAAGTCTGTCTCTGGTTACAGCCCAAGCCACCAAGCCCCCAGCTCCAGTTTCCCCATTGCATTATCAGCCTGCTCCATTATTAATCTCCTGGAAATCCAGCCCAGCACTGCCCCCCTCTCCAGAGGCCTCACACGGCTGACAGAAAGGGCTCCAGGGAGGCAGCTGGCACAGAAGGGCCGGGAGCTGGGGAAGAGCTTGCTGGCAAGAGCAGGCCCTCAGAGCCATCCCCTCCTTGATTCCAGGTTCTCTTACAGCCCATGGGACAAACCTGTTTTTCCAAAGGAATATCCACATTAAGCTTCCTCCCAGAGTCCCTAAAACACTCCACCCCAACCCAACATTTACCTCTACCTAATCCAAGGAGAAGCCCAACTATACCAATAGCCCTGCCTGGAGCTAAGAGGGACAGCTGAGGCAGGGCAGGCTCAGGCAGCAGATACTCACTTCATCCTCTCTGCGTCAGTCAGGTTCTCCTGGGCACAAAAGAACAGAAGCTTGAGGCTCAGCTCTAGGCCACTGGCCTCCTGAGTGGCCCACCCTCCAGAAAGCCCTGGGCCACTTCTGAGGCCCAAGGACTCTCACAGCAGGGCCGCAGTGAGTGTCCTGTAGAGATGGAGGCAATCCAGCAATGCCCAGACAAGCCAGACCACTCTCTTCCCATGCCAACTGGAAGATTCAAGAACCCCTTCCAACCCTCACCAGCTCCAATCCCTTAGGCCTAGAGCCAGTTGCAAATAAGTCCTGGTACCCCCGCCACCTCTCCCAGGGATAGAGAGAGCCTCAGCTGCTCACTGGGATCCTGGGCCCTGCAGGCACGGAGGAGACCTCTGGAGAAGTGAAGAAACCAGGCTGAGATATAGCAGGTCCTGAGCTCTGACCACTAGGCAGAACCAGGCCTCACAGAGGCTCGGGAGGAACAAGTGCAGGACAGAAAGAGAACTGCTGGCTAACCCTGACTGTGAGGAGTGAAGTGTCTCTTCTTGTCTTTAACCTCCCAACCCATCCTCCCGAAACCCCTATGTTGGTCACAGCCCAAGAGTCAGGGTTCAGCCAGACACGAAGCTGAACAGCCACATGCTATAGCAAGTGGGAAATGTCACTCCCCATTAAACCGACTGCTTCAAACGCCAGGCAGGGCCAGGAAAATGCGGAGGGTGGCCCAGACCATGGACTTTGGAGCCACTAACACCTGTAGTTGATCCATTTCTACCACATTCTGGTTATATCAGGTGCCCTGGCTCCTCGCACAATACCTGGCCTGTTTATTCACTGATCTCTAAGCTGAATGGGCCAGTCACGGCTTCTCTGCCCTGACTCTGACCGAAGTGGCCGTGGTACCCTGATGCCCACATGTGCTGACTCTCTCCAATTCTGTAAGTGCACTCCATGCATTGCCACAGGGAGGACACCAGGTAGCAAGGAGAATAAACCACCACAATACTCGTTTCCTCCTGATAGTGAGCTTAATGAGGGAGGATAACCAATGTATTTAACAAGTGTTAGCCAGAGTAAAGCTGGAGGAGGGCCTGACAGTGAGGAACAACTGGTCTGGTGGAAGTAGCTGGAGCATTGCCTTCATCATCACATCATCACCAGAGGAGAACGAGGCTCAGCCTCCAGCAGGTTAGGGCCCCTCGGTCTGGTGGGCTGCCTCTCATAGAGAGAGCAACACTGTCATTTCTGCAGAGCTATCAAGGCTCTGGGCCTCCTGACGTGTGGACCTGTGCTCATGGCTGGCCTCTGTGAGCCCGCACTGCCCCCACCAGCAATGCCACACTCTCACCCAACTCAGGGGGGCAGAGTCCCCTCAGGCGGGAGGAGTCAGCCAGACAGCCAGCTTCAGAGGCCCACCTCCGCCAGGCAAAGTGGGGTCCCCGTTTGCTGACCTGCTGCTCAAGCTGGGACCCAGGCACGTCCAGCCGCAGCTCCCGATGCTCTGGTGGTGCCTTGCGGTAGGGTTTCTTGGCAGGGGCCGCGCTGGTCATTCTGGGAGGTGAGGGCTCCTCAGCCTGATGAGGAGAAGCAAGGAAGGAGGGTCTCAGAAAGGAGGGCAAGTGGTCTCTGGATTGAGGAAGAGGATGATAAGGGAACATATGAGGGAGCCACCAGGCAGGCCCACAGACTTGGGCCTGGCTCGGGTCACTAGAAGGGCTGGATCCTGGTGTGTCAGTGCACCCAAGGAGTCAGGAGAGTGCTGAAGGGGGCATGGGTCCGATGGGAACAGAGGGGTGAGAAAAGCAAGACCTGGGACCTGGGCCTCACTTGCCCGGGGAGTGAGCGGAGTGTGTGAAGGCTGCCAGCCACTGTCCCGTGTGGGCTCAGAAGAAGGCTTCGAAGGGAAAACTGCTCTCTATACAGACCAGTTTGCCCTTCTCTACAATGGGGCAAGAACAGCACTGGTTTCACAGGGTTATTGTGAAGGTTAGGTAAAGCACTGAGAACAGTACCTGGCATTAGGAAATGGTTAATAAACATTACCTTAAAAAATATAACTTAAAAAAAATTTAAAAATAACTGTAACTAGAAAGTAAGGTTTTGAGGCTATTCTCCCAACCCAGGCTCCTCAGTGGGGTCTCTGAGCTTGAGAGTCCTGAAGATCAAGCCCCACTAGCCTCCATCAGTCTCCTTTCACCAGCCCCCGGGGCAGGAGGCGCCACCTGCCTGCCCCTCACCTGCCAGCCTCCCCAGAAGAGAGCACGTGGGGGGTGAGGGCCTCACACGGACATACCGTCTGTTTGTCAGCAGCTTGCTCTGTTCCGCTGTCCGGGAGTTAGCCCTCGGCTCTCCGCATCCCACGGCCCCTCCACTTCCTCTTGCCAAAAGCTCCTGAAACCGGAGAAGGGAAGAAAGTGGAAACCAGGTGTCAGCCGCCTGTCAGTGCCACGGGCCTCCCTGCCCAGTCTGGGACCTGGAAGGCACCCCGGGGAGAGTCAGGCAGGAAAGCCATGGGACAAAGGATCTGAGGGGGGAGCAGGGGAGGTGGGGGAGGATTAGAAGCACAGGGCCTTGCCTGCTCTATGAATCCTGTCACGCATGTCTGTGTATGTGTTCACGGTCTCGGCTTACCCACATGCCCAATTCTGAAATAGGTCTAGTCCTGTCCTGTCCTGTCCTGTCCCTCTCCTACCCCACATCTGCCTGTTCATCTCTCAGTATCTGCAAACAACTAAGAGGTTTGGAGAATGTGGGTTGCATAAGAGAATACCAGGGAAAAGCCTACTGGAGAAGTGAGAAGATGCTGGAAAGAAAGCTCCTAGCAGTCTCCAGAAAGAATCCAAAGATTATCTTTGTGTACACTATGGTAAACAGCCTTTGTGATGACAGGGGTAGGTACAGGAGACGAAACCTAAAAAGGGCAGCAGTTTAGAGCAATGATGGTTCTCAAACAGGGTGACTTTGGTCCCCCTCACCCCCTTCTCAGATATCCGGCAAATGTCTGAAGATATTTCTGGTTATCACAACAGGAGTGGGTGCCATTGGCATGTAGTGGGTAGAGGCCAGAGCTGCTGGTAAACATTCCGTGATGCACAGGACACCCCCATGAGAATGATCAACACACAACGTTGACAGTGCCAAGGCTGAGAAACCCTGGTGTTCAGACATTTGCCAGAAACCTAAGTCTGGGGAGCCGAGATGCTGGTGTTCCAGGCTCAGTGATGCTGACACTGTGTGGCCCTTCCTCGTTGGATAAGCCTTTCTCACATGTCCCAGGTGGCTGGACTGAGTCACCCTGTGGTCCCCTCCAAGTTCTTGGGGTTCTGAGCTCTGCCCCCATCTGTAATGAACTAGGCTGCAGCAGGGGGCAGCAGCCACCACAGGGACCAGCGGAGGCAATAACCTTAGGTGGCCTTCTGGGCATAAACAATCTTCCCGCTGCCTTCCACCTAAACAGAGCTGGGGGCTGAGGGAAGCCTTGCGGGCTGGAGCGTGTGCTCCTGCTGTTAGGACATGCCCTGGCCATGACTCTTGTCACATTCCAACAGGGCCTGAGGCAGGAAGAGGTGAGGGTGTAGGGAGGGCGGGGAAGCAGAAGCGGCCTCCCTCCTCTGTCTGAACAGCTCGGTCTCTGGCCTGGGGCTCTCGGGGAGCTGGGGTGTGACAGCAGGCACGAGCCGCCAACCTCCACCCCTTTGATGGCGAAGCAGAACGTGTCCCCACAGGGCACAAGCAGCGTGCTGCTCGGGGCTGACTCCCTCCCTGCACAGGAATCCGGGCGGGCCTGAAACGACAGTACATTCCTGGGGTGTGGGAGCAAACAAGTCACCCCCACAGGTTCCCCAGGGCTACCCCTCCAGAGGGCCCCAGGGTGAGAGTTCGTATGGCCTGGCGGGAGGCCCAGGAAGCCCAAACCAGCCTGGGTACCTGGATTCTGATTCAGGGGGTGCAAGCGGAGGTGTGTATTCGAGTTGGAAAGTGGGGGAGAGCCAGAAACACAGGAGTAAGTGCTACACGCAGCCAAAGAGATTCTCCAAAACCCAGGGGGCTCCTGTGCTGGCCTCTGCCTTCTCTCCTTTTCTTTCTTTCTTTCTTTCTTTCTTTCTTTCTTTCTTTCTTTCTTTCTTTCTTTCTTTTTTTTTTTAATATATTTTATTGAGTTTTTACAGAGAGGACGAGAGAGGGATAGAAAGCTAGAAACATCGATGAGAGAGAATCATTGATCAGCTGCCTCTTGCACACCCCCTACTGGGGATGTGCCCGAAACCAAGGTACATGCCCTTGACTGGAATCGAACCTGGGACCTTTCGGTCTGGAGGCTGACGCTCTATCTACTGAGCCAAACCGGTTTGGGCCCTTCTCTCCTTTTCTATGGAGAATCCAGGCCCCTCTCCCATCTGATCCTGTCAGCTGGGCAGCCCCTTTCCCTGCAGGCCCCTTTACGTATCCTCCTCTATTCTCAGCTGCTGCTTTTCTCCCCTACCCTATTCCTGCCGATGCCCAGCTGTCCCCTGGGCACTAGGATGTGTGTATGGGCAGGAGGACACTGACTGCTCAGATATCTGGTAATTCTACCTGTAATGAGAGCAGCCCCACTCCGCAGCCCTTCCTCTGGTTGCCACACATCCCACAGCTCATCCTGCCTCATCCTGCCCTCAGGTCCTCACGCCCCATTCGCAGAGTTTCCACAACCAGACAGTCTGGCTTGCTGAGGGGGCAGAGCGGATGTGGGTGGCAGTGACATGGGGGTAAATGCAGGCACGGACTCTCTGGGACAGACGGTGGGGAGCCTACTCTTTTCATGCTTGTCAGTCACAGAGAGGGGAGCCACTCCCAACTGGGAAAGCAGAAGGCAATGCCCACCAGGGAGCCAGCAGTATCCTCACTCAAGTCCACTCCCTGCCCGCCTCGCTCCAGCTCCTGAGATCTGCTAAGTGCCCCAGATACAGCGTCTAGGGGCCCACGATGCCGGCGCTGAACGGGAACACAGTGGGCCTGGCAGTCCGCTATCTTGACTAGATGTGCTGTAGGGAAGGGCAGACCCAGGGGGAGAACGAAGCCAGGTGGTGTGGCAGACAGAACAAGCAGCAGCTGGACACCAGGCCCCCACGCTGGGAGATGAAAGGTAAGCTGAAAGGCAGCAGAGCAGGCCCTGGGAAGCCCAGCTAGCAGGGGCAACCTCCACTGGCCACATCTCCACCCAGAGGTTCCCAAGTGGCCTTGTGTTTCAACCCCGCACAGAGAAAAGGACTCCAGGGAAAACAGCTGGACGTTCAGAATGGGCCATGGGCCACGATGAGCGAGTGAGCAGCCTCTGAGCCACTGGATGCCCAGCTCTGGAAAATGGTCCTTGGAAAGTCCAGAGATGGACAGGGAAAGAATAGTACTCCAAAACTACGTGAGCTTCAAGGAACTGGGGCAGATGACTAAGGATGTGCAGCTACCAGATCATGTGCTCTGGGAGAAAGGCTGAGGCCCAGGATAAAACCTCTGGCTGACCCAGCTTGTTCGGAGCTCCTTGGGCTGGGCCTGCAGGCACTGCTGAGGGAGATCCCAGAGCAGCAATAAACCCTCCTCCCCATCTCAGGGAGGTGAGGTGAGAAGAAAAAGCAGCTCTCCTCACCCTTCACCACCCCACCAACCTGCCTCCTCCTCCTCTTCTGCATAGTATTCATTCTTCACTTACTCAAAAATCAGTGTGGAGGAGAGATTCAACCCCATAGCTGCTGGGGTGCGGTGGGGGAGATGGGGGGCTGGGTGGTGGTGATAACTTCCTAATTGCCATGTTGCAATCTGCCAGTCAGTGCAGGCCGCCTGTTGCCACCTGCCCTGTATTAAATACCTTCTCCCTGATTACAGCCCAGGGGCATGGTTAGCTGCTCCAGAGAACAAAGTCTGCTTTCATTGGGAACGGTACTCTCACGCACAGTGAACCCGCACTGTGAACCTGAACAGCTGAGTGGAGAGTGTAGACAGAGACGGATATAAGGAGAAATGTGTGCCAGAAGTGCTGAGCAGCATCCTTTCATCAAAGCACAAAAAATTCGCCAAGCGTCACTCTTTAACCAGGAGATGGGACTCATACCTGCTCCTTTTTGTGGATGTGAAGTTTGTGTATGTGACCATGGACCTTCGCTGCGATCAGGGATCTCCACTGCTGAAGATGCAGTTGTTTTCTGGAGAAAATTCTTCAGAATCCTGATCTCTCCAAACCATTATCCTTACTCCTACTCCCCCCGACACCCACAGGAGGCAACAGAGAAAGGTGCAAGTTCAAGAGCCAAGGACGCTCTCTCCTTCCTTCTGCCATCCTTCCTCTGGGTCTCCCGAAGGCCCAGGGCAAAGTCAAAGGTGCAAAAGAAGGAAGGTCCAAGCACCTCCTCTGAGCGCTCAGAGGCCGCCCCTCAACACGGCCCAGTGAGGGAGACGGAAGTAAATCCAACATGGGTGTGGCTCCTTGGCTTTTCAAACTTCTGCCTTCCCTCACCAGATGTCTCCCCCAGGTCCAAGTTCTGCTCTACAACTTCACTGCCCGGTTCAGCTGCCCTAC